TTTCAACTACTGGTATAGTATCACGTATTAACGGATGTTCATTCTGTGGTGAACTCTGAGTTGTTGGATGTTGAGTAATTTCTTCGGTCACAGTAGTACTATGTTGAACATCCACATTTTCTGGTACTTCTGTAGTAATTTCCCTGATCGGTGTACTTTCCTGTGTATAGCTTTCATTAAATTTAGTTACCAGATTTATAGTTGTTGGGTATTCACTTGTCGAAACTGTTTCTTCAACTTTTAATTTCAATGTTGCAACTGTAGTTAGATCTAGGCCCGAAATGGTACTCTCTGGAAAGTTTATATCATCAAAATTAATTATGTGTGGTCTAGTCGAATGTTCAGTTGTAGCATCAACTTCAACTGACGTAGTAGGTACAGCAGTACCATTATTTTCGACATTATCACTAGACAAGTAAGTAGTGTACTGAGCTTCAGTTATAGCAAATTCGGTAGTCCCTGTGTCTGTATTAACGTTAACAAGAGTTGAACTAACATTTTTGTTGAATCCAGGAACAACAGTGGTTACTAACGTAGTTTGTTTTTCACTGTCATGCACATTTTCAGTTGTATGTTGTTCAACCTCTGAAGAAATAGTTGTTACATTATAATCATCATTTATCTGTACACTAGGAGTTGTAAATTTAAGTACTGATCCGGAGGGTTGTTCTGTAGCTTGAGTAGAATTATCAAAATTTACAATTGAGGTTGTATCATAATAAATTTCTTTTGGCGTAGTACCAGTTAAAAAAGTATCAATACCTTGAGCAGGAGTACCGCCATCACTTTCAGTTGATATACTTGTGGGAATATTATTTGTGGAACTTAATATATCATACTGCGTAGTGGAGTCTTGTAAGGACATTGTTACAAGAGATGGTACGGAGGCAGTGACTTCTTCAAAATTAACAGTCGAATCTCTTTCGGTGGTTTGAATTTCATCTGTGTGAGTATCTTTAGGTGTAGTAAAATCTTGATCTTGAAGTTGTTGAACAGTAGTTAATTCTTGGGTATCCCGAATAGAATGTTCTGTTGTTTGAAATTCAGTAACTATATCAATTATTGATGTTGTTTTTGAAATGATGGGTCCATATGTGCTAGAATCATGAATTGAGGGCAAAGGTTTTACAGTAGATACTGTAGTAGTACTACGTAAAATTTCTGTTGTCGCAACGTCTCCGTCATTATAATTATTTGTTGCTGATTCTGTCGTAGTTCTCTCATTATCCAAGTAAGTAATTTTAGGTGTTGTCTTCTGTTCTGTAACTTGTTCCGACTCTGTTGTTGTATATGAAAGATCTGATTCGGTAACTGAACGTTTTGTTGTTGGAATAGTTTCTTGAGTTGTATGATTCATCGACTCAAGAGAAGACTCGGTCATTGTCTGATAATCAGTATTATCAAGAGGTTGCCCTGTTGTATTTGGCTGAGTATCTGAGTAAGTAGTTTTCGGGGTAGTTGTATATTCTGTAATATCACCAACCACAGTAGTTGAATGGGAAATATCTGATCTTACAGGAAATTGAGTTGTATATTTAAGAATTGGAACAGTTCCTTGCGTAGTATCTACTGCAGGTGATTGAATTGTTGTCATATAATCAGTACTCTGAATTGGTCGTTGCGTTGTAGTTTGTTCGTTATCTAAATAGTCACTTTTAGACGTAGTCGCCTGTTCCGTAATATCGTTAACCGCAGAGGTTGTATGTGAAACATCCGATCCCATGGGAAATTGAGTTGTATATTTAAAGGTTGAAATAGTTCCTTGTGTAGTATGACCAGCAGTTTCAGGAGATGACTGAGTAGTCAAAACATAATCTGTGCTCTCAACGTTCGACTGTGTTGTAGATTCTTGGCTATGTAAATAAAAATCTTTAGGTGTAGATGTTGGAATCTTCCCACCCTCGGTTGTCTCATACTGAACGTCTAACTCTACAGGAACTGTAGTCATATGTTCTAATACCGTACTAGTGTCTTGTGTGGTAGAAGCATCGCTCATGAAAATTACTGACTTTGACGTCGTTGTACGATCAGTATTCTCCAGTTGTTCTTTAGTTGTAGTGTCATGCCGAGTACTTGTATCAATTACAATCCTGGTACTTTGATCAACAGTGGAAATTGGTTCTTGTGTTGTATGAACGTCATATAAAGGAACTGATCCAGTTGTCGTGTCTGGACCCAGAACTGTTGTATGTTCCAAGCTCTGTGGAACTGTTGAAGAATCAGAATCAGAAACAATAGACGTAGTAATCTTTGTAGTAGTACCAGAATCAATATACGTTGTTCCTTGTGTTGTTACTGCTTGATCGACTTCAGTAAATACATTTGGCTTCAAACTGGAATCCAAATACTTTTCTGTAGTCCAAACAGTAGCATCTGTATATTCGGTGGTCATGTGAGTGTCTTCAGGTTTTGACGTGATACGACTACCACTCCCATAAGTTTCAGATGTTATTTCTTGTTCAGTGAAACTCGAAGTAGTTTCTGCCTCAAAAACTTCAGCAATCGGAGTAGTACCCTCTGGAACACTTGCAGCAGTAGATTCATAAGTAGCTCCTTCGGGGATATCAGTCGATGAATGTTGTTCTTCGTCCAATGGCTGTGGAGAAGTAATCGAAGAACCCACATTACCTTGATTTGTTACTGAAACATCATTATTACTATTGTTCAAACCTCTTACTGGGAAATTGAACGTGGCAACAGTCGTTGTACTATCCCCTTCAGTTTGTGATATTGTTTTCATTGTAGACAACACCGAACCAGTTGTACTTTCCTTATCATAATCTTCTGTAAATTTTGTGGAGGGAAAAGTTGATGTAAGTGTCGAAGATTCAGTACCTGTACTCTCAGTATAATCTGTACTAAGAGAAGCGGTTGACGTAACCGTGGTATCATCTGTACTAGTTTCTGTAGGCTCAGTAGTGTACGGAGTACTAGCTGTTCCTTCTGTAATGACATCTTCTGTTGTCACCGTTAAAGTAGTAGAACTCATGGTTGAGCTCTCTGTACTAGTGCCTTCTGATGATTCAGTAGTAAGTATAGTCGAGATTACTGTAGTACCCTCCGTACTTGTATACCCCGTACTTCCTGTAGCAAAAGTACCTGTTGTACTTTCTGTGCCATAGCTCTCTGTTGTTTCTGTAGTATAATCTGTAGAAGTAACAGTAGTACTTTCTGTGCCCTTATCAACTGTGGTCTGAGTACTGAACTCAGTAGAAGCAGCAGTAGTACTTTCTGTACTTATATCGGTCGTGGTCTGTGTATTGAACTCTGTAGAAGTACTTTCCGCACTCTCAGTAACAAAAGTACTCTCTGTAAAAGTTGTAGTATCCGTAGCAATACTTTGCACAAGATCTGTGGTACTCTCAGACGAAGTGAAGTCTGTACTTCCAATACTAAATACTTGAGTAACAGTACTTGGGCTGAACTCTGTGGTTGGAGCCGCCACGTCAGTAGTACTTTGAAAATAATATTTATCAGTAACAGTCGTAATTTCATCACTACCAAATCGGTCTGTAGTCACGTCACTGTCAGATGGTTTAAATTGAGACTCGGTACTGTAGTCCACAGAAGCAGGAGTTGTGAATCTCAAGAGACTATCGGGTGAAGTTTGAGTTATCACAGTGGCTTCCTGTCCCAGTGCCCCAAGAGTAGACGAACTCAAGGAGTCTGGGTAAGTGGGTTCAGGCGCTACAGTAGAAGTGACAGGAAGACAACTAAAATCATTAAGATCATTAGGATTACAAGTGCAAATAGGCCTGTGTGCTTCGACCCGACACTGAGCTGCCAGTGGACAGTTGCTGGTGCAAAGGTCTACGCATGACCCTTTTACGCAGGCATTTGTGTCATTGCAGTCGTCATCGGACTCGCAGACAATCACTGGGTTGGAGTTCAGAACTGCTGTGGATACAATACAACATACACACAATATACTTTTGGTTAAGTAAAGTAAATATCAACAAGCATCATGTATTAAACTACGCTACAGGTAAATACGTGTTTAATATCGGATAAGTACTACGGATTAAAAGTTAGCATGCGCGTATAATAGATAAAAAGCTAATTAAGAGACATATTTATTAGGACTTTACTGAGACAGATGTAACGGAAAGAAAACTTCCAGTAGTCGTAGGTATTATCGGCAGAGATAGAGCAGGAGTTGCTTTCTTGTTTTTTGGGGGGGTTTTGCTGGTTGATATAAGGGCTCATTATCTATATATATGTAATACGCATGTAACGTTGAACTCATATCAACATATATCAATATTGTCACGTCGAAGTTTCGTGCTTTGCGGCTTCATACCTGAAACGACCACGTTCCCAGACAACAAAACATCTCTACGTACGCTTTCTTCAACGAGATATATCACAGGGGGATCTCGGTAATACATATAAAACATTATGATCTACACAGCGACTATCTGGACCAATAAATTGGAGTTTAACGTGTCGAGGCATCGTACGTGGCCGATGTACGTGCGATTTATATATAGAACATAGAAGATCAAGCGAAAGATGAAAGACAAGTGAGTAATGTCAAGAGTACAGATGTACAGTGAAGAGGGAGCGACGCCGCTACAAATACCGAACAGGCCTATTAAAAAAAAAATACGCGATACACGCGAGAACAGTAGGTACTACGTTCTTTTAGCAAGGGAACATTTTGCTGTCTGGGCATCGGGGAGGAAACCTGAAAAATAGTGTTCGCAAAGAATTCACGCGCGAAGGCGTATACTATAATAAAGCTGACGAGAGTAGTGAAACTGTGGAGAAAGAGAGTGAGTGACACGAGTAAGGTCTTGGTAGGTGTGACATGAGGTAAAGAGAATAAAAAAAAAAAAGTAGAAAAAAAAAAAGTAAAAAATAGAAAAAGAGAGAATGGTACAGTGATAAAATATACAGAGAGCGAAGAACTGAAAGATGAGAAATATGTGTGAGAGTATGAAAAACGCAGTACGAGATGAAAGAGATGAAGAGATACTCAGGTGAGAAATGGTGTTTACCTTTCATGCATCCATATTTAGTATCTGGCACAAAGCCGTAGGGACAGAACTTGCAGATAGGCTTGTGCTCCTCCACGTAACAGGGGGCATCGGCCGGACAGGTAGAGTTGCTGCATGGGTCCACGCAGCGATAGTTGCGGCACGCCAAGTCTGGAGAGCAGCCACTGTCTCGCAGGCAAATGGAGAGGGAAGGATTGCAGTTTCGCGTGCAAATGCAGACGGGCCGATGATCCAAAACGCCGCAGGTTTTATCGGACGGGCAGGGCGGCTTTTTACGTACGTTACAGGGGCTCTGACATTTCCCATTGATGCACGCGGCATTCGACGGGCAATCGAAATCTCTGGAGCACGTAGGACTGTCTGGGGCGCACATGAGCTCGCCGATCTCGTTAACGACGAAACCGTGCTTGCACACGCACATCGGCCTGTGATTGCGCACCTGACACTTCTTGTTTATCTCGCAGCCGTACTGCGAGTCAAGACAGGGATCCCTGCACTCGCCAGCCTGCACGCGACACGCGAGACTCTCCGGGCAGTCGTTATCTGATGAGCATCCGATGCTCGGGAGGGCAGGTCTGGGACTGAGCGTCTCGCATTTGAGATCAGGATGACACGCGGTGTGGGGCATGCCGATGTAACACTGTGGACACGAGCATCGTGGCTTGTGCAGGACAACACGGCACAGGGCATTGATTCCGCAGGCGCCGCGCAGGGCACAAGGATCCAGGCATTGTAGATTTATGCAGGCTTTCTCATTGGGACACTCTAAGTCACTGGTGCACTCTCGCTCTGCGGGTGGTTCGTAACGCGACAGGTCGTTGGTGGGTCGTGTCGGGGATGCGGGAGAAAAAAGAAACAAAAAGCATTTATGAGAAACTGCACATTAATAAGATACCTTGTTTTTTCGTTCTCGTTATCTCACGCACGCGCGTAGACGCGTGCGACGGTAAGAGAATTGGAAAAAAAAAATAAAATAAAAACAACAACAAAAATCAAAATTAAAAAAAAAATTGTTTAACACCACATGCTTCTTATTCATATGACATAGAGGTCATTTTCAACTTTCAATTGGTACGAGATTCTAGATCGTTTAAAGAAATTTACACCGGCAGCCTCGATCAACGGTATTGGCTTTTGGTGGTGGTCACGAGGTATTTTCCCTGTCTGGCAGAGAGAGAGGAGAGAGAGATAGAGAGACGGTGGAGACGATACGCGAGACACTTGCAATGTCTTAATACGGTTAAAGAAAAAGGAAATGGTCAGACAACGAACAAAAATCGTTAAGTTTCAAAGATACGCGTTTCACGCGACTGTCCTCTGGATCATATTTTTTAAACGGTAACACGGGCAAGCAGCGATATTTACAACACAAGCCCCCAAGAGACTTCGAAAAAGAGGGAAAAACAAATGGCCTGCATTTTCAGCAAATATCAAGCATGGGTATGTAGTATATGTATATGTAATATATGTATATATATATATATATATGTATGTAAATGTCACAATGTACATACGAGAATGTTACACCATTTATAGCTACCAATCTGTCTCGATGAACTTTTTGATTGGGTACTCTGTGTACTTTACTGCAAGAACGATTAAAATACAGATTAGAGTTAATGCACATTCTACGTATGAGGATACGTGTGAAATGTGTGAATTTGTTTTGTGTAACGAATTTATGTACAGTATGTCTATGTTTAATTATACCTAAACAATTACTTATGTACACGTACAGATTGATCTGTACGAAGAGCTACTTGGAGCCGCCATGCTTGATAGCACTGGTCACACTCTGATCAGCTATATTTATACTTTTCTTTGTTTGTTCCTATTGATTTCTCCAGTGCCTCGGCAATCTAAAATCTCTCTCTGCTCCAATCACATCTGTCTCTCAGTGTTAACGAATTCACTGGATTATTAATACATCTATGTATTATTCAATTCCTACTGGACGATACATGGTTATTCTACCGACCATGTTCCTTTCGTCGTCAGTATTGCATCGCTAGTCACAAATGATATACATAAAATCAACTAGTATACTCTGTTAAACAGTTAGTAGGTCGTCGCCTACCTGTCGTGCACTCGTCGTCCGAAGAACCGCTTGTACCTGGTGGACACCTGCATACGAATATTATACCGTCACGTATGCACTCGGCACCCTTGCCACAGCCAGTCGTACGGCAGTCGGCTGAACTCCTGTCTGCACTGCCTGTTTGATAAAATAATTAGAAAGCATTAAAAAGTTATTAAATTTAATTATAATCTTTACATTCTTACTACTCACAAGCCTGTAACGGGTCTCCGGTTGGATAATTCGGTGGACAATAACATTCTGGTCGGTTCTTGTTAATGCGACAAGCTGCGTTCACACCGCAACGAGTATCCCTGCAGAGATCGTCAGCCGGTCCTCCGATTATTCCACCTGCACATTGCACAACAAGATTAGCTATGGATCTGTGGATGATATGTAATTCTAGCCAAGTCACAAAGTTACCTTTCATACAGTTGATTTTAGGATTTCCAAAGTGTCCCGGTGGACACGAACACTGGGCATGTCTGTTTACTACGCGACACTGTGCGTTGAAGCCACACACTCCGTGTTGCAGACAAGGATTCGTGCAGACTCCATCCACACTGCAACGCTTGTTAGATTCGCAATCCTCGTCACGATGGCATTCGAGCTGGTAACATTCTTGGCTTGGTTCACCCTGGAATCCTTCGGGACACAGACAGACTGCGCGGTGGTTGGAGACGCGACAAAGAGCATTGATACCACAGGGTGGTCCTTCGGTTGTACAGGGATTTGTACACTGGCCGTTGGTACAGGACAGACTGGATGGACAGTCTGAATGTGTGCGACATCCAATAAGACACAGACCTCTCTGGCACGTGTAACCCTAGAGACGAAAAGGATTGAATTAATAAAACATTAATAAAATATTTATGAGAAGATTTATCCTGTCTCATAATTACCTTGGGACATCCGTTGTTAACGTCACACTTGACACGGCACTTTCCTCCACTGCAAACTTCACCGCACGAACATTCGTCCTCGGTTCGGCAACTCTTTAGGCAGAATCCAATGTCGTCACATTCGCAGCTACCGTCGCAAGGTATCATAGTCTTCGTACAGCTTATGAGCGCATTGCCATAATAATTGATAGGACAACTGCATTGTGCGGCATGATTTACAACGCGACAACCCGCACATTCCCCACAGGCTTTGCCACCCTCGCATGGGTCTAAAAATTCAACAGGATTTTCAGTAATGTGTAAGATACGCCTTGGGTATTTAGCTTTTTATTGTAGTTATACGTACTTCTGCACTGATTGTTTATGCAGGACTCGTCAGATGGACAAGAGTTGTCACTGCGACAACCGATGTCGCACAGACGATTCTTACAGATCTGATTAGCTACGCACTTGTCGTCGCTGTTGCAAATTGCTTTGCATAAACCGCCATCGCAACGCTCATCGCTTAAGCAGTTGGCATCGCTGAAAATTTTTTTTGAATTGTTAGAACCCGGAATCATTTGTATCATTTATATAATATTACTAGTCATATAATACCTTCTACAGGTAGAGTAGCAGGATCTACCATAACAGGTCTGACCAGGCAAACATTCAGCAGCTGAAGAGCAAGGTAGGAATGATTGTCTACATCCGACACGAGCATCGCCAACTAATGGAATTGGACAAGTGCATTGTTTCTGATGATTTACTACAATGCACTCAGCATTGGTACCGCATGCGTTTGGCAACGAACACACGTCTGTAATAATAGAATTGTTGTAGAATTAAAAAAATCTTTACCTAAAAAGAATCGTTGGATTTATTTTCTTACCAATGCATTTGCTGTTGACACACGCATAATTATCCTGGCACTCAATGTCAGCTCTGCATCCAGCAACGCATACAAGTCCTTCGCAAATGTCACCACTTCGACAATCCTCATCCCTTCTACACAGAGCTTTACAGACGCCAGTACTGTCACAACGTTCGTTGCTGAGACAATTAGCATTGGAGGAACAGACAGGAGTGCAAGCACCGGCAATGCAAGTAGTACCAGCACTGCAGTCTCTGTTAGCCTGACAAATTGGTCCTGGTGATCGTAGACAAGCTACTCTGGCTGTTGGATTGGGTATAAATCCAGATGGACAGGAGCAGGTAGCGCGTTGATTGGACACAGTACATTTCGCGTTAGGACCACATGGTGTTCCTTCACAAGGATTTATACACTTGTTGGTCAGACAAGCTTCGTTGGCATTGCAATCCTCATCAGCCCTGCAACCGAAGGTGCACATATTGTGCAGACAGATGTGTCCAAGGAAGCAATCGTTATCCAGTCTGCATGTCAACAGGCAATTGCCACGAATGCACTTCTCATTGAATGCACAATTGTCATCCACTGTACATATTGGTAGGCACACGTTATCCCTACAGGTGTTTCCGTCATTGCAGTCACTGTTACCATGGCAGGATACAGGTACTAAAGTAGGAATAAGAAGAAAACATAAGTTTTAGTAACAAAAAGGGTTAGGGAATTATGAATAAGAAAAATTGTATACTCACGTCGCACGCATTCCACTTCTGAATTTCCAGTAAAACCAGCAGGGCAACTGCACTGTTTGATGTGAGTTCTTACACGACATTCAGCATTTATTCCGCAGGCTGCTCTAAGGTCGCAAGGATCCAAGCATTGACCACTGGCACATACATCTGATAGATTGCATTCCTCATCAGATTGGCAAGATGCTGTATAATGGATAAAACGTGAATTGGAATTATATAAACTTGCAATACGGTAGTGAAGACAGTTTCTGGTAAATACTTACGACGACAGATCTTTTCGTAACAGTATGTATTGGCGGCACAATCGGCAGCTGATGAACATGATATTGGTTTAGGTCGGCATCCAATATTCAGACTATTTGCATCGCCTTGGTAATCCGGTCGACATTGACAAGAGCCAGCGTGATTGCTAGCTATGCATTCTGCATTTGGTCCACATTGTATACTTGCACAAACGTCTGCAATGTACGTTGAAATTTTTATGAGTATACATTACATATGTTATTATATTAAAGATAAACAACTTTTTAAATACTGACCCGAACACTTTGGCACATTATTAATATTTATACATTTGGCGGTAAGTGGGCAGTCGTTATCCTGTTCGCATTCGACTGGTGTCTTGCAACCGCTGTTGTAAGGATCGCCTACAGTTCCAGGTTGGCAGTGACACTTGAAGGAACCACGAGAATTTTCACAAGTAGTTCCAGGTGCGCAAGGGCCGTTTGCACAGTAGTCTATCAATTCACAACCACGCAGTGGATCACCAGTATATCCGGGTTGACAAGTGCATGTCTAGAAGATACAAAATATTTGGTATTATTTCTTTTTCACAAAATTTAATGTCAATAGTTTAACAAAATATTGTTAATGTCTTAATGTTTACCTGCACGTGGCGTTCTGCCGAACAAACTGCATTCACACCGCAAGGATTCTTCATAATACAGGCAATCCTGCATTTATAGGAATCACAGATCTTTTCATCGGAACACTGATCGTTTGACTCGCATTCAACTGGTTCGCACCCGAGCTTATCGTCGTATGAATCTCCAAAGAAACCAGACTTGCAAGTGCACGTGGCGATATGATTGTCAGATTTGCATTCTGCATTACGGCCGCACAAAATGAGTTCACATGCTTTTTTGCATTCAGCCTGTAAAAAATGTTGAGACAATTGTTATTTTTATTCACGCAAATAAAAGGATCATTGCATTTGGGTATGCTTACTTGTCCAATAGTGTTCTTGATGCATTTCTCATCGTAACCACAATCGTTATCTGACAAGCAACGAAGTTCCTGAACGCAAATGTTGTTTTGACAAAATTGGAAATCTGGGCAACTGGAATTGCTCCTGCAAGTTGGCTGGCAAAGTCCATTTATGCATAGTTGGTCTCCTATGCAGTCTCTTGTGCTTCCACAAAGTGCTGTGACAACACAATTGTATCATGTAAATTGTTCTCTATACTAAAATTCTAGACCTTTAAAAATGTTATATCGTTCTAGCAGCTTTACCTGTACATATTCCACTATTGCATGAAGAGCCAGTTGGACATTGGCTCTCAGATTTACAGTATTGCACCGGGGTACAGCCCAGGTTTGGATCTCCTGTTCCACCAGGTTGACATGTACAAACAGCGCTGTGGTTAAGTGGTGAGCAATCAGCACCTTGTCCACATACATTCGGTACTGAACAAGGATCAATGCATTTGTGATCGAAGCAAGCATCGGATGCATCACAGTCGCTGTGATAATTGCATTCGAGTTGAGTGCATTTTACCTGGTATTATATAACAAATTTTTTAGTGTGTTTTAGAATCATAAGTCACGATTTAAATTATTATTCAGCAGTAAGATTGTTCAAGTTTAGTTGAAACAATTTTAAACTTACATGTGGATCTCCAGTAGTTTGTCCTGGACATTTGCAGTGAGGCACATGATCCCTCGTGATGCATTCAGCACTTTGTCCACAGACTGCAGGTGCATCGCAAGGATTGCTACAGGTGTTATCAATACAGGCAGCAGAATTGGGACAATCCGAATCTGTGAAGCAGTCACCAGGTTGTTTGCATCCTACCTTGATTGGATCACCAATCAAGCCATGAGGACAAGTACAGGTGTAGGAACCTTCAGTATTTTGGCAGCTAAAAATAATAATGCATTTAGTTATATAAATTCTAACTTTTCTTGCATAATGATTGTAAATAACTTACTGGGCTGTTGGATGACAAGGATTCTGTAGACACTCATTCACATCTGTACAAATATCACCAGAAAGAGTAAAGCCAGGGTAGCACTTGCATACTCCAACGTGATCAACGACAGCGCAATTTCCGTACCCACAATTTATCTGATTGCAAGGACCTAAAGTGACGATAATTAAATGTATAAATTCCGTTAAAAAATTACACTAATTACAAGAAACGTTCGTGGTATACTTACTAGAGCATTTATTGGTGTCCTGGTTGCAGTATTTATCTCCAGGACAGTCATTGTTGGAAAGACACTCTACTTTGAAACATCCTGATGCATCACCAATAAATCCAGGTTGACATTGACAAGCGGCAGTGTGGTCGACCACCGAACAAAGAGTATTTAATCCGCAGTCAACAAAGGAACAAGGATCGGAACAATTGTGTTGAATACAGGCTTGCGAATCAGGGCAATCCGAATGCAAGTTACATTGATGTGGTATAAGACAACCAGTTGTAACTGGATCGCCTACAGTGCCTTGGGGACAGATGCACCGGTAAGAGCCATGAAGATTATGGCATTCCGCACTTGGGTGACAGGGTTGTTCTTCGCATTCGTTGATGTCCAAACATTTTTCAGGACCAGCAATGAATCCATGACTGCACCTGCATTTGCTGTTGATGCATATCTCATCGGTCTTACAACCAGCATCTGAAGTGCAGCCAATCTCGCAATTTCCATCGATACAAAGTTCACCAGGCAAGCAATTACTGTCTCCATAGCATATTTTGACACAGAATCCATTCTTGCATCTTTCACCCTGAGCGCAGTTGCTCTGATCGTTGCATTGGCATTGACAGAGTCCCGAGATGCAGGTGTGTTGCGTAGGACAATCTCGTGGGCTCTCGCAAACACTGGGAACACGAACGCAGCCTTGTTCAGGTGTAGGATTTCCTTGGAATCCCAGGGGACAGGTGCAGGTTGTTGCATGATCGATACAGCTGCAGATTGCGTTTGGTCCGCATACATTTTCCTTTGAGCAAGGATCTTGACATTTGTTGTTAATGCAGGACTCTGTCGATGGACAATTTTTGTTACTGCGACATCCTAAGATGCAAACACCGTTCACGCATGTCTGATCAGCTTGACATTGACTATGCGATGCACAAGGAACTGCACATTTGTTGTTTATGCATTTTTCTTTATCCGAACAATCTGTAGCTGACCTGCAGACCGCTCTGCATTGCCCGTCCAGACAAACCAAACCATCGCAATCAGCATCGGCATTACAGTAGTTTGTGATACGAACACAGCCGTCCTGCACGCCCTTTGAAGATGGTACAAATCTCTGGAGACATTTGCAAATTGGCTCTCCATTGATAATTTCACAAAGTGCATTGGCTCCACATGCGTTTTCACATGGATTTATGCATCTATCATTTTGACAGATTGAATGAACAGGGCAATCCTTGCTGCTGACGCAAGATCCTTCTGGCTGACATCCTGCAGAATATGGGTCGCCGACGTGGTTTGGTGGACATTGACAGACAGGACTATCCGATGCACCAGCAACGCATATTGCAGTGGCATGACAAGGATTAGGGAAGCATGTTTCAATGCTCACGCATTCAACTTCCGCTACTGGGTTTGGTCGGAATCCTGGCGGACATTGGCAAATAGCTCTGTGATCATCAGCAATGCAGACAGCGTTCAATCCGCATTCGTTCTTATCGCATGCATCGTAGCAGGTATGAGTTAAACGATTGCACAGTTGAGCAGGTGGACAGTCAATGTTGTATACGCATGGTACTGTCTGACATCCATTAGTCTTATCATTAGGATCACCAGCATAGAGTCCAGGAGGACATTCGCAATTTGCTACATGATTATTGACGACACAAAGTGCATTGGGTCCACAGGAGACAAAATTGCAAACAGGTTGGCAGGTAAGTACCCCTTCAGTAGTTGATCTACAGGTGTGATCTTCAGGACACTCGGAGTCAGTGGTGCACTGATTTCTGCGTATACTCTGGCAACCGTTACGATCATTGGGATTTCCGCCAAAGCCAGGAAGACATTCGCAATGGCCACGATGATTTTCTGCAACGCACTGAGAGTTAACAGCACATGTGAAGCTTTCGCAGATTGGTGAACACTTCAGAACACCCAATGCATCCGGTCGACATGCTGCAGTTGTATGGCAGTCCTTATCAGTGATACAGTCTGGTACAGAAGGTTTTTCGCAAGAGGATGATACTGGATTCCATTCATAGCCATCTATACATTTGCATGTTGCGTGTCCAACTAAGTCAGGCTCACACTTTTCATGAGATCCGCATGCGACTTTGTTGCATGGATTGATGCATTCTCGTACTCCAGTATCCAGAAGCGTGCAGAAGAAGCCATCCTCGCACTCTGAATTGTCAGTACAGGAAGAAGTGACAGCTATCTTAGCTGGTTGACAACCTTCTGCAAGGTTGCTAGGATTGCCGCTGTATCCATCTACGCAGATGCAAGAGGACACGTGATTCTCTGCAACGCAAAGCGCATTTGGTCCACATTGAAGTTTGCTGCACGCATCCACGCACTTCCGAACACCCTTTCCAACTTGGAAACATATCTGCTGTTGTTCGCAATCCAGGTCGTTGGAGCAGTGACCTTGAATATGACATCCTTTACTCAGATCATTAGCATTACCGCTGTATCCAGGTGGACAGACACAAATTCCTTCTTGACAAACGGATCTGGGACCGCATTTGATGTCACTGCATCTGTCAATGCATTTGGCATCGATACATGAGAATCCGTCAGGGCATGGGACTTCCTTGCTGCACGTACATGTTGCAGGATCCGTACACGGGCCTACATGCAGCTCCTGACATCCTAAGAAAGGATTTCCAAAGAATCCATCCTTACACCGACAGTCATAACTGCCAATTGTGTTGATACAGACTGCATTGTTGCCACATGCATTTCCGTTGCATTCGTTAATATCGTAACATTGAATGTAAGGATTTCCAGCATAGCCAGGTGGACAAAGGCATTCGACAGCATTTGGTCCAGCACTACAATGTGCATCCTTTCCACAAAGTGCACTGGAACAGTCAGACTTCTCCTGAATTCCGCAACCGTGATAAGGATTACCACTTGTTCCAGGATTACAGATGCATTTCGAATCGATCAGACCGTATTCGCAATGTGCATTCTCTCCACAAGTTGGATCGCAATGTGGTGGCTGAACCGGTGGCATACAAAGTAGATCAGGATTGCCGATGAAGTAAGGATTGCACGTGCACTTGTTGGTAAGTGGATCGCAAGTGGCACCAATTCCGCAAACGACACCTTCGCAGCGTCGCTTACAACGGCCACTAATGCACACGCTTGGTTCTTCGCAAGGAACATCCGGAGAGCATACATCAGGAACACACTGTCCACCGGGGAATGGATTTCCCATGAAACCTTCAATACATTTACAAGTTGGACCGTCGTAGCTGACAATACACTGGGCTCCACGTCCACAGACAAAGCCATCGCATTCTGAGAAAAATATTATAAAAATTATAATATAATTCATTTTACAAAAGTAAGAAGGAGCAAATAACAATGTGTTGAATACTTACGAGAAACGCATTCATTGTTCTTTCCTTCGGTGAAACCAACAATGCAACGGCACCAAGCGGCATGTTTGTCAGGTTCGCAATAAGCATTAGGGCCGCAGGGCACGTTATCACAAGGATTGACGCAGCTGCCCTGGACACATGCCAGATAGTTCTCACAGTCGTCATTGGAAGTGCATTCCTGTTTAGCAATAGCAACACCGGTGCATCCAGACACGTAGGGATCGCCCTGCATTCCTTTGACACACTCGCAGACGTGACCGCCCTTGTTATTGACACAGTAAGCACCAACAGCGCAGGGGTTGTTTGCACATTCGTTTATATCTATGCAACCATGCTGAGGATCACCTTCATAGCCTGTCTCACACATGCACTTGGGAGGATCACTAGGTGTGCATTTAGCATTAATGCCACAAGGGAATCTGTTGCAAGGATCTACAAATAAAAAATATCATGTAATTAACATTGATGCTACTGAACTGATACTAGGAAAATTGTAATATTGAAAGTTTATTTTTAAAAATATCTTACTCTTGCAAAGATTGCCATCCAATGCATCTGTATAGAATGGAGGTGGACAAACACATTCACCAGGCTGCACGCATTTCTCATTAGCCTTGCACTCGTTGTCGTTTGTGCATCTCTTCTGTGCTGGAGAACACAGACCATTGTAAGGATCGCCGCCATAGCCATGAGGGCAAACACATTGATGAGCACCAGGTAAGTTGATACACTCAGCGCCATAACCGCAGGTTTGATGACCCTCGATGCACTCGTTGATGTCTAATGAGATAAAATGCATATTAATTTGAATCATCCTGTATTTTGTACAAATGAAAACTTTTGGAGTATTTTACGGACCCTCGCATGAACCATCAGGTTTCGTTCTGTATCCTTTAGGACAAGCACAATAACTAACTCCACCAGAAATCGTTATGCATTCCGCACCACTGGGGCAAGTTTCACCCTTGGAACATCCAGCTAACATACATCTTCCATCGACAATTTTATAGGGTGGTTGACATTGACATTCGATGCTGTTGCATTCTGAAGGAATAGTTTAAAATAAAGACCGTGTGATAGAAACAATGAGTATTTGATATCCGAAGAAAAATGACGCTCACCTTCGCACAGAGCAAATGGATTGCCATTGAATCCTGGTGGACACTGACATTCATAACTGCCAGGAAGATTCTTGCAAATAGCATTGATACCACAGGTAGGTTTTTCTCTGAGTTCCATGCACTCATTGATGTCTCGACATTTTCCAGTTTCTGCGTCACGTGTGTAACCCCGTTGACAGATGCACACGCTGCTGCCAACAAATTCATCCTTAATACATTGTTCACCAGCAGGACACGGTGTATTTGGTCCGCAAACGTGAGGCAGTTCAGATTCTTGGCAACCACCGCTGTAAGGATCGCCGGTTGTTCCACTAGGACATTGACAGGAGAAAGATCCTGGCTCGTTGTTACATATTGCACCAGGAGGACACGGATTTACTAAACATTCATCAATATCCGTGCATCCATCCTTCACACCAGGTTTTCCTCTATATCCGTTGCTACATAGACAGGTTGCTTGATCGTTCAGAAGCATGCAGTGAGCATTGGGGCCACACGATAAGTCTTCACAGGGATCTACAAAAGAAGAAAGCATATAGCAAATGTAGCAATAGAAATAATAAAATTCAACTTAATTCTGCTAATCTTACGTCTGCAATCATTTCCAACATTTGGTTCAGGACACAGACAACGTTTCTGTGCATCACAAATTGCATTTCCAGGACAGTCACCATCGGTATTACAAGTAACTACTCCGACACATTTTATATAAGGATTTGGATCTGGTATTGTTTCCTCTGGACAAGTACAGGTGTAGGAACCATCAGTATTTGTACAGATTGCACCATGACCGCAAGCACCAGGTCTTGAGCATTCATCAACGTCTATATTTATTAAAAAAATTATGTCTGTTAATTATAATTGATCCAACCAGCTAAAACAAAATTAATGCAATTTATTACTTTACCTATACACTGTTTAAAAGCATTTCCAGAATATCCAGGTTCGCATTGACAAGAGAACCCACCAGGTGTATTGGTACAAATAGCATTCTTGCTACATCTACCGGAGGGTCCATTTACAGTATCACACTCATCAATATCTTTATGAAAAAAAAAACAATACACATGCAATTATAATATTATAAAATATTAACATTAATCCAAGTCAAGTATATTATTTTCTCAAGGAACTTACCAACGCAACCTGCTGATATATCATTAGGATTAAATGTCCAGCCATCTTCACAAATACAATACGCTTCATGTCCATCCGCCTTGCAGAAAGCATGATGGCCGCAAGTGACCTCATCACAAGGAGCTATTGCGTAATCATAAAAAAAAACAATCAAATTACCTTCAATTCTTAGACAAATCCTCCCTAACTACTAGGAATAAGATAAAAGATTATAAAACGTAATACACATAATGATACCTTTACAAGGAATATGTGGCGGAGTGCCAACGAAGCCAGTCTCACATTCACAATGGTAACTTCCCTTTGTATTTGTACAAACGGAAGCAGGACCACAAGGATTCGTTGTGCACTCATCCAAATCTTCGCATTTAGCACCAACAGCTTTAAATCCATCCTTACAGAAGCATTGACCTTCGATACACTCGGCATTGTTCACGCAATCAAAGTTTGTCTTACACAAAGTTGCCACATCGGTCTAGACAAAGATGAAATGATAACGGACGTCGCAAAAACCGGATATTACTAATTCCTCCAGTTTTACCAATCGGATATTCAAATTTACCTGATCACACGCAACTGCCGGGCTTGGATTGGCGCTGTAACCCGGCGGACAAATGCAATTGTAACCAGGAACGGCGTTCTTGCAGATAGCATTTGAACCGCATGGATTTTCGTATGTTGTGCATTCATCGATATCTAATGAAAATAAAATAACATAGTAATATGTATTATCAGTAATTATTCAATATTAATAATTCTCTTCGTGGTAAAATCGTTAGTTTAAAAATCTGACCACTGCAACCCTTGAATGGATCTCCAGTGTAATCTTCCTTGCAGCTACAAACGAAACTGCCAATGGTGTCAATGCAGTCGGCGTTCTCTCCGCAGGGATTTTTTCCGCATTCGTTCACATCTGTTAATAGTTAATCAATGGAGTTTAGTGCTGGGATCGGTATGTAAGTATTTTTATTATATTAAAGATGCTCTTAACGAAACTGACTTTCGCATAGTGTAAGTCCTTGACCAATGAAACCTTGCGGACATATGCATTTAAAGGAACCTGGTACATTTATGCATTTTGCGTTAGTAGCACAGGCGTTACTGCCAGAGCACTCGTTCACGTCGATGCATCCGTGGATGGAATCTTCTTGATACCCAGGTAGACAACGACATTCGAAACTGCCTTCTGTGTTGATGCATTCCGCATTGCTTCCGCAGGACGTATTCCCCTCGCATTCGTTTATATCTGTTAGCGGTTAGTGTTCAAGAAATAATTAGATTCTTAGTAATAAAATTGTTGAGCACGGCTAAAGAAACGATTCATTGATACGTTTAATGACAATTATTTTTTTACGATCATTAAAACTAGAGCTCAAGCATTATTGAAAGTTATTCATAGTTTTAGAGTATTAATTTTGAATTTAAAAAATTAAATCCTTTGTTATGTACTTTAGATTACGATGAAAAACTTACCCTGACAACCAGTTAACGGATCACCGTCCATACCATCGGGACACGAACAACGAAAACTGCCGTCCATGTTCGTACAAAGAGCAGATCGGCCACAGGGGCTCTTAGCGCATTCATTTATATCAACGCAACCATCCTGGGGATTGCCTTCATATCCCTCAGGACATTCGCACCTATGACTTCCGGGTAAATTAACGCAAAGAGCATCACGACCGCAAGCCCCTTCGTATTCGCATTCATTAAAGTCGCTACACTACAAACAAAAAAAGGTACACAAAACGTAAAGTAAATCCTCGTATATTCTCACTAGAATTTTCTGGTCTCAGATTATGATCCATAAAACCATCAGGCACTCGATATAAATCATCCTCCCAAGTACTCACAATTTCATAGGGGTCTCCCGTATATCCAGGCTGACACGAGCATGTATAATTTCCAGGGATATTCTGGCAGAGAGTATTCTCGCCACAAGCACCAGGTATCGCGCACTCATCAACATCCTCACAATGCTCCTCACCATCCCCGGTGTAACCGGGCTTGCACTTGCAGAGAAAATTTGCCGGTAAGTTGCAACATTCTGCATTCTCAACGCATCGTGCAGCAAGCACTGGATCGTCGCATTCGTTGATATCTGTGATGGTGAATAAGAAATTAATCACAAGCCCATAGTCAATAAGTAAGGTATGGTTGAATAGAGATTTTTAAATACTAAAAAAACTGTACCTTCGCAATGGAAACCGTCGCCCCGATAACCAGGAAAGCACGAGCACTGAAAACTGCCTAGGGTATTTGTACAGTGTGCAAAAATATCACAAGGGCGATATTTGCACTCGTTCTCATCTGAAAAGCATGTCAATAAGTATAAAGGCATAAGTACAGATCAAAAATGTCCTAACCAATCCACTTCATTACTATAATCTTCTCAAAGCACCGGTTAACAGCCGGTACTTCTGAAATGTTAACCATGTGGAAAGGTTACTCTTACCTGGAACTTGACAGTTACAACCTCCAAATCCGTCGTTACAATGACAGACGGAGTCAAGGCAAACGCCATTCTGACACTTGGTTCCATCTTCTTTTGTACAGTCATCTAAAATTCAAGCACATGCGTTACATAGTCATCTTTACAGAAGTACGTGTGTTAACCATGAACCAGCTGTTACACAAGAATTACACTTTCACGGATCTAGTCGATGAAATCAACAAGACATTGGCAAATATACTCTTGGCGAAAAGATGTGCCCATTTCTTATGACAGGGGTCACTGGTTTTTTTTTCTTTTTCAACTTAAGTCATCGCACCCAAAGAATATAAGTGGTACAGTACGTGCAAATTTAGACTGAGAAGTTTACAATATATATATACTGCAGAGTATAATGCGGATGTGTAGTCAAATAGGTGGATCCTAACGGTAAAGAGACTAACCGGAACCGTCTTGTAGTGGTTTAGTCGTAATTAGTGACTCCTGTGATAATTTTTATACGCTAATGGATATTGTTTTTGAATTATTTTTATAACTTACCAGTGCACTTGAGCCTGTCTCGTTGCTCATCCGTGCCCTGAAAACAGTCTGTATGTCCGTCGCAAAGTTTTGAAAGTTCCAGTAATTGTAAAACATCGGTTGACTCGTTGACCTGGCATCCGAAATAACCGTCCTCCAGATTCAGAAAAAAGACTTCTCTTCTTATTCCGAGTCCGATTCCATTGAGAGATTCGGCCTAGAAACGAACGAATGGTTTTTGTAAAATTTGGATCAGTCGGACGAGTTCGATTTATATACGAACATGAAAGAAATTCGAAAATGTCTTAAATTTTTTATAAAAACTTACTGGATACGAAGATAGTAGTATCCATACCACCAACGGCAAAAGATGTTTCATCTTTGCTGTAAGTGAAATACATAAAAATGATTAAGTGAAACTTTACACGTAAAGATCCATGATGAAATCCACCAGCCAAAAGTATGATTAACCATTAGTAGCAGGCATCGTAAGTTATTATTTTATTGTAATTTAATTATATTTATAATTATCAGCGTTCACTCTCATTTATTTAACATAAAAATTTGTTACTTTAATTTATAATTGAGGCACTGCATTGTTTAAAGTTAACAATCCTTGTTATCTGGTTCACAAGCACTTCGCTGTCTTTTACACTTAATCACTTGGATTATTTATTACATAAACAATACCATTTTTTAAATTATTTTTAAGTATAAATCTTCTAATGTTTAAAATTTCATTGTTGTTCTCGAGAATTACAATTTTTCTTTCATAAAGTCCCAGAGAGAAATATAGATCTCTGCCTACTCGCTTTGACCATTACGAATGTCGTTATCACAATATCAATGTATAATACTAATAAGAATAATTGTCTCTCCACAGAAATAATCGCATCACATTCCTCAATAACAGAGCAACATTGCCTTTGAGAATAAGGAGAGGAACGCGTATAGTATGCCGGTCGCAGCATTACTCAGCGTGAAGAATGACGAAGGTGGCGAAGAAGGTGTGTAGTCGTCAATGTTGGTAGTAGTGACGGTAGCGATGACTGTGTGCAAGGAAAATACGGTTGGAGAATCAGAGAGAGAGAGAGAGATAAGTGGAGAGAGAATAATAAAAGGAATAAAAAAATAAGAGCCGAAGAAGGGAAGTGCGTAATAAAGGAGGGCGTACGAGTACGATGCACCTGCGTCTCTCTTCCTTCTCCATCTCGTTCTTCGCCAGCCCAACCAATCAACTTTGTACATCACAAAGTCACAGCTGTGAACCGGCAACCGGCCACGAGGAGTCTTACGGCCCCTTGAACCATGCGTGACTTTTGCGCACGACGATACTCTCCTCCCTTCCTCCCACTGACAACTGCTTGATACCAGCGGCACCGGTTGAATTCCGTAAAACCACGAAATTGCTCAGTCAAGTCTGATTATATAGCGCGCGTCAAAACGAACTCATTGAATGTGCTATCTGGTGCAGCTGCAATTAGTACCGTCCCGGACGAATCTTTCTGGAATAATGAATCTCCATTGACTGTCGACGTTATTCCAAATGATGCAGAACTATTCAAGGTTAACCGTGGTAGCTCGTGACGGAATTCGTGCTAGACGTGGTCTTCTTTTTTATTTTCCTAGTAACTAACCGATAGGTTGCTTTCACTTGCGACAGAGACACGTCACGTATAACTACGCAAATATTACATATATGTATAGTATGCAAACAGTTAATAGAGATCGTTCATCTATAAGATTGTCTAAATAATTTTATGTACTAGACAGTATCTTCTTACGCACTCATCGAGTCTTACATTAACCAACCTATGAAGACTGTACTGTATATCACAAATGATAATTTAAAAAATCAATTTTATACTGAACAAAAAAATTCTAAAGTCCAATCCTGTTCCATATGTCTTGAAGGATCATTCAGTCGTAGGAGTTGCTCCGAATCCCTTATCTGAATTTGTATTATTTGCATGCAGATGTGATGAAGATCTGCACATGCGTCTTATCGTTTGCGTATACTCCTATATACAGGACTCTTGTAACCCAACTATTCGCCACGTGGGTGTGACACACATTTTTCTCTTGTAGAACACATGTGTTCAGACTCCACGCTCTCTCTTTAACTAGTCACGTGTGTGTATGAGTGAAGATATATATACAGATAAAAAGGTGTCTCAAGCGAAGGTAAATAATAGTGCCATATAATTCAAAGAGAAAGAGACGAGACGGTACGCGAGACGCTTTTCCAAGTGTCTGAGTGTCAGCTCGTAAGATCGTATAGAAATTGACAGCGCGAGGAATGCGCGGAATTCCAGTCGCAGAGCGAGAATAGTGGAATGCGAAAATGTCCGTGAACGAGATGAAAGAGGAGAATTCGTGGCTGTCTTCTTTATTTGGCGGTGAGCTGTGACACCGATAGAGTTTGCACACCGATCATTAGCATATCGATGTCACAATGTTGAGTCTGTCTCTTGCAGGCTCCTATAGCGACATCAGGTTGGGCGACTACGAGAGGCCAAGTAGTGACGTATGATGGTTGATTATTGAATGATGGAAAAGGAACGGCAAACGATAAGAGATGGTAAGAGATAATTCATGCAATGCCGTAAGAGGCTATTTTATTGTAGCTTAGAATTTGTACTGCATCCTTTTTTTTCCTTCTTTCTTTGCAGTTGCAGATGCCACGAAGTACGTCCTTTGCGTTTTAAACGACACGGATAACACGCATGAAAGACAATAGATTGTGAAAGAAGTTTGTGGAACAATATCATCGATGGATGACGAGAATTCGAATGAGTCGAAGAATCATTGTGCTTGAAAATGATGGATGATCATGGGAAAAATTTACAACGCTTCACTGATGGGTTTAATTTATAACGTAATAGCTTTGGCATGGAATTATTTCTGCGTGGCTTCATTTGATTAGTCATTCTTAAATCGACTGGATATTTGCGGAGATTTGATTGCAGGAAGTTATCAATTCTTAGCTAGCAAAAAAAAGTAATATCTGAAAACATCACCATTAGTTTCATAATGATTGGTTTATAGTATTATGGCCTTACGAATGTTATTTTTAATTTAATTTATTATCTCCCTCTAATCTTGACATTGTTTTAATCATTAAATTACTATTTTCATAATTTAAAAACATAGTAGACTCTATGCCAGGTCTCCTATGAAATTTTTTTTATTCAACGCGTTTAGTACACCCTGTATAAATTCTTACACGTAATTCCTATCCGTATCGAATACGCATTGATTGATTCGAATACCGACTAATCGACGTAGCAGTATAAAAAAATTGCCGAGTTCAATAATGAATCTAGACATCATTAAATGTCTATTTGCAAAAAGAGAATCTTATATAACTCAAATAGATATTAATCATTTGATCTCCAGGGTGTGAAAAAAATGTTAAAAATTATCAATAACATTCGTACCAGAAAAAGGATTTGAAATCGTTAATATGTCACCGATCGTTGTCAGGTTTTTTAAAAATTAATTTATACGTATAATTCAGGCCTTGCGGGTATCGATGCTTTTTTTGTTCTCTATCAATATCACCAGATCGTGACGAATTATTCTAAATCGACCCTGTCCCACGACACTGATCCTTTCAATTTGTATTTCGTGTTCATCTAGGACACGCGAATCAGCGTCGCCCACAGAATCATCATTTATGGAAGCTTGCAAGGCAACCTGGCATTTAATCAATGTCGTGAAAGTCTTTACCCAGACTAAACCCACCATAAGGCATACTTCAAGATCCGTCCTAGTAACATTAAAAAGTACGCCGGCAAACATTTCCTCAACAGATATACAAAAGAGTTAGAAATAAACCGTGAGAATCCATATTCCGTTAAACACGTGTTCTCAGTGAGCTACACTAATCTAGTTAACTGTGTCAACCGAAGTCAAAGAATTGTAACAAAACTTATTGGACTATTCAGAACAAAATTTTCATTAATCAAAACACAGGCCTTCCAATGTCTCTTGCAAAATATTTGCATGATTAGATCATGTATTATTTCGAATATCAAAGAAATATTTTAATCATAAAAACTTACTGTTACATAATTTAATCAAATTCCTCGTTAGAAATAAGAAAAAGTAAATTTTTATGAAAAAAAAAAAAAACAAAAAAAAACGTAGGCGTAAAGTACGTAGGAGGATTCTTCTATTACCTAAAGCACACACCTTAACATCTACTTGCGTGCAAACGCATAAATATTCATATGCATATTCATTAGCGGTCCAAATAAACGAGGCTTTCTCTTTAATCCACATAGTACCGTCTACCATTGCAAAATGCACAGCAGATCTCGAGTACCTAAGCGCCACACAAGCATCACAGGAATTCAATAGAATTACAACATTCCAGAAGGATGATTTGATTAGATAAACAAGATGTGAATCTACAATAAAAAAAATTGACATACCAACATAAATAATTGTTCACGAAGAAAATCAAGAAAAAGATAAGTTACCTCGAGTACCTGGAAATGCGCAAGAGAATTCGCGATCCGAATACATAATTCGTATAACGGTATCGCGGGCAGAGGAGCAGATGCAAAGAGAATAAAAAGTACCAGGCGAATAAGCGGTATAGAAAATGAGTCAAGTATTACATCACAAAGGAACAAAGTGCAAGCTGAGTTTAAAAAGACAGAAGTAATATAGAATGAACTCAGATCAATCTCAAAGCTTGTATAATAATATATGGGTAGGATAAATAGAAGTTAAAAAATTTATAAGAAAACCGTATAAGATATAACGTATAAATAAGCTGTAATTTCATGTGGGAAGGTTATTACCTTGAAGCATATATATGTATACAGGTGGTACCTTCGATGGTTTCTATAGACTATTAGTACACTAATGTTAGACTTGTAATTAGAGGTAGGATAGTTGCTCATACGATGCCGGTATCTTATCATACCAATATTTGCCAGAGTATAGGAGAATCCGCGTTCATTTTATAGTGTCTTCAAGATACTCCTTTGCTTGCTTCTTTCGACTGTAGAAACAAAGTTGAACGGGCACCACTAGAGCGGCGCCTTCTCTCTTACTAGTTCTCGTGTACCGGAGGGAGCTGGGTCAATATCCTCGGCGAAGTTCGCCTCACGTCAAACGCAACATTAATTATTTCACCATTGAAATTCTATCTGGTGGTGTTAGATTATGTATGCTATACGTATAGATATTAATAAGGTACCATCCTGGTTGATTTTGGGTAATTCACTTGACGTTTTGACAAATTATATCCTCTGTATATGGATTGAGGGTTACTTATCAATTAAATATTCTTTTATTTGGGTAGATATGGATAATTGTATGAGATGAGTGAAAGATGAAGTATACTAAGAGATTTAGAGAAGACTGAGTAAAGAATTTTGAAAATGTTTCAAATTCAGAATCCAAGGAGCAGTGACTGATGGAGTTAACAGAAAGGAACTATATGGAAAGGACTAATAAATGCAGGAAGATCATTCACGTCTATCCACCGCTATACCTGTATCTAAAGGTTAGTTATATTGTGATGCATCTATAATAAATTTGTATAAAATCTGTTTAATCTATATTCAGTTGATCTTGTCTGGGAGATGTAATATATATAATGCTTTTCAGGATTCTTGCCATGAAAATCATCATGACTATTCGTTCTGGATTCAATTAATTCTCAAGATGGACTTATATAGCTTGGAGATGATATTGGTAAAACCTCAGTCCTCAGGGAACTCTTTATATTAACATCTGAAGGCCACAGAACTTTTATTGGGTGGATACTAAAGTGAAGTTCAGCACGAAGAATTTCCCGGTTAAGGACGTGCATCGTGCCTGGTGAATCTGTATTCCAAAGGCGATCGGCTGCCCCAGCGTAGGACAGAGACAAGCTAAGAGAGAGGCAAGAGCACAGAGCAAGAGGCAACCTGAGGCAACATCCGGCATGAATCAACAAAGTAAAATAGCTAGCTGACTCGCGCGGGAAGCCTAACCCGACGCCTACTGGAAGAATAAGAGAACGGCGAGCGAAGCGAAACAGAATTCGTTTGGGAGTTAGCAGGAGTGAAAGTCCACGCCTGCTTGTCTACCTGAATGCGGCATTGGTTGTCTGCCTGATTATGCCTGATACCACCTAAAATACTCCTGAACCATCTTCACCAGCCTTTCCTGATACTGTTACAAAAAACAGCGTGGGCCACTAGATAAGTCTTAACTTTTCTAAGCGACCACCCACCATCTTTTCAATTGCTATATTTTATTCTCACAGTTCAGACTGGTAAGAAATTGTTTCAGTTATACAATTTTTTATTTTATATTATGAATTTAATTCTATATTCCACTGGTATGTCTCTTCATATTATTTTTATATTCAATAAGGTATAGAATAGAACCTTGCTGTCATTCTATCTAATCGTACCGGCAGATCTACACGTGGTTTCATTTGGCTGCCGCCTTCGACCATAACACAATCGTTCTACTTCTCCCACGACTGTTTGCCCAAGTGGCGTCTGTTCTACTCGAGAAAGTACAATAATATCGACCCAGTAAAACGATCACGATGCCAAAGATCAACGCAGTACCTTCCTCATAAGAATGCCAAACTGGTTAAAGGAAAGGAAAAGGAAAAATCATTTAAATTTCATTCGAGGTAAACGGAAGTTCTTGCTATCTATATCTATAAAGGAAGAGTGTCTTACGTCAGCTGAAGACGTAACATCAATTTTGCATTATATCTTACGAATTAATGCAAGACGGACAACCTTGGGTCGATGATTAACCATCCGGTATTTGTCAAAACGCCAGATTACCATTCTAGAAATGCTCAATGTTCGACGAATGGACAAAAAACACTGAACATCCCGTTAATCTACAATCATACGTACGTAGTAGTCGAGACGACGTGTTTGAGAATTCGTTGTAGTTTTTTTTAGGCGTAAAGAAGAAAAAAACAATTTCCTTTGATGCTCACTGTTCTTCTCATCTATTATGGCTAAAGTATCATAAACTGGCTCATAAGCGAAGTCATTATCGAACCTAACTCATCAAAGAGTTATAACGTTTTATATTTTAAGTTTCCTTTTGTCGACAAGCAGATTGCTCCTTATAGGCAAATAAAAAAGGATGACGATGATTTATTAATAAATTCTCTTATTAAACCTTGGTAAGTACGTACTTGCCTCCAAACAAGTATCCAATTGCAGCTGCAGTTGCAATATAGGTAATAGCTTCAGAAATATCGTGTGAATCGTTTCGAGGATGATTCTTAATTGCCTACAACATTCCCCCAGTTAATAATCATGGACTATGATCCTGTGGATAATACACTTGGATTCTTTGGATTCTTTATTGCTCTCACGAGTGAGGAGATGACCTCATGGAATTGTTACATCTAATTACAAAGGTGATGGTAATCGCTTTTAAATAAACCATATTCAATTATTAATATTAATTCAATAATATGACATAGAAATAACAACTTATCCTTTTGCAGCAATTGGACTTAAATTCTGAAGAAGTTGAATAGCCAGAATTACAAGAGATGAGAAACTGGGACTTTTTGATGAGTCAGACTACCTTCTGAATCTGCAGGCTCTTCGAGTGCGAAGAATAAAATAGAGATGGATATTTTTAAGAACGATTTCCTTAATAATATCAACTCAATTATTAATAGCTATACAAAACCGACCAAACCTACCTTCTTCAAACTTCAAACGAAATTGATCATTACAAATTCATATGGAATCCATGACTAGTACTTTGCTGTACTTATAAGTATACATATACACTGTATACAGGACACTCATACATGACAGATATACATGAAAGGAAAAGCAGTAGTGGTAATGGCGTATGCCGCTACATGAACACGTTAGCTGTTGCAAGCATTGAACTCTCCGTCGACCGGTCTCCACGTAGGAGTCTCCAGTTAAGGATCCGCTGAGCGACCAAGTCCGTCCAGTCAGGACACCTACGTAACTGTTAAAACCCGCAATTCTTCTACACGTCCAAAGCGTAATTAACGTTTGAGAAATATCCGAAGAATTTAGTCTGTATTTATTTACTATCTATAAGGTAGCATTGCGATTATTACTAGTGAATTCAGAAAACATTGCGCGCAGTGCTCAATCGTGTAAAACGGTAAATTACCTGTAATAGCACTTAAGTAATGCCTGACGTTTTCTATTGTTCGTTAGAATCGTTAGAACGTTAACTGAGCTTACAGTACGTTCTATGATGGATCTGAAGGATCATTATGCATCTTCGTTAAATCCTTGATCTTTGGATCCTGTGATATAATGAATTGTTTCGAAATTACATCATACAGTCTTATTTTGGTACAAATTACATGTATATTGTATTATTCATATATATATATATATAGTGATGATACCCTCATAGCTAGATACTTGTATCTGATTGATTTAAATAACAGGTTAGACTCAACTGATTTTGTAGAGAACAGGTTCATCGGTGTTTTAATAACTGCAATAAATATCTAGCCTTTATGTATGGAAATTTCCCAATTATAATAACAGTAATTTATTGGATACAAAGAATATTGTCAAATTTGCAAGAGGGAAAGAGAATTTCTCTTTTTTCGCGCTTTATGTACTGTAACATATGTGCTGATATGCGCAGTATGTACTGAGCCGTATAAGGAGCACTGCCTGACGGAATTGGCAAATCGAACTTTCTTTTTAGCTCCCTCGAGACTCGATACCAGCAGGACGTAAAAGTCTACAGTATAATATCTTAAAAATTAGGACAATGTGTACTGTGCTTTATTTGTCAAGAATTTGACGTAGTCACCAATAAACGAGCTGACCAGTTTAATCGTTAAAAGAAATATTTAAACTATATTTGGACCAGACAAAGTCCAGCCTCTTTACAGAGTCTAAAAACATCAATTTTGTTTTTCAGATTTTATCCTGAGAAGTTATTGTAAATGTAGTACTGCATGAGTGGAATGACAACGTTATGGACAGTGATGAAAATCTGAGTGACATTTCCTTTTAAAACTATGGCATCATCATCGTCAACCCACATGCATCTATGCAGTTACGTATTGCTATCTAGGTGAGCCTGAACCAATATAGTTATAACTATGCGTATCTGATCGTTGCACTTACAACTGCAATGACTCCCACAGAAATGTAACAATTAAAAATGTCTATGTTCAGTGGTGCGCAACTGGAAGATTGACGTAAATGGACAGCCTTAAGGTCATCCGTACGCATCGCATTCTAAAAAGGAAACGGAACCTATCTACAGTATGTCTTTGTCTGTGAATGCAACGAGAAGAAACTTGAAGAAGGCAGGGACGTGATATCTTTCCAACCCACGCGATATAGTGAACGCCTTCAGATACACCTCGGAAGAAATAGCTGCCGAGCAAGTTGCATCCAGAGGATCGTTGGAACGGAACAGGTCCTTTTGGATGCAGGGAGAAGAGACTGACCAAGAGGCAAAATAGCCTCTGGCTGATTAGCTTCGATCTTTACCACAAAGCAAGCTGCTCTGAGAGATCAGAGAAGAGTACCTACGAACTACTTTGATCAAGGTAATACAATATTATAAAGTTTCGAAAAACTTTTAGATTTCTGAGGCGATCGCTTGTAGGTTGAAAATGAGAGCCAGGAAATTCTTTAAAGCACGTTCAATGCTTTCCTTAAGGCGGACGAAAGGTTGTGGTCAAGGACGTTACACGATTGCAGACAAGAAGAATGACTTGGAATCGTGTTGGAAGAAAGGTAGAGAAAGAACAAAAATAAAAAATTATCAACATCAGGTTTAATAACGGTAGTATTTAAGATCGTTGCAATTGATCTAATAGGTACCGTGATTACCGGGATGGGTGACGTATAATTTACTCCCAGAAACAAAGAGTAACCTGAAAACAAGTGACCTCCTTGAGATCGGTCTTTGACTCGTAGAACGAGCTGGCGGCTACAAGGAGGAAGAAGAAAAGGAACAAGGTAAAATCGAAGAATAAAGAGAAGATAAACTCGACGAAGAGGACGGGCAATGGCGCCTACACGTTGGTCGCGGTAGAGGTCGGGCACCGAACCGCAAATAAAACGTTGGATACCGCGTGCCTCAAGAGGGAAGGAGAGAGTGAGGATGAGGTCCTGAAGAGAAGGTCCAGTACTCAACTGTAAGAGGAGAGTCCCGTAGTGAGAAGTCTTGAGAGTCCAGGATAGGTCGTTGCATTATGGACACCATTTGAGCACTGGAGAACGCCGTAGGATGCAAAAGATCTACTATAGTACGGTGGACAAGCATATACCTACAGGTACTAGATGGGTCACGGAATAGGAAGAGTCAAAAGAAGCTAAAAGTAAAGAGAAGAAGTGTGAGAGAGAACGAAGAGAGGAGTGAATCTAGAGAGTAAGGGAGTCAAAGAGTATAGGGGAGAGGGAACCAAGAGTGTTGGTCGAGGATGCCTATAATCGGCAATGGACGATCGCCGCGCCTGAGCACTTTCGCATTGCTTGCTGGACATACGATATATGTATATCTATATAGCGGTAGTATACACTATATATATTATATTCTATAGAGTATATACACCTCTATAGTAGACATACCGGTCTACTCGATATCAGCCTCTTAATCATTGTTCTATCTATGCTCTGGTCGATTGTCCTTTCCTCTCCGCCTTCTAATATCTTTGATATATTTTTTATTAGCTTTATGTAATGTATCAACTACCTGCAACTATTGTCTCATTCCATTTTTATAGTGAAAGATGCTGAGTAATTCTTATCGGTGACCTCAGTTCCTTTTAGTTTCAGATACTGTCAAGTACTGTACTGATCTCCTACGTTTTGTACTATAGTGAGATTCTGGCTATTTTATAATTCTCTGATCCTCATTGAATTTGATATGGAAATAACATCAGGATGCGAATTGGAATCTCTGAGTAATAGTACTGACCATAGCGGGCTTGTACTCTTAGGAATGTAACTGTGAAACCATTGAAAAATATTTCTGCGTGCCAAATGATCTCGTGATCTTCTACAACTCCTGATGAATGAACCAATTGCTTTTTTTGGCATTGCGGTGCTGGATAGTAACACTAAAGCTCACTCGGGTAGTGAAGTCGATGATCATCAATACCTGTGAATGACTAACAGGCTACTGACATCACATTCTTAAATGACAATAGTGATTCAAAACAATCCAATGCAGATGAATGCATCAAGTGCATCCTCCTGATATTCTTTAATGGTTCGTTAAAATTACTTTAACTGTTTTTATTATTATTATAATAGACAGAAGAGACTTATATTAGAAAGATACAAGAAAAATTGTGCAGCCTTGTCTCTCGCCGTGCAACCGATTCTCAGTAATACATCCGTGACGTAAACGATTATGGATCATGTTACAGCGTTTGCGTATCGACTATACAGTTACATGGATCCTGAAAAGATACTGCGAAACGGGATACGTTAACGAGACATGTTTGCGCCTCTACGTGTGGAATGTCAATTTTATTTTTGAGACATGAACTCGATGGTGACTCAAAATGAGCAAACGAATTTTCTCAATGATTCACGTGTTGTCCCTTGCCTATAATTATTAGCATGAGGTAACGAGCCTAGGAATATCTATTGATAATATCAACCGAAAACACGATGATTATACAGTACAAATGATAATGAAAGCAGCCATTAGGCACAAGGATAAAATTAGATGATTCCAAGGACTTGCGAAAGATTAAATCATCTTGTATCAAGTATCGAATTTTCTACCTGGTAAAAACACGTGTTACTGTACGAGAATCCCACACTTCATTCTATTACCATTGCTGCGCTGTGGATGGTTGTGACATCGCAACCTTGCACTAAGATTATCGTATATCAAATTAATGTGAAATTACTAACTTTTCAAAAGCACTTATCAGTCTAAAGAGAATCATCCAGAGGGAACTGTAATATGTGGAGATATTTGAGTTTTTATAACTGCTTCATAATTATATTTAAATACGAAACAATTAATTAGCGTGTATCTTCCGTAATGAAAGTCCTGGAGATTAAATGCTTTATTATTTATTACATACATTCATTCTAGTAGTCGCGCGTGTACCTAATTAACCGCTGAACCTATGCGTTTGCACTGATTTCCAGGATTATCATTACAGACAATCGTCAACGTGACGCTCGCGATGATCTCATACATATAAATATTTTTTCTTAAGCTTCATTCAGTAACGTATCGAACGTATACTATAGTAGCCAATCTGTAACCTTCTATGGATGAGATTAACTTTCGCGCGAAAGATCATGGACGCTCTTTAAAAACGTGATGCACGTCCTCTGACATTTTGCAATTAACAAATAACAGTTTTTGAGTGGTAAACGAATATCCTGTATGAAATCTGTCTTCGAAAAAAATATTTAATCTTAAATCCAAGCATTGCTTTACGAAAGTGATGCTTAGCATTTTTTTTGTAATCAATCGTCTGTAAGTGTTCAATCGAATTCATGACGCAATGACGATTGGATTGTTTCGCGTGCCGACGAATCGCTTTTAAAAATAGGTACTTGCGTTACCTCGATCAGGATCGTTGCATTGCAGTCCGCAATACGTATTCAAAGGATCTCTCCAGTCGGCCGGCCGAGTATCCTTGACAAAGTCGCTCAAACTTTTCACTCACTCGCGAACACTCACAAAACCCGTTTTCGAAGTCGTTCGTAGATTTTTTTTTACTTTTTAAAAATTAAAAAAAAATCATTTTAAAGAAAGAATGCACTTGCTAGTTTGAAAATCAAGGATTGATCAACACGTTATTAGAGACTAAGTGTTCCCGGGAGCACTGCACTGTTTTTATCTTATCACAAAGATTATGATCGCATCTCTCACTTAGTTTTAGGCTGTTTTTATTTTTGATTTTTATTATCTGCATAAAGCGTGAGTACGTTTGGTTAGTATTCTCGATCGGCTCCTAACATTTTCTAAAGAAGTATTTACTGTACTTTTATTTTATGTGTCTGGATAAGAATTAGGTTTCGTGGGACGACTATTATATACTTTGTTAAGAAAATATTCATATGCATTCTTTTATCTTACTTTCTAAAGACATTAAATTTCTATACTGGAATTGCAGCTGATCAATTATTATTATTCCAGTCGAACGAATTTTGTATTTGAGTTTGTTCTAAATTTTATAAGAAGAAATTCAAACTAGAATTTTAGTCACAAAAAAGATATACATCTCGAGATAGTTTTATCAGAAGAAAAAATGGTCTTGACTAAATATCAATACTGAAACCCACGAAATTCAAACAGATCTCAATTTTTCAGATGGACCTTTTTCAACCTAAAGAAATATTAGCGCGTCGTGAAACATTAGAGAAAAAGCCAAAGGATGATGTTCCCAAGAATGTCAAAAAGAGGATCCTTTGATGCTGGGAAGAACAAATATTGATCTTGGATCAGCCAAGAAAAAGAAATAATTCTCCAGACTCTGTTCCCATAAATTAAACATGTCTTAACCAACGTTTCCTCGGTTGAAGACCCGGCACGATTTACATTAGAACCAAAAATGACAAGGTAACAAGTTCAATATAATAAATGCATAGTACAATTAATAAATTCATCTGAATCCTAAAGGAAATCAAGAAGGAACATAAGGAAGGTACTGGAGCCGATCATAGAAATATTTCAAGAGTCAAGAATCAGTAATCGAGACTCAAGACTGAAGACTTACCCGTCCCCATGGCTGATCGCAGCCTCCTTCCACCTTAATCCTACTGTGTATCCAGCGGCCAATCCTGGCTTGATTCGGTTTCACTCACGAAAACGATCTCTTCGTCCAGACGGGAGACCGCGGACGAACTGGCACCCTGAGACAACTTTTGGAGAGACTTCGACGGGAGACAAGACGACGTCATTGCGACCCTGGTATCTCATTGGCTGAAAGTCCCTCTCTTCTGAACTCTCAGCCTTTTTCTCTCTTTCCAAGGCTTCCTGTCCTCCTCTAGCCTTTCCATTCCTATCTATCTCCATCCTACTCTCCCACTCCGGCTCTCCGTTTCTCCTCTATCCTTTCTCTCTTTCCTATCCAAACCTTACACTCTCTTTGTCCCACCTCACTCCAAGACACTACACCTCCTATAGTAGGTGTATGTAGCTGATACCATCCGCAAGAGACTAGACTGCGCTCTGGAGTCTAGAGTTGATTCGGTGAGCTCAATGCTTGGAAACAATATCAAATAAGAAAGAAAGTTTTTACTATACTAGATACTTTGCTCCAGCATGTATCAAAAAGATGGACCATGTATGATTTTTCTATAATAGATAGATAATTTTTATTAGATTCTTTCACACTTTTGTTCTGATCTATATTGTATGCTTGCAGCATTCACGCTACTGTATGGAACAAGGATGAAGATGCTACAGGAATCTTCTAAATGATTCTGTGGAAGATGGTACCGGTATCTTCGAGTACAGTGCAGCTAGAATATTGGAGAATCTTCGGCAAGCTGCAGACAGCCGAACGATCGGACGGGTCAGCAAGTTCATTTGGTATTCTTTTCGTGGATGCGTCATCCGCCAGACCAACTACGGAGGCGGATGGCTCCTTCTTTTAGTAATCATCGCCAACGATCGATACCAACGAGCCCAAGACGAATTTCGAAATGGCTATAGAATCTTTTGACATGAAATTCATTTGGAATAATTATTTACTCATCTGTAGGATGGTGACAGTCAAATTCTATACTATTAGAATTATGCATGGGTAATCAGCTTCCGTTCTGATTATTCTGTGTAGAAATAAGGCAGTTTAGTGACTGGTGGTGAGTTGAATTTTATAGAAATGAAAGAAAAGAAAGACAATGAGAGAAATAAAAAGAAAAATGATATATTTCCTACCTATAGTTATCATTTGTGCTAATAATTTCCAGACAGTTTCACAACGAACGTCACACTGGAAGTTCTTTTTCAATTTTTTTCTTTTCCTTCCTCCACTTATTTCTCTCATAATCTTCAGTGACTTCTTATTCTTCTTCTTCTCTTTATTATCCGGCTCAGCCAGCCACTACTGAATTCTTCCGCGTGCAAGAGTACACCGTAGGTCACTTCCTGCAGCAAGGAGTGGCGGGAAATATTTAAAAATAATATCCTGACCAGTATAACTGCTTAAATAATGTTTAAATACGTAAATTGACTTACATATTATGATATTACGCATATGCTGTAACTACAGTACAATTGTACAACTGAGCCAATCATTGATTATTATTCTTACGTATATTGATTATACTCAGCGATCAATATAATCAACGATTACGTATTCGTATCTTTACTTATCATATATTTATTGTAATTGTACAACACGTGCTGGTACAAAAGAACCGGATGAGAAGGCCGAGGTGGCTTATTGTACAGTAAACACATTATTCCCAGCAACGTATGAAAATCATTCGTTAACAGCAAATATACTTGTAACCGAAGAACAGATTCGTTTTGCGCACCATCTTTGGTACAGCACGTTAATGGAATGATGTACGGTGTAGTCGAATCATCGTTTCCTAGTAGGGTGTTACTGAAAAGAACTACAAGCGTAAATGACTTATTCACTAATTCCCATTGGCTGGATATGGAAATAAATAATTATATATCTTCATTATACATCATTCAATTGCTGATAAATATTTGCGCGTACAGGAATCATTTAGTAATAATGGTATATTTCTATCAGAGAGTAATTGCAGCTTCTGGTCAAGGCTTATGTCGCTGCATAAAATCTATGCGTACGCTTATGCAACGTCCTGCCTTTAAAATTAAATCGTAAATCTCGCTGTTGTGAACACGTGTTCACCGTACATTTTTTATTTACAGTATTTCACTTAATATCTATTTCCTCAATTACCTTTCTCTGTCTCAGTATTTTTTCATTTCAGTAACACGCTAAGCTTATTCTTTGTCAAGTTAATCGATGACCTTGATACATTGAATTTTCAACGTAAAATCCATAATTTTATGTATGACGTGTTTTGTAATAATGCGGGTATTCATTAATATATTTAAACTTTTCTAGGTGACATCTGACACCTGCCATTCGTTTCATTGATCGACTGAGACAATGAGAAATATTGAAACACCTTGTACATCTACAGTTGAATTCATCCTAAAAATAATTCAGGTGAGAAAAAAATGAAGTATTAATAAATTGACAAAGTGCTAATATGTCATGGTACAATCGATATAGAACAAAGTTACAGTGTCATTTTTTCTTTTAGGCAGCACCTTGTATGGCAGTTGGCAAGATCCGTGACACCTACGCTATTGGCACACAGGATCAAAACGGTTCCGCAAAGTGTCATTCTAATCGATCATGATTGGGCAGTCACTCATGGTACGATAATTGAAGAACAGACTGTAAATTTCATTTTCTACAAAGTTCTTAGAAACATTCAAGCTCGACTATCCTCGTGCGAACTGTTCAACCGTGGGGATTAACATTTTTTTATAACGTTGATTAAATTTTTAAAAAATCACTAAGGGATTGCGTGACGTTTCTACACCGAGGCAGAATATCAACTGTCTTTTGTATAATGGGTATAAAATGCCGTAGTGCATTAACAAAAACTGGTGTGTATTTTAAGGCGGGTATTTTACAAAGAAACGACAGTTAAAATATTTATTCAGAATTCTAATTGCATCCATAATTCCTGTAAAAAAATAACCGTTATCCTTCTTTATTTATTATTATTATTATACTGCGCTAATAACTAGACGACTAATAAGCACCTACGCTCTGTCTTCTCTCTTCCTTGACGATCTTCCCACTCTTTGGAAAGGAGTGTAGCCGTAAAATTGCCAACTGATCGTACTAACGATAGATAAAAACCTACACGTAGTCTACACATAAGCAGATATTTGATAAATTCCTGAACAAGTCAATAGTATGCCTCAGTGAATCAGCAGATTAAAAAATATCTTTTAATATGACTCAGAATATCTTAACTTTCGATTTTCTTGTACACACTGTTTATCGAATCATTGTTAAGAAAGGAAGACGATATTGTGCAGCTGTCGAGTAGTATGAATTTTCATAATATTTTCATAATTTTGAAAGTAGACAAAACTGTCAACTTTCTCCAGAAAAATGATCGTCTTACATTCTAGAAAGAGAGACGATATATTTTTTAAATAGAGCCTTGATATTTCACATCGCCAAGATTATGGTCTTCTACGTGGGCAGTCCTATACTCGAGCTGCCCACACGTTAAACGCCATCGCAATCTAAGCTGGTCCTTCAAATTTTTACAATCTTACGTTCCCAAACGCAAAGAATTTCCAAGAGGCATCCTGATAGCCGACGACGACCCTGACTTCATCCTGGTACAGTGGCGCCGCTTCTACACCTGCAGGAAAAATCCGGCAAACTATCGCACTTTTCAACATCCTCACAAACCCTCTGTATTATTTATAAACCTGATATGTCTTAGCATGCAAGATAAATCGGATAAACAATCATTTATAGATTATCAAGTTATATCTTATATCATTACAGTCATTGCTACACTCCAGAATCTTCATTCAACTCCTAATCTGAAATCAGCAGACACAGTAGTCAAAGCTAATCAACCTGATGACTTCATAATGATTTTTCTCTCTAACTACCAAAGGGATCTGAAGATGCAATTGGTCCTATTGATTACTAAGGTCAACTGGTGTAAGGATGATAGTCTGAGATGGGCTGGAACAGGAATGACCAGGATGACGTAAGCCACTATATGTATAACCATATATATATATATATTTCTATCCATGGAAGCACATCTACGTTCACGTACACCATGAAAAACCCTCTCACCTTTTGGTTCTCTTTACCAGTTGGCTCAGTAAACGACACAGCCTGCAACTCAATGATGATCAGCACTGCAAATATCAAGAGGAAATGAAAATTACCAGTGTCACCATTTTATTTGGATACTAATAGAGTGAAACTTATGGATAGAAAAGACATGGTTAGTCAGAAGAAAGTATATTAATGAGTTGACGGTATAAGGAGATGTCCATAATGAGCGACAAAATCATTTAGCTATCAAATAATTTTTAGTATTGAAATTGCGAAATGAGGATATTTCTCACCCACACATTCCATTTATCTTTATTATACAAATCGTTCGAAGAATATTCTCTAATCATTCAATGACTGTATTAACGTCATTTAACACGGATTCTGAAGATTGAGCTTGCAGTATTACTCATTCTAAAATGACTTATTGGATAATTACGCAATCTTGGTGAAACCAAATGAAGCTGTGCTACAAGTATGGATGTAGCAAGGCAAATGTACTTCTCCTTCTGCTACCGAGGTGTACCAATTCAACGAATTACCACGCTCTTGGTAATAGCATTAATAACAATGGCACAATCGAAATGTATGACCTTGTCTACCAGGGTGTGGGCCACGTATGCTTTCCTGTGCCATGAGAATTCATACACCATAACTGTACGAATGCTAACACCCATGCAAAAAGAAAAAGGTTTTCGATGCTACCTACAATGTTTTTACATCAGAATAATAAATTCTAAGCAATATCAAAGTACAGAATGTAAAACAACCATTGTAGAGTGAACGTAGTGCAGTCATGATGTCTGGAGAAAATCTGTATTGTAACAATCGATAAAAGTAATAACTATAAACGGCAATGAACTTCAGTAAAATAATTATTAAATTTCATGGCAAACCGGTATAATACCGTTATGGCTTCTGCGTAGGAAAATTTAAAAAATCTGCATTGCTCTCTTTACGATCTTCGCGTAACGCCGGATCCGTAAGCAGTACCGCAACGCTATTATAAAAATTGTCGTCGGGTCGTTATACCATACAACAGTCTTGAGAGACAAATCATATGTGAAAACTGGATAACAATGGCTGCTTGAAGGAAGTTTATGTGAAGATGCTGATGCAGATATACTAGAAAATCTTTAATGGAGTGACTTAGGAATATGAAAATGGATGGTGCTAAATGATATGGAATGATTGAAGAAATAAATGTGGGCATACATGGGAAGAATTGTTTGGCAAGATTCTTCAGGTGGAACGTGCGAGTATTCGTCTGCATTCCTGGTGAGCGAACGAGCCACGTAGACGTTGAGGAAAAAAAGAAAGAGTTTTTCAACAAAAATGTAGTTCTATAAATATGGTCGACGAATGCATACAACTTATGACGAAGAGTTCGGTATTGGCAACGATGAGCAAATCCTCCTGTGTAGGAACGGGATAAGAATCTTTATAATTAACGCTAAACTTTTTTTAGTATCCAAATGACTGTCCTTGGAAATCAGGAACTTGTTTAGAGGGGCGTGCAGAACTGAGAATCTATTAGGAACAATGGACCGTGTGAAAGTCTTGCCGTTATGTTATTTCTAATACCAGACTAGTGTGTCTGAGGAAGCTGATGAGGAAGGTTCCTGGATTTTGTACTTATTCGATAAGATTTTAATTAATGAGAATTTATGGCTAAGTTAACGAATAATGGTATGTAATCACGTAAGATTGCTCATGGTGTCTTACCATCCATGAACAATCCGGGTGGTGAAGATTCTGCGAGTGGTCTAGCATGAAATATATTCGTACCACCCGGTGTAGTCGTAAAATGTGAAATTTCTTCGAAAAGCAAAAAGATCAGAGGGGGAGTAAGAAAGATGGTCGATGAAGGAAGCGGCTACGTATGATTCGCGTGGGCCAGGATGCGTAGGTCGTCTGGCCTTCGAAGTCCTTCAGTGGAAAAGCAAAAACCGGGTTCGACAAGAGACCAAGCGAGCGTGGGCTTCCGGTGGGAGGACTGGAAACCAGACTTCACGCCATTATACATAACTGTAACCATTTCGAACGCGAGAGTGACCATGTGACTGACCCTGTCCAAATAGAAAAAAGAACATTGAAGAAAGTTGATGGTATAATTAGGCGATTCAATGAGTATTTTGCCTTTTACTTTTGATATTTATATGGGTTCTCTAAAATGGGGGTTTTGTAAGAAAACTTCATCAAACATTGATTTGAGAATTGCATTTTTTGATTTTATTCCTTGTTATAACAGAACAAAATTCTAGCACAAAATGTATATAGGTATAGAGGGTCGTAGCACAACTCTAGAAAGTAAACAGCACCACCATGAGTCATTCTTCAAGGACGAATTGTCGTATCGACGTGTATTTTATTGTCAACAAATCATAATCACACATTGCAAATATCGACAGGTGTAAAGATATACATGTATGATTACTTAAATTATTTTTCGTATAGCGGATCATGAAGGACATACCAGTGACATATTTTTGAAAACTGCAAGGACACAGTATAGAAATCAATTTCATGTTTGATATTTCATGAATTTCCTAATCCGTGGCTATACTTTTCTTCAATTTTCGTGCTTCCTTTCGCTTTTCCTTTTCCGTCTCGTCGTGGATTCTTCTCTTCTTCCTCAACAGCCAAATTTCCTTGGCTCTTTCTTCGCGACCCTTCATCATACTCTTGTACAGATTTCTATGCTTCTTCTTAATCATCTTCTCACGAAGTCGGTATTCTTGCTTTTCTCTTTTCTCCTTCTCCCAAGGATCTTCCTTTGTCACTTGACCCGCCTTGACTTTCATTTGTTTTTTCTGTAAATAGAAACAAGTCAGTAATAGGTATCGATAATCTGTTTAGCTCTAAATTATTACTTATTTTTAATTTTTAGTTTATTATTGTATTTTTTTTAGTATCAATCACATTACCTTTTCCAAGCGTTTCTGATCTTTCTCAGCGTTAACTTCATCGATTTGTTCAACTTCGTCCAGATCTTCTTCAGGGTCACTAATCTCGTCTACATCTTCGTCAGATTCTTTATTATCCTTATCCCCAGCAATGGATTGCTCTTCCTCAGACGCTTCCTCGGAATCGTTTTCCGCTGTAAATACAATTATAAGATTGTTTAGTACAGCCGTAATGAGTACAGTAATTACAGGTGGACTGTTAAGAAACTTGCCGTCTTTTAGCCTGTACTCGGAATCCATAAGGACACGCTCTTCTGGTGGAATGTAAGTTTGATCTCGTTGACTGTCCGTGAACGGAGACAAATGTGGCGGTAAAATGCAGCCCATAAGGTACTTTTCCACGGGTAACAATTCTCTGGCATTTACTGAGTCAAATACCCATTGTGGCTGGACATAGTATCTGCACGTGTAAAGTAAAAAAAAAAAAATAAGAATAGAAAAAGTTAAAGAAAATTCGCTAATTATTTAAATACATACCTCGAGATAAATTGCTTATCCATACTTGGTCTGTCTACGATATGATGAGTAATAGACTCATCATTCTCATCAAACGTAGCTCCTACAAAGAGCAATTTGTCCCAGGACACTTCACCGCCAAAGGAGCGTAGTGCAAAAACAAGAGGTTCTCTCGGAACTTCTCTGTTAATGAAGAATTTCAGACCCTTGAACAGGGTCTTTAATTTCTTTATTTTTGTCATTTCCAATTTTGCAGCTTCCAACTGAGATGGATCGGTTTCCTGAAGAGAAAGAGAATTAGAATTTGATTCTTATAGAAGAACAAGGTTACGCTATAATTTGATATTGCACAGTTACATTTGAGAAATTATCTATGTCCACTTCTTCCTCGAGACTTTCTGTAGTTGCATTTAAACTGGCCAATGGTGTATTCAGAGCACTGATTCTTTCGGATACATAAGCTTCTTCATCTACCAATGTTTTATCACTGGTGCCTATACAAATATTAGGATCCAAATTATTGACTGCCTATTAGATGAACGCAATAATATCGTTCAGTATATTTACCTGCATTAGTGAATTTTGGTGGATAATGCAAGTTGAGTGAATGATATAATCGGAAGTTGACAAAACCCAGCATAGTCACGTAAAATTCTACAAACGTCGACATGATACGGAAGTCAACTTCTAACTTTGACTGTGGTTCGAAACAAAAGTGATGGGAAACTATCCATGTGACAGTTTGCCCTCTTATATCAGCTTGATAATAATATCCTTTGATCGATACAAATATTTTACGAAGGGCTTTAGCAGCTATAACAGCATGTATAAACTCGACTGTTAATCTTCTACATAAAATAGTCTGATCCCTGGGTACATATTTCATAGATGGAAAAGTACTAAATAAAAAGCAGAGTGTAAGACAATCATCCAAGTCTCGCAACGCGTCAATAAATGTGGGATAACGTTCTTTCACAATGTGGTCAAGTTTTAATGTTGGATGATTCTGGAGATACCGCCTCAAGGCTCCAAAGTCACGTAAGGCTTTAGCCTTGCTTACTTTTTTACCAAAAATCTGGAATTCCACCAAACTCATATTACAATTTAATTCATAACTTATAGAATCTCTATTTGGTATTATACCATCAACGATAAGTTACAGCTACTACCTTGTACTCTCGCAACTTCCATATTATTGGTTCGTGCATCAAAAACTGTATGTCTTTTTTGTGATATAATGTTTTAATGCCAGTATGACCCTGCTGCGCACGTTTACGATTACGCGGTTCACGTGGATATATTCCTTTCAAGATACAAAGTTTACGAAACTGTTTCAGAGACAATTGTAACTTCTTCATCGCTGCTTTTCGGCTCATAAATTGGGCTCCCTCACCCGACTGGTACTGTAAGAGTAATTTGACACATAATGCATAATCCTTATCACATACTATTTTAAATTAAAATCCATATGATCATTAAAACTGCTCAAAATATAAGAATTGCTGCTGCTTAACCTAGCAACTTAACATCTCACTTTTAAAGCATATTGTAATAAATTAAAACATTAATATATAATATTCCGTACCTTCTTCTTCCCAATCACAACCATTTTTTATATATTTTGTCAATACTTTTATAAAGTCAATATTATTACAAGCTTTTAAGGCTTATAAATTACAAGCAGACACAATACGTACACGTGCCTGCATTGAAAGAACCACCGTATATATTACTACACTGTACTTACCGACAGAGGCTATACATCGACTGTCGTTAATAAAAGAACATGATACTAATTAAAAATGATCTCGTAGATGGTAACTAAATTAAATTCGAAACGCGGATCTATACATTATAAATACAAATTACTCAACAAAGAATTATCATTCAGCGTAACGCCAAGTATAATTAATGAGGCAGATAATTGATCTTAAATAAGTCACAGTTTATTATTAATATAACAGTTTTGATTGCGCACAGCACAACAATATGTGATTGCAATTCCCTGGATCATCAAGAGTTCATTTAATCCTCCTGCTCCGAATCTGATTGACTACCATCGCTCTCGTCCTCCAGTTCTGGCATAGGAAACCGCAGAAGAGCTGCTACCCCAGTGAGTTGATCCAATTCTAAAAAAAGTATAGTCATTATTCACTAATATTAGCATTCGCTGTCCATTGAAGAATATTTCACTTACGTTCCCCTGATACGTGCATACTCGAGAATATCTTAACTTCACCACCCGAGTCCCTGACACCTTCCACTAGGCTAACGTATTCCTTGCGCAAAGCAACGTCTTGACATCTTTAATAATTATTATAAAAAATCATTAAACATTCTCTGCCTTAGAAACAGTAATATTTATTTAAATATTTTCAAAAGCTTCTTACCGAAACAGTTTGTCTGATATGAGTAAAGTTTCTACAGCTTGTGCTTCGTTAGCTTTTTCCACATGTCTCTTGCCATAGAAAGCTCTGGCGGGATCAGATTGTAACATAGCATAAAAAGCCTCCAAAGCTCTGACCTCACCAGCTGCTTTAGTATCTGATATCCGTGACACAACCACTGGATCCGCAAAAACTTCTGTAAACAAAATTAGTTAATCCAGGATATTTGCTTTTGTGTTGTAAAAAAACCACTATTGTACCTCTTAACGAATGTTTAAAGCCTGAGCTTGCGTGCACCAGCATAAATTTACTTCTATTTTCTAGAATAATTTTGTTATCGGACTGTACAGCTTGCTGAATCATGTACGTCATAAATTGATCCTTAACGAAGCCAGGGCTTGCTATGAGGACACATTTAACCACATCGAAATTTATGTGGCGTAATATACCTTGCATGAGACTTTCATAGAATCGGCTCAAACCCTGAAATTTTATGAAACATGTTCATTAGTTTGTCTAATAAGCTTGATAAATTATTTATTATTGCTACAAACCTTTTCATGCTGAGAAACGTTACCTTTCCTCTTTCGAGGAATAATCTGATCTATTTTAGCACGTACTATTGTCATATTCGAAGTTATTAAACATATATGTGCTATTCCTTCCTGCATCACTACCGCAGCTACGTCGGCACTCTGTAAATATGAAAAGATAAATAATGTTTTCTAGGAATATTGCTGAGTTTACTTAGAATACTAACCTGAGAAACGTCACAAGCCATATCAACGCGTTCCAAAGCTATAGTATCCCATTTAGGTTTCACAAGAATAAATTTACGATTTTGTTCGACATCCAATGTGTGATAGGCCCCCATCTGTATGAAAATATATATAGGCTTATAGAGTCACCGCTATAATGTTTTGAAAAATATAAAGATAGTAATACTAGAATATGCATATACCTTAACATATTTATTTTCCTCTATATTTCTTCCTTTAAGTCTTAGTACACAGGCTTGAGTGTCAAAGTCAATATTTTCTACAGAAATTGTAAGGGTAGTTCTCACTCTGTAGCTGTTAGAACTTCCTGTTGAAGATTCAGTTTGCACTTTCCTGCAAGATTTAAAGAATTTTTGCATAATTTACATGAGCTACGAAATAGTAAAAAGATGATGAAATACTTTTTTCCTTACCTAATAGTAGAACAGCTAACACAATCTCCTTCGCTAATAAGATTATAGGCATGCCACATATCCTCAGGATTTTCAGGGATAAGAGAAACATTCCTGCCAATGACAAAGGTGTTTGTAAATGATAATACTGTTTTCTTCTATAATAGTCTCATTATACAAAATTCCAATATAAAATCATTATCTCTAGTTTGAAAATTGTTTAACTATTATACTCACCCTGCCCCATCCTTATCGACATTTTTTGAAACTAACTTCATTTTGAATTATATAGACGCTGCAACCTAGGAAAGAAATAAAAAACTTTTCTCAGTATCAATATTCCATAACGCTTGCTCCTAATTTCTAAGTAATAAAATTACAAGATCTCCTAAGATTTGTCATTATAACAATTTAATAGTCCCAATGAATTAGACTGTAAGGCATAAAGCATATAAATATTTATCTCATGAGCTCATCTTCTTGCCTAAATATAACAACAAAACCCTTATAAAGCCATAAAGTCATATTCAATTCTTTATAATAAAATAAGTTATACATCATAACGATTATAAACTAATATTAGGTACCAGAAACGCATGCTGGTATAGGTTAGCTTACCGCAAAGAGGAAGAAATAATATTTACAAACACAATTACCTCACGATTTATTGTAAGGATCAATGTTTCTACAGATAATCCACTTCATTCTTCATATACAACAGATATAAATTAAAGTATATTCTAGCATATGTCGACTGTAAAACGTCATCTTTTCGTTCTACAAGCACAAATCTGTTGCTCTTTCTTTAATTCTCATGTTTGGCACCGAATTCATACTGGATTATTCTTGACTTCTTTATCCTATTAGTATCAGTTCTATGCAGCTCTGTGTAGCTGTCCTCTTTACAACAGCACCAGAGTGCGCTGTAAGCGACTTCGCAAGAATTCCACCAGCACCAAAATATACACCCTCCTGGTATTATTACAATCAGTATCTGATATAGATCTTTAAACATTTATAATGGCAAGCACAGGATGGAGGGTAAGGATATTATATTACAAAATTTATATATCCTCTCCATAGTGACAAAAAATGGAAATGATATATTTGACAAGGTAAAGAATAAAGAAGTGAGTTATTGGTTAGGAGGATCATCTTTTGTTTAGGTTGTCCAAGCTCATGTGCCTCTGATAAGATTTCGCAAAGGTGGTATTAACAAAGGTGAGCTGTTAGTATATAATAATTTAAAAATAACAGAATATTCTTATAAAAATTTGATGGTTTTTGGTTAGTTTCTGCAGGAGTAATAGCTGCGCCATCTGGATCAGTGTCGTCAACAGCTCAAAGATCTCAGGGTGCAACTGGGCCCAATGTTATTTCTCTGCCAACAATTGATGATTTCCAATTGCCTTTGCGTTTCAAAAGAAGAGCCATAGATCAGAAGGAAATTGATTTTATCAATGTAAGATCATACAATATTCTCATACGTGACATACAGTATTTCTAATGATTAACTTCACTTTACAGCGTGGTGGTCCTGAATAACTTGACTAATGTTTCATAAAGAAAACTTAGCTCATCGCTAAATTATACGAAATTGCATTACTCATCGACTCATCTATTCGATAATGTACTCTGCAAACTGTAAATAAATAGTTAACGAAGAATAAAATGAATCTGACATACTTTTTACTGAACTATCAAACAAGGTTACTCTGTAAGTTTATTTGACATTGCTAAGGCTGCTATTTTTGGACTAGCTTTCAAGCTCACTGACGTAGACCTAGATCAGAGTTTGGATTGAATGAAGCTTTAAAAATTACACAGCATAGATTGGAGCTATATATATTGCTCCTAAGAAATTATTGATATAAAAATTAAAGTATTGTATATCTATACAGAAACCTTATACTAACAAAGAGTATCTTTAGATATAAATTCATTTAATGTATACCATCAATTATTATGACAGTCACATGAATGGGGGCGTTTAAAAAAATCGTATTAGAATTTGACAAGTCTAAACAACTAAAATCTTAAGCCAGCGGCCACAGACCTCCACTAAATTATTATTGGAGCAATGTTTTGAAATGCGCAAACGTAGTCGATAGACAGATTATCGTTACGGTCCTGAGGGTTGCTAGAAATAGCATAAGACAGTGTGCTGCTGGCCGCTGTTGGCCTTCCGTCGAGAGGCGTAATAAAAAAAAGATCGGCCCGCGAATCGAGGCGAAGCCTCGATCCATCTTGAAAGTGCGAGGAAGAAATCGAAAAAATTCGACAAGAAGCGAACGACTAGACGACCGAGGATCTTTAAAGAAAATCTAAAAATGGCTGAGACTGCAGATTTTGGACCACGGAAGACAATTCTTATTCTGGCAATAGTGGCTGGATGTTTCGCAGTGTTATGGCCAAAAATTTTCCACCCCATGCTAACTGCCTCCGTCAACCCTCCTCCTACGACTTCGGACAGCTCTTCTGGTAATGTACAAGATATGAAATTCTCATATTTTCCTTGAATTTTCTGCGTCCTGTTTTTAAGAATATTGGAGCAGAGGAAATTAATAAAATGTCCTTCGACTGCTCTTAATTGCCATCGCGCATTCCAAGACGTTTGACAATCATAATAATTTCGCTGGTGTTCTTATTTTTATTTAGTAAAATCATTTTTAGTTTAATAAAATATATTTTCATAGTACATTTTTATTGTTTTTTTAAATTAATGCACCTTGGTTTTTTAATATCTTTTCGCGGCCTCCAGAATGTATCACATAATTTTTTCCGTTTATATTTTACATTTATCATGATTTCATTAGCGTGCTGCGATGTCATATTCGAGAGCGACGTAACTACGGTGGATATAATGCAGGAAATGTGCCAGAATATCCTGCGACATCACCAGGTTGATCCGAGAGTACGAGACGCCTTGAAAACTAGCAAGTTGACTCCGCAAAGTGCAAGTTTATGTCGGGAGGAAGTTCTAGCTCGCTGTGGCATAGACTTGTCATCCTTCCTGGCTGAGAGAGAAAGACTGGGAAAAACATACAAGCAGGTCCTTGAAGAAATCAGGTCCTTCAACAGTTCCCTGTGTCTCAAAATGAATTTTGGAGTTCCTCTTTCTCAACTCGGCACACCTCACCTTATTCGATATCATATTCTTATGCCACACAGTAAGCCTCTTACATTTGTCAAAGAATAACCAGGATTGTCAATTGCTCCTATGGCTGAAGGAACTGCTGACTAATGACTGACATTCTGACTATTTCATTTTGATAAAATTAACGTATTCAATTAATTGTTGGAATTGTGTTACTAACAATACTTTCTGTCTCACTTACAACAATGACAGAGAATTATAGATGAATTTATATCCTCTTTAAATTAATGAGGAATATGTTACATGTTAATTTTTCTGAATTGCTCTGTACGGAAGCTTAAAATGATACTGATTTGATCAGGTCATAGGATATATATGGAATGCAGGCCTGCTGTCCATTCTACTTTGGCACTGAGCCAAATAAGCAACCATAATGTCTGGCACAGAAGCTTTGGCCCACTGTCACACTTCAAAATACATTGGCGTCATACCCGGCTTTTTCACGTCACCCTGAACTCATGACAAACGTTTTTTTTTATCTCCATACGATCCACAAAAATCAGAAGTAAACTCTTGAACGATGCCAAATCACGTTGTTATATCATGATGTGTGAATCAAACAAATAATTCTGTAACAAAAACTGATCTCATCCATTCAGACTGAATGACTTAATAATCCCATGGTCAATTGAGAACATTAACTTTTCTTAGGTACCATAAAACAAGAACGTAGAACTCCACCCCATGCAGGGGGCCTGCATCCTGCTCTAAGAGAACGTGGTCGAGCTATTCCAACATCTCACATTGTCCCCAAAGTAGAAGAGCGTTCAGAGCATGTGGCAGTACCAAAAATGAGGCCACCAATGGGTGGTGCTGCACATGTAGTATCAACACCAAAAGGGAACGGTACTATGGGCATCATAATGCCACTCTACACCTTGGGAATCGTCCTCTTCTTCTTATACACTATAGTCAAGGTACAATGACCTCATAACCCTGTATGACATCAAAACCCCAGTAGCTAATGCAATCATGATCTCATTTGACAGGTGTTAAAAAAAAATACAGACAATGAAATAATCAGTGAATATCCAGGAGCTGCTGCTGAGAAAGAATTCAGAAAGATGGTCTTTAGCCCTGAAGCCCTGGCCAGTGCAATGACAGGAACATTACATTGCCGTAAGGAGAGATCTGCCTCACCAGCTAGACCGGCTCCTACTATAGAGGAGCTCAAGGATCGTAAGTTGATTTAAAATAAACGTATAATGATTCAAAACTGAAAGAGTTCCCATTGATCTAATCTCAAGGTCAGAGTTTAGTCAAAGTCAATTAATATCATCCGGAGTGCAAAAAAAGGATAATTCCATGCTTCGCTGTGGCATTTCCAGAATTACAATCGTACTCGTATTCTTTGTTCATTACGTACTTCCGGTTGTGAACCGATTTCATAATGTTGTACATGCTGGGACACTAGAAGCTGCAGGGGACATAGAGATAGATCAGCTGCGGAGACGATTGGTCGAGACGGAGGCAGCAATGGAACGTATCGTCGTTCAGATGGGCAACTTGTCGCGTTCTGTAATGCATACTCCTAGTCCGGAACCGGAGCTCAAGGTTTTATTAAAAGCAACTATTTGTCCAGAGAATAAATTCGATGAGACGATACATATTTCAGTTTTTCCATTAGTCGTTAGAGAAATTTGCACGTTGCTATGCTCTGATTGCGTTTTAATGCGGCTTTTTACACCCAAAAAATCCTGAGGAAAGCGTATAAATCTGTACGGCACGAGCTCCGAATCGTCTTTTATTTGTGAAGTCTCCTCTTATATGGGACTGTCTGTTATCTGTTCCACTATTAGATCAATAGAATTCACGCTGTATAATTATACGTTTTGAGTAGTAGATGGGGCTCCAAAGTCCAATGGTCTGGCAGGGTCCGGCCCTAGCACTAAGGTACTTTCCTCGCTCCAACAATATTTTTAACAAATGTAACAGCTCGGTTTTTTTCCTTATCGTCATATCGTCGTATTCATTTATTTATCAGGGTTATTCTCGACCAGGAATAACTTCTTGAATTTTACTTCAGTGCTTGATTGCGAATACCTAGGAGTAAAAAAAAGAAACTCGTGGTCGAGAGTATCCATAATAGGCGTAAGCCCTGTAACCCATAGAAGTGCGACCATATTTACTTTCTATAGCTTCATGATTTACAAACGCCTAATATAGTTTCTGCAATGCATGACAGATAGATATTCACGTTTAATTTCCTTGTCAATAAAATCAAAGCTCTAACGAGAGAACATGCACTGCAACGAAATTAAGTGACTCCTTGTATATTTATTTATTGTATTTACCCTTGTTTTGTCTTGAGTGGTGTAGTATGTTATCCAAGAAATCATTGATACAGTTCTTTGTACGATTTACAGGATGATGCAGAGGCACCTAGTAAGGAGGATTATGAAGTGGAAGCTGTGGAGATGGAAGAAGAAGCATCGCCAACTGTCAAAATAATGGGAATGGAAATGACAGCCAGCTGTGAAGGTGGACAAAGATGTAGCAGACCAAGTACTCCGGTTATACCTTCGCACAGGTAGATTTTTGAAACGATGATTGGATTTTTAAAAAGTAGAGTACAGAACACGTGTGTTCTTTTTGATTTTAGCCATGTGGAACGTGAGAAAACTCCACCGAAACCGATTTATCTTGAGGGTGCTTTACCATCACAGTGTGAACTTCTGGTCACGGATTCTGAGACCCAGGAAGAGAAGGCTGAAGAGGATGCTGAAGCTCCGGTAGTTCTCTCAGGCAAAATGACTCTCTCCCTCATCAGTCTCGACCAGATCGCAGCTGTAAGAAAATATTAGATTACCAACAGAACTCGAATGAAACTACGGAGCCTTGTTTTATTTGGTGATTCTTTCATTCATTTCATTGCTTGGCTAATACACTTATTGATTGACAGGCTGGGTTATCGATTAACCATTCTATATAATGAGTGTAGTAGTTATAATGGATATTGAAAAAATAACATATTTGAGACAGTTAAACGACTGCTCCGCCTGTCAGAAGAATTCTCGACGGACTAATGAAATTATGTTATTATAGTATACTTTTTCTAAATCGGTAATATTACTATTTTTTGTTGCTACGTTTATGTATCTGTTATGCAAGTCTTTAGCTTCTTTACTAATCTTGATTAGCTTACGTGCTGTAGCTGACAATGAGCTAGATTTTTAAAGTATAGCATTATACATACTATATATTTAGTTATAAAGTTGCTTTGTTTATTTTACTTTTACAGTTAATTTAACTTCATTTATTATGTTTAAGACTTTGTTCTAACACAACTGATATTGTGTTTTATACTATTAGTATATGACTCAGAGAATTACCTAAATATCGAATAAATATTCTATAATTAGGATTCTGAAGAAAACGAAGTAGATGAAAACCCAAGACAGGTTGAGCTTCGGGGTAACGTAAATAGCAACGAGGAAATTGAATCAGAAGAAGAAGAAGAGGATGAGGAGGAGGAGGAGGAGGAGGAGGAGGAGGAGGAGGAGGAGGAGGAGGAGGAGGAGGAGGAGGAGGAGGAGGAGGAGGAGGAGGAGGAGGAGGAGGAGGAGGAGGAGGAGGAGGAGGAGGAGGAGGAGGAGGAGGAGGAGGAGGAGGAGGAGGAGGAGGAGGAGGAGGAGGAGGAGGAGGAGGAGGAGGAGGAGGAGGAGGAGGAGGAGGAGGAGGAGGAGGAGGAGGAGGAGGAGGAGGAGGAGGAGGAGGAGGAGGAGGAGGAGGAGGAGGAGGAGGAGGAGGAGGAGGAGGAGGAGGAGGAGGAGGAGGAGGAGGAGGAGGAGGAGGAGGAGGAGGAGGAGGAGGAGGAGGAGGAGGAGGAGGAGGAGGAGGAGGAGGAGGAGGAGGAGGAGGAGGAGGAGGAGGAGGAGGAGGAGGAGGAGGAGGAGGAGGAGGAGGAGGAGGAGGAGGAGGAGGAGGAGGAGGAGGAGGAGGAGGAGGAGGAGGAGGAGGAGGAGGAGGAGGAGGAGGAGGAGGAGGAGGAGGAGGAGGAGGAGGAGGAGGAGGAGGAGGAGGAGGAGGAGGAGGAGGAGGAGGAGGAGGAGGAGGAGGAGGAGGAGGAGGAGGAGGAGGAGGAGGAGGAGGAGGAGGAGGAGGAGGAGGAGGAGGAGGAGGAGGAGGAGGAGGAAGATGAGGAAGTGGAGGTAGAGGAGAAAATAGAAGAGAAACCGCAGAAACTAGTGGAAGATCAAAATATAAACGGACTAATGGTAAGTAAAAATGATGAAAGTGAAGAAGAAGAAGAGGAAGAAATAGAAGAAGTAGAGGAGGAGGAGGAGGAGGAGGAAATAGAAGAGGAAGAAGTGGAGGATGAAGAAGTAGAAGATGAAGAGGAGGAGGAGGAGGAGGAGGAAGAAATAAAGCCAATAGAACAGAAAGTATACAATACTATATCAGTTCAAGATAAAAAGAATATAAAGTTGCTTAAAGAGAATGAAAGAGAAGAGGAAGAAGAGGAGGAGGATGAAGAAGAAGAAGAAGAAGATTAAACAAAAACAAAATAAAGTATGTATATTGAAACAAAATTTTCAAGCTGTAAAATTATAGGATACAAAAAATATCTGTAACACCTTAAGCTCTACAATAACTGTGAGTCCATAGAAGTGTCAGTAATAATTTTTTATAAGGCAGCAGACATATATATTTATCATATCATTTCATTTCTCATTAAAAAATGAAGCAAATATGTAAATCACATTGACTCTGGGAAACCAGTAGTTAGGGAAAGTATTCTGAAAATCCTTAATTGCAATGCATTTTTTTCGAATACTATTACCAGTATGTATATTGGTGGCTTAAAATACCGTTTATGATATTGTAATCATCCTATAGAAAAATTGTTACATCACATTGATCACCATCATCTGTAATCTTTATTCAGTATTCTAAAAAATATACTGAAATAGCGTTATTTGAATTCTTAATCAGTTGAAATAAAATATTTCATAAATAAACACAATAGTTTATCTATATTATATTTATTTATTGACCTACTGTATCTGTGTGGATAAAAGATTTTATATTTTATATGAAATTACAAAGGCAATTCTTCTATAATTATTGGTAATTGGTGTTAGCTGTGCGTTTTGACGAAGTCAAAGACCCTTTCCTACTATTTGATTAAACGCATCCATTTCACCGCGGTTCAGAGGCTGTAACATTAATCCTGGAACAGGAGGATTGTGTTCAAGATCTCGTAATTCATTCACTTTGATCTTGAGATCGCTCCTGATTTTATTAATCCCAATATCGCATTCCTTCAGGTCTGTAAAAAAAAATTTAATTAACTTTCAAAAAGCGGTAAATTGATTTTTTTACAAATCTAAGTGATGAAACCTCTGGTTAGTAAATCCTCAGCAGTTTTCTTAGGAAACTTTATTAGTAATGATCCAACAGCCATCCAGGTTTTTTCATTTTTATCTTTTTGTACAGCACGAAGCCCAACTCTGTTTTCATTTCTTCTTCTGTCCAAGGCGATGACTTCTTGGCGGTCTGTTAAAATCTCTCCAGCTTTAGCCTCGATGCACTCAAGAAACTCGAGCATTTTCTTCTGCTGATCCATCCTCTATGACAAAAATAGTATTCTCTATTTTTTAATGGAAAAATTACTGACACACTTGGTACCTCCTTCGTTGTGGCTTTTTGAGATTAATGTGACAATCTTAAATTCTCTAGTCTTTATTCACACGTTGTAAACTATTCCTCTTAGGATAGTGCTACACGAAGTGCTCGCTCTTTTTTGGCTTCTCTGTTCAGTAATTTCTCTCGGTCACGTTTTTTCAAAATTTTTGGACGTGGTGTTTTCATGTAATTTACAGCACTACAATCGCCTGCTTTAAAATGGGTGATCTTGGGTTTGCTGTCTCCGGGCAGTCCAATTCCTTTGCGATCCTTTTTTAAAACAGTCTTTACTGGATACTTGGCACCTTCTCCAGAAGGTCCAAGCCCTGAATCCTCGTCCCATCCAGAATCTAACAGCATCTGATAACCCTTATTCAATTTTGATATTCCATATACGGCACCAGGCAACTTGGGTTTTGTATTAAAAATATGAAGTGTCGAAGATTCATGTTGTTTTATAGAACTTTCTTTAAAGGTTGCTTTACATACTGTGCAATAAAATTCATCCATTTTATCAATAATCCCTTCTTCACCCAACTCGTGTTTTGCCATACAACTTTCCAAATCAGTCATGACTTTCATTGGTACTGACCAATTTTCTTCTTGATAGTTCTTCTTTCTCAGTAATGCAACAATATTTAAATAGTTTTTTTTTAGTGCTAGTTGAGCAGCTGTTAATCCTGATTTTTCTCTTGCTTTTCTATTTGCTCCTAATTTTAAAAGCAATTTTATAATTTCCAAATGACCACAATAAGCTGCACACATTAACGGAGTCCATCCAAAGTCATCAGAGATATTAACATTTTCAGTATTCAAGTGCTTCTTCAGAAACTGTACGTCTTGCTGCTCCACAGCTTTGAGTATCGAGTTTGCTGTTACTTTAATATTGCTATTTGATTGTTGATTAGATTTAATTGTAGGTTTCACCACCTTTTTATTATAATTTATTATCTTTCCTGGCTCAACTGCGCTCTCTTTACTAATTATCTCTTCATAAGCAGTCTTAGCTTCCTCGCCTGTGAAGTTTAACTCTGATCGAAAACTCTCGAAAGGTGCTTGTGGAGCACCACAGGATTCCTTGACAAATCTTTTCCAAGGAAGATCTATACTGGTCAGAGAAGCCCAATTTCGATATAATGACATGTTTTAATAAACAAACGTTGTCTCCTTGTTATACAAAACTCTTCTTGGTTATCTCACTCTCAATTTCATATTGTTTAATGAAGATCAATGTTCTACTTTTTACATATCAGTAGGGAATAAAATACATATAAATATGAATTTGTTACGTACAACAAGATTCACGTATAAAAGGAAACGCCGACGAAAACTTGTAGGTATTCAATTGTATATCTTATTTGTAAAATAACCACTAAAATCTCAGCTTATTACTCTGCAGAATCTATCGACATGAAACCATCTTACGGCAAATTAGGAAAAACACCTACCAGTCATCTCTGGTAGCAGACTTGAGAGCGATGGTTATATTGATATTGAAAAATACTCAAAATTGCACCTCTAGGATGCTATATCTCGGAAACGGCTGAGAATGTAGGTTTTTCTTGAAATTTTCAATATTTTTAATTCAGAAATTATAATGGTCCAAATTAAATTAAATGAATTTGCATTAGTTCGAATTTTCGCCGATAAGGGGGCAGAGATGGCCCCATTTTTCTAGAGTCTCTCTAGTAGAGGGACTCTACATTTTTCATTATCTCTGTTATCATGTTCAGGAGGTGCCCTTATCGACGAAAATTTGAATGAATGAAAATTCATTCAATTTGATTTTGACTATTATAATTTCTGAATTAAAAACGATAAAAATTTAAGAAAGATCAGCATTAACAATAGAAATATATTAAACCTAACATTAGAGATATATTAAATTTATCACTGAAATGTAATATATGTATGTACATGTATGTTAACTTGCGCCATCACTTTGGAGTTTCTTTCTTTCCCAAAAGACATTTTAACAATACACTTACTAGAAAAAAAGTGAGGGAGACATAGGAAGGAATAACAGACTCGAAAATAAAGTAAAAACATTTTATGGCAACCGGCTCATCGGCTCATTGGCAATCTCCCTACATGCTTGCTACTCGTCTCTGCTACCAAAATCCGGAGACCTAGCCAAACTTAATGAATGTGAATTGTTCGTGTTTCTTCGGGTTTCTTCGTGCAATTGAAGAGCAACTGAACCGAACCAACATTACACGAGTGATGATAACTCGTGTACACTCGTGTACGGCAAAAGTTGGTTTTCGTGCTTTAAAAAGTCTATCCTTTCGTCATTTACAAAGACATGCGTCTGAATAATCACTCAAAAATAGCTATTGGATGGTAGGTGCGTATAAATATTACGAAAAGATATAAAGTTAATTAAATTCATGACTGAACGCAAAGCCGAACATGATACTCCATTCTCTAGTTCACCGAATAATTTGATATGTCCGATACTATGAAAAGTCATAGATTTTCATTGTCCAATATTTACATATAATAATTACGAGCATTTAGTAAGATTGTATTGAGCTTGATATATTTCTTTGAAATTGTGCTAATTAAAATTGTTTTTTTTGTAGGTTAGTAGTAATATCCACTGGCTTATATGGGTTTGTCTTATCCAAGCAGCGTGTTGAAGTTCATCGTTATGAGAGTATGAAAGCGCGAGAACGTATGAGACAAGCTCCACAGGGTGATTTATCAACGAGAGTACAATCTTCAACATAATAAAAAAGTAAAGGAATTATTTTACAAGAAACGATGGCGAGTTTACCAGTTTTGGACGATGAGAAGCTGAAGCTTGTCCAAGATTTGGAGATAGAGATGATGTCAGATATGTACAATCGAATGACATCAGCCTGTCACAGGAAATGCATTCCACCAAAGTACAGTGAACCTGAACTTGGTAAGGGTGAATCTATTTGCTTAGATCGCTGTATTGCCAAGTATCTGGATGTTCATGAAAAAATTGGGAAGAAACTGACACAACTGTCAATGCAAGAGGAGAGCTTCCTAAAAGGCAAGATTGGTGAACAATCGAAAGTTTAACTGTTAATTCATCGTTAGGCATTTCTTATATCAGACTAAATGGCATTCTTTTCGTTGAGCTGCTACATCTTGCATCTGTACAAGCTGGGATTTGTATGTAGTGCTACTTTCTGTACTTAGAAACTATAATAAAAACAATACGAACGATAATTGTCAAACAACTACTGTAATCTTCCTTAAGACAGTCATGATCAAAATACCAGCTTTCTATGCACAGTATATTGATTCAATGTAACAATAAATGTAGGTACAGTACAAAGTAAGATTTTTTTCTTGAAACTAATATGCTAAGAAAAAGATCTGCCGCTTTGTCATTGTTAATATATTCTAGGCCGAGTCGGAATTAAATTTGAGCATGCGATATTTTATTTCTTATCGATAATTAACAAGAAAAGTAACGTAAGTACAATGTCGGACGACAGATTAATTTCTTAGCACAATACAATGATCTTCATTTTTTTTTACAAATCGGTCTATCGAATGACAATACTCGATAGAGTTCAATGAATTCTAACTAGGTGCGCAGAATCTACTGATTTTTATTTTCCTTCTCTCACACTGTTCAGACAACTGCGACACACGCACACCCGCGGCACTTATTAAACTGCACGCACGACAATCTTAATCGTTAACCAGCGGTTTTGTCTTTGACCGGACGGCTCACAGCCAAGATTAAAGTATGTTGTCCTCCTCCAGAAGCTCGCACTACGGTTTTGTCTTCTAATTGTTTCCCCTTAACCATTACAGGAAGTTCTGCATCGTCTTCGTTGCCTGTACCTAGTTGTCCACTGCTACCCATTCCCCAGGCATACAGATCCCCTAGAAAAAATGTTGAATAATTGCTGATTATAAAATTCAAGTAAAAATTATGATTCACATTGAAATTTCTGTCAATAGAGGCGCACGATATATGTATATATTCTTATTACCTGAATCTGTGACAGCAAAAGATTGAGCATTTCCAGCAGCTATATCAATACATTTGATTAAATTTAAAGCAGGAACTGGAGTAAGCTTCTCAGCATCCGAACAGCCAGGTCCTAGACCTAGACGACCGTATTCTTTACGACCCAAGACAAATACTTGGCCACTTTCGTCCAAAGCGATTGTATGATGCTGTCCACTACTGATGTGCCTCCAAACTTTTCCTGTGAAAGTTTTTGATACTTGGGGATGAAAGTGCGGCACCAATTCTTTCAATCCAATCTGATGATAGTTATTCAAGCCGAAGACATAAATTTCGCCCTTATGAAACTCCTTGGCGAAGGTACAGTATGTACCAGCCCATACGTCTTCAAATTTAAGCTTTTTTGTGATCTTAAATATAACTTGGCCAGGTGTCAGCAGAGGAGCTATACCGTGGCGGTTATGTCTATCTGCAGTCCTCGATGCCACCCGACCTAATTGTCCTTGTTCTCCACAACCACATGTGAAAAGGTTTCCTAATTCTGATAGTAGTACCAGGTGATCAGCGCCTGATGCTATTTTTACTACTTTTACACCAGGTAAAATCTCTACTGGAGAGCGTTCGTTACCTCTTGTAGTTAAGCCCATAGTACCATGAGAATCCTGTCAACAAATCCGTTATATTATTTTTAACAAGGTTATCCTCCTTTAGAGTGTAAGTGAACCAAACAATAATTTACTAAATTTCTTACCCTAAACGATCCCCATGCAAAAACTCGTCCATCTTCAAGGACTGCAGCACTATGGCTATCTCCTGCTGTTACTTGAATTGCCTTTCCAGGAAGTTCAGTAAATCCTGGGATAGTTTCGGAACCTTCTTTCGAAGTATCCCTACCAAGAGCTCCTTCGTCATTGCAACCAAAAGTCAAAACTTTTCCAGTTTTTGTCAGGCATACGTTATGCATACCACCTGCAGCTATCGCTACAATGTCTTGGTATCCTGGGACTGTAGCAGGTCTAGTCTTTTCCATTATATGCTCTCCAAGACCTAACTGACCCACATCACCCTGACCAAATGTGAGAATTACTCCTGGAGGAGCGATTCTCAAGTCTGGTTTGACAATTAGTTCTGAAACTACTGTAATTCAATGTAGCAGAGAATTAATATCCATATTCCCTATGAGACGATGATAAAGTTGTGATACTAGTTTACCATATGCTCCAAGAGTGCAACTGAGTAATGTTGGACCAATATAAAAACATTAATTCGATGAACTTTAAATACTTTTCTAAGAATTTGCAAGCTTATCAAAGTAATAACAATTTTTAAGACTTGAAAAATATGATAACTTATGACACAAAAGTAAAGAAGATCTAACAAATATGACGGGAATAACACAGCTGAGCAATGCCTAGCAAATTAGAATCGATTATAAAATGAATTCACGAAACAACCGATAATATATTATAAACAGTTAAACAAACCTTGCTTCTTTTTAGATTGTTTAGCGTCCTTAGGTCCTTCTTCCGGAATTTGTGCGGTACGTTTAGTCGCTCTCCTTGGTGGCACTGTAAATTATAGAGGTTACCTTAGATTGGTTTATCAGTTTATAAATTCCCACATATTTTCCCCAAAAATTCTTTTAACAAATAAATTAATACCCAATAAAACATAACATAGTACGTACTCTTTTTCTCCTATAGTGTATAATAAAACAAGAATAATGATGTTATCTTCTCTTTCACTTGGTTGGCGCCAAAAATTACAATGCCTCGTGAACTATACGATTGCGCAACTGCCAAGGGGGTTAGAATTTAGAATGGCTGTTGCACCGGTTACTCCGAAATGCAGCAAACGTTTTCATAAACCACCAACATTCTGCCAATTTCATTGGTTATCCTAGGTGGTTAACCGTGTTGCCAACCAACAGGAGACTGCATCAAGTATTCATATTAAAATTTCAATTAATTCCTAAAATACAAATTAAACAAGTATATAAATTATTCAATGTATAAAGCAATGATACCAGACGAATTTGATCACATAAGACACACCCCACGCTATCAAATGGATTAATGGAACCGAATATTAATCAAAAATCAATTAAGTTTCTATGGCGTTAGTCTTGAATATAATTTACGGTAGTTCATTTAGCACGGAATTTCTGTGGCGATGAATTATATACATTTTTTAGGTTATACACTGGCTGTTTGAGGAAAAGCATCCTCTAGGCTATGTATTTCATTCCTCCAAATACACCGCCTGCTTGCGGTCCATTCTGTCTTGGTTGTGAGATTTGCTGCGAGCTCGTTCTCTGTAATTATGAAGATAATGATTATTCGGTATTGGTATTATTAAAATGCGTAACTTATTTAAATGGTAAACAAAGAATCCTATCGTTTTTATCTCGCACTTTTATAGAAGATAATAAAAGCTCTGGAAGATGTACGACAGCGTACTGAATATCTTCGCAAGAAATTATTATCGGTTGAAAAACATAGCAGATTAGCTACCATGGACAAGCCCAGAGATCAAAGAGCAAAGAGCTTTTTGGAAAATCTTACCTGCAGTGAATCCGTGGAATGTAATGTTAAATATTATTAAGATTTTATTACTGGGAATATGCATATATTTATTTAGTATTCTTTTACATTTTATCTAGCTATCGATGCTTCCGGTACACGATATCCGCTGGAATCAGATAAACACCTTTTTAGTGATCGTCACAGAGACAGGAAGTATTTGTCAAAGTCTGAACTCTCTCGTGGAATAGCTCGAAATTCTGTTGATACTATAGAGGCTTGTTTTGCAATGATAGAAGAGATCAGATCTGTTCGTTGTGAATTAATGAATGCCATAAAGCCTTGTAAATGTCAAAACGTTACGGATGTTAAAGATTCTGTGGATGCTAACTGTACGTCCATTTCCGTTGCACCTGATCAAATTAGACCAGAAGTTCCGATTAGGAAAAAGAAACAAGGAAAAAGAAATGAGGAGCGAGAAGCTACGTTAAATTGCACGACTAACTCGAGAAGTGCTGTAGAAAACACTCCAGGATTTCCAAAAACTTGTAATAATTGTACAAGGAATGAAACGGGAACTGAAAACTGTTTCAGAGCCCAGGGTAGAAAATGTAAAAATCGATGTGCATGCGGAAAGCCCTGTCGCACCTGCTGTACTTGCAAATTTTTGGGAAACGTGTGCACTTGCAAAAAGAAGAGTTTTACTTTCCTAAGGTACTTTTGCACCTGCAGAATCAGTATTAAATAAGTATTAAATGCATTGATGAGAAACCTTTTAGAGTGCCTTCTAGCTGTTATACTCCAAAATCCTGCTCAGCACGAAGAATTTACCATCCTCGTGATTTTAATGCATGCGCTTCAATGCCTACTCGTGGAAGCTGTCGGAGCTGCACAATGCGCAGATGCAGCAAACCCACAATAATCAGACAAACTTGGTGCTGCTGGCCATGCATATGAGTATCTATGATTTTATGTTTAAAAAAGAACAAAAAAACAATATAATGTATTTTTGAGTAATATCTGTCTGCAGCAGATGGCACCCAGAAGAAGTCAATATCTCATGGAAGAGTTTGATGTATTTTTTCATGATAACATGGTACAAATAAGATGGAAAAGGAAGTAACTAAAGTTATAGCAATACTCTCTCGTGGTATAAAACAACGACTGATAACACACCAAGGTATGGGTCAAAAGAATTTACATAATCTTGGATCGGTAATTACTATTCCATACATACGCATGAGAAATTAGGCATTCCTTGTTTTCGGTTATTATTAAAAATATTCATCTAAATGTGTCTCTGTACAAGATATGATATCAGTAATGGTTCAAGAAACGGAAATATGCGTTCAGACTAGATTAGGAACGTATTTATTATATATATAATCAGGATGCGTGTATGCACGTCGACCAAGTGTTCTGGACAAATACAAAGGTCAGCGAGGTAACCCGAGATTATCTCGAAAACGTTGCTATAAAAGACTCGTCGCGAAGCAGATCGGTACGTACACCTCAACCCGGTCGTCGTCGTCTTCATTGTCGTCGTCGTCGTCATAGTTGTCAGAGCTGTCGCTGTGAGTTTAAATTTGCGTTAGAAGATGTTGAGGTACCTGGTGGTACTAGCGGCGGCTAGCTGCTGTCTGGTCGTGGCTTCGTCGAATTTTCCTACCAAGACAGCCGACAAGGATTTCCTTCTGAAGCAGCAAAAGGTTTACCAGCTGCTGTACCATGTCCACCAGCCGGATATAATTCTACCTGAACTCTACAAGGAAGGCATGGCATGGAATATCGAAGACAATTACAACCTCTACGACGACGTGGTAATTAAAGACTTTCAATAATATTTTTAATGTCATCCCGAGGTTCCTATAACTGACCAACGTCGATTGTCTTTTATGATCTTTCAGAAATGCGTCCAAGAGTTCATGGAGAGATACCGGTATGGTATGCTTCCACGTGGACAAGTCGATTCCATCTACTACCAGAACATCCTAGAGGAGACCAAGTGCCTCTTCTTCGTCTTCTATCACGCAAAGAACTTCGACACCTTCTACAAGACTGCCGCCTGGGCCCGTGTTCATATCAACGAGGGAGTCTTCACCTACGCCTTCTACTTGGCTGTGATCCACAGACCTGACACCGCATACATCCAACTTCCAGCACCCTACGAGATGAATCCTTATTATTTCTTTAATAATGAGATCATGGAGAAGGCACACCATGCTAAATTCTTTGGCAACCTTGGTAAAGTTTTCTACAGTACATACTTCCTGCTATTGTCTTTTTTCGCATTAACATATTGTTAATTTCATCATTTTCTTGCCATGCAGAACATCAAGGTCCCAGTGGTCAAGATACCTACATCATCCTAGCAAATTACAGCGCGTGGTACCTGGCTCGTGAGGATGACTACGAGAGACGCCTCAATTACTTTACCGAGGATATTGGACTGAATTCTTACTACTTCTACTTCAGACAAAATTACCCAACTTGGCTTAAGAGCGAAGACTTCTCCTGGGATCGCAATTTCCGTGGTGAAGAGTATCTTTATGGACACAAACAGATTCTCACTCGATACTATCTTGAGCGTCTTTCTAACGATCTTGGCACTATTGAGGACTTTGATTGGAGTCAAGAATTCCCTATTGGTTACTATCCATCGTTGACCTATAACAATGGTCTTCAATTCCCAATTCGTCCTAAGTGGACCAATATTCCCTCTTATAAGTACAAATACTTAAAGGTACGTTTTTTAAGTTCCAAAGTGAATTCTTACTGATACCAGGAACATGAGCACGTTCACTTCTTTGTAAACTGATAATGATTTTAGTTGTCTTTTGTCCATTTTATTTAGGAAGTACAAGACGTGGAACACCGTATCACCTCAGCTATTGATTCTGGCTTCATAATTGACGCCGACGGCAAACTTATCAAGATCACCACACCAGAAGGTCTCAACATCCTAGGTAACATCATCGAAGGAAATTGGGATTCCCCTAATCCCAACTTCTACAGAAGCATCGATGTTCTTATGAGAAAGATCTTCGGCTACAACCTGGAGCCTGCGAGCAAGTATCAAATATATCCTAGCGCGCTGGAACATTATTCTACCAGCTTGAGGGACCCAGCTTTCTACCGCATTTACAAGAGGATCGTTTCTTACTATCTGAGGTAAAATTTATACTGGTATCAAGAGACAAAGAAGAAAAGTAACGAGTAAAGAGAATTTGCTTATCGTTGTTCTTGCTTCAGATACAAGAATCAACTAACACCCTATGTACAATCTGAGGTCGTCTTCCCTGAACTGAAGATCAACTCAGCATCTGTTGACAAGTTGATCACGTACTTCGAATACTTTGATGCCCTCTTGAGCAATGGTATCCTCGTCGACAGTGCTCAGGAGGCTGAGTCCTATAACGTCAAGGCTAGACAATACCGTCTCAACCACAAACCCTTCTCCTTCCACCTGGACATCAACAGCGAGAAGCCAATGAAGGCAGTGGTCCGTATTTTCCTAGGACCCAAGTACAATGTCCTTGGCAATGTCCTGGATCTATCTGAAAACTACTACAACTTCTATGAAATAGATCAGTTCAACGTTAACCGTTAGTACCATCTTCTAGAAATGCCACAGCACCTAGTGAATCACAGTTTCAAATACTCGTGTACATTTTCTTTCAGTGGTTGCTGGAACGAACAAGGTCGTGCGTAAGAGTTCAGATGCCTTCTTCACTGCACCGGATACTACGTCCAGCGACTACTTCTACAAGAACATTCTCAAGGGTATCGACGGCTCCGGGAGTGTCGTTTACGAGGAACGTCTATTTGGTTTCCCAGAGAGACTTCTTCTGCCTAAGGGTAAAACCGGGGGTATGCCCTTCCAGCTGTTCTTCCACGTCAGCCCTGTAAACGAGGAGTACACATATTCATCAAGAATCTGGGGAACGATCCCAGTTGATCGTAGGCCTTTCGGCTACCCACTGGACAGACCCGTCCACGCCTTCCAATTCCACGGACCCAATATGCTCTTTAAGGATATCCTAATCGTACACAAAGAAGAGAGTGATTTCAATGTAACTATCTAATCACTGGTCAATCAATCTTGATAACATATTCTCTAAACTGCTCACTCAATCCACTTCCTATGCTGACTCACCTATAGTTATTTACTTACTTTCTTACTTACTTATCCTAGTTACTCGCATATGCGGTTACGTTGTCGCTATGTCCCGGTAGCATGAATAAATTTTTATTATTTTAACATTGGTTACAATTCTTTATTACCAATCTTCCCACTCTATCACCAATCCTTATGTTCATCCGATACAAACTCATCGAGTATTCGGTCATCCTCAACTACCATGTCGTTTTGCCTTATGTGCGCTCGAACACCAACCTAACTGTACTCTACGCGACGCGTATAACAGTACCTCCACGTTATGCTAAATATCTACGCCCACCTTATTAGCGTTCCTGGCAAACGGCATCCTTATCCCATACTGGGACTGTTTTCTAACTAAGTATTATGATACTCCTTGAATTCTATAAAGAGACTAGTTGGAACTCCGTATAAAGTTTTTATCCAGTTTTTCTCTACCTAGTACAACCATAAAGCGATCAGGATGCAACTGCTCTTACAGAATGTAAGAGACGTTCTTATCGGTCAAGGTCGTATGCGTTTTTCCAGAATGGTCTCCCAAGGAAGGAGATATAGGAAGGGGCAAGAATGTGGAACGTTAACCTGGCCGAGTGAGGAAGCCAGAGTGAAGAACCGGGTGAAGGTAGGAGTTGCTCACGGAAGCGTTATTCGTTGCTTCAAGAACGTTAGTTTCAGTTAGTTTCCACGAGACCGTCGTACTACCAGGACACACAAGACTATCTCTTAATCATCAAGCATCCTGACCTACTAGCACCATGGAATTTCGTACCTTTATTGTAAGACAGTCATATAATCTCTTACAATTGCATCGCTCTAATGGAATTTTAATTAATCATTAGTAATTCCTTGCACATCCGTTTTTCTATATTCTACGACTTTCCACCTGCACCAACCAACCAGATTCTTTTATCTTAACTTGTAAAACAGCTTCTATCTGGTACATTGCTAACTATCCTAACGGCTTTATCTATGTATATATTGTTAATGTACTCATTATTATTAAACTGGAACCAAGGTACATCTTTGTTCAATGTGCTTATTCTTTCCTTTAATGCTAACGCTTAGTATACGACATCTTGATCCTTGTTAGGATTATCAGTAAGATATCCGTTACTGTAGACCTGGGTCAGGCTATCGCATATTAATAGAGCAAGTGGACCAGGTACCGTTAACGCAGAAGCTAACTTAACGGGTACATTGCTCAGCTGATGGGCAGGTGTGCTGTATCGACTTTATATGAGGCTGTATATGTCTGACTCGACTAACCGATCCAGTTCGTTAGCTTATGCTCTTCGTTTAGGTATACCTTACACGAAGATGACCAGCAGCATTTTTTTCCTTATTGCATCTTCTATGGAACAGACTGTAGTTATCTATACGTATTCCATGATCTAGGAGTCCCTACAGTAATAAATGTAACATGAGAAAAGCTATAGTAAGTCAATGAACGATAATAGGAAAATATTATCTACCTCTGTGTAGATGATGCTTTTGTGCGCGTGCACCCTTGCGGAGGAACTGCGTACCAAGGATGGTAATTCTCAGGGTGATAACGAGGAAGTCGAACCTCCTGAAGGATATTATGCCTTTGTAGAATCACCTAATGCCGAACCTCCAAAAGTTCGACCACCGCCGTACATTGACAGCGATAAAGAATGCTATGGTATGGACTTATTGGTCTTATGTATTTTTCTACGAAGTAGGTACATTGAATTTGAGAGTGAATTGGTCTTTTAGATACTGGAAAGCAGGGACAAGGATTCGTGTCTGTTCATAATATTTGTGGAGACTTAAACAAAGGATATATCCCACGTAATCCAATGAAGCAAAATATTGACAGGCAGTCTTATCCATTGTGAGTGATTATTCTTGGATTATATTACATTAAAGAGGTTGTTATTAATTACGAGTGAAAAATGTGTCACACTGTATCGATACGATTGAACAGAAAGTTCGTCGTTTGGTTTTTAAAAACATATTTTTGCAGGTTTATCTAGCGAAAATAGAATAATTAACTTCAACTCTGTCGATAACGAGACAATTTATTTTTTAACTCGACTTAAATTCTCTAATGAGCTTGACCTCTGATAACATTCAGATTAAATATTCCAACAGCTTCTGGAAATCTCCATTGTTTCTTATAAAAAATGAAGATTCTAGTGTTTAATCTTATTGTATTTCAATGCTTTACAGTGAATTATTGAGAAATCACACGTTGAAATTCCTGAGCAAGGCTCTACCCATACTGAAGGCTGATGATTCCTTGCCAAAAGTCGCCAAAGTCCAACCGTTTTCACAAAATTCGTAAGTCTTTTGTGACTACGCTGAGCTATGAACTGCGATTATTAATCAAATATTTGTTTGCTTATTAGCGTGGATACGGACGAGAAACGAAGTAGAAGTAAAAGAGAAACTTCGTCTCCAGAGAATAGTGTAACGGATGCGATTCGCAGTCCACGAAAATTCTGCGAAAATGGTGGTGGAGTGTAAGTGGCTATATATTTGTTGTATTTTTAAAATTCTAATTTTAATTTATATTCATGTATACAGAATGTGTATGCTGTATAAAGCTATTCAGGGCGAACCCTTAGCCAGTTCGCCAGCGGAACGTCGTGACGATCCCCCAACTTTGGAATATCGACAACGTACGCCATCCTCTGGTTCAACCATCCAACAATCATCACCAGGTCATCCTCCAGTACAACAGTATCCAGCAACAGTTCCAGAAAAGTCTGAATATTCTGGACCACCGACTCCCTGTCCAGCTAAAGTTGAATACGCTACTCCTGTTTTTGCTAAAAACTATCAGGGCGTCTGGCGATACGTTGTGCAGATACCCTATGAGGGATACTTTACCCAAACTATTGAAGTCACTAGATGCATGTAAGTAAAGCTTAATGAGAGTCATTGTGAAACTGTGTCATCAGAATAGTTTTAATATGACTTATCAATTTATACAGGCAGTCCAGGTGCCACTACCTGGATGGTGGCTGCCTCTCGTCTCCCAGATGGACAAGTTTGTTGGTAGCTGAAATATTCTACCCGGACACCTTCCTGGAGGAGAATCAAAACGGAAAACTTCCCAGTGCAGCTAGAGAACCCATAGCCGGGTCACCGCCACCCGTACACGATTTCCAAAATTACCAGCAATATCTGCAAAAGCGTGCAGGCGAGAGTGAAGGCCGTAGCAGTCCTGGGTCGCAACAACATTGCGATGGCATGGACGAAATGGGATGTTTCCAGGTAAAAAAAAATTAATATTTCTCATACAAAGTCGGCTACAGCTGAATGTGGCTATGTATGATTACGTAGTAGAAAGTGTATTAACAACATTGATATTGCCAGGTACGACTTTATTACGACTGGTTCCTGGTACCAGGAAGTTGCAAATGCTGGCGACCGGATTACTTCAATCGTTACGTACGTCGCAGTTCCTCCAGTTCCAGTTCCGAATTTTAAATCTTACATAGATTGACTCGAGGATACTAAACAACAAGTATAGAAAGTCGCTAAACTAGCATGTGTCATTGTTCTGGTCGTACATTATTAGACGTACAAGTAACAGTACCGTGAAACACGTTATGAATATGATAGACGATTCGCGCTTATCGAATGAAAAGGCGTTAAAATTTTAAGAGAAGATAAAAATTGTATTTAGCAAGACCAAAAAAAACTTGCGAATAGCAATACAGTATGCAAAATAGTATTGACTAAGTCCATCAAGCTCGGTAAATTCACAACGTAAAAGATTCCTCCTATTGAGAATTCGAAGAGTTCATTGAAATGTTGCTTGGAGGATTTAACACAGTTAGAAATTCCGGGATTTGACTTGAATGGCTGTGTTAAAGAAAAAGAAACCGGTTCGATGTGTACTTTTCTTTCGTATTATACCTGATAGATAGAATATGATATTATAAGTAATATAAGAAGTAGAATAGGATAGAATAAGACCAATGAAAAGAATAAACATCCGTATTTATAATATAATTGTGTATGAATAAATTTTCTTTTATTTTCGCAATGATAGAAGTTCTATAAATATCCGGGTTGTGCCGGAAACGCATTTACGCTCTATTATACAATCAGTAGACGCATATAAAAGGACCAATCTGGTGCATGTCACCAATACATCCTTTTACTTTCTGACAGATAAAAAATCTAATAATCGCCCATCTCGTTTCCCTTGTCTGACTTTATTACCGAATCCTCCATATACAATTCAACAATCACTTACGTTTTCAAACAATCAACTGCTCATGGAAACGTCATCGTCATCTTCATCGTCATTATCCCCATTCTCGATGTTCTCATTCTCGCTGTTGTTATCCAACCTTTCATTTTCTACCACGTCCCTTCCTTCATTCGCTTCCTCTTCCTCGTCCAGCTCAGAAATTTCTTCCCAATTTTCATCAGACTCGCTGCCCATCTCTACTTCGTCCACGTCGGTATCTTCGTCCGAAGAATCTATTAATGATAACGAAGAATTCATTGAGTAACATGGTGGCGCCACATACTATAGTCGTGAATACCTCTAGAGGTCAGTGCGTTTGTATAAGATTTAACACTGCATTACCTGGCTCTTGATAAACTAGAAGACTGTCTTCTGTGACATTTTTATCCTGTTTTTCATTAGCACGTGCTATTTGACCTGTTATCAATGAAACTCTGCCTTTGAGTCTGGATAGTTCTGTGAGGAGTGTTATTTTAGCATCCACTACACCCAAAATGGGACTTAGGGATTCACCAATTTCTGGATGCGATAGAAGTTGTGCTGCATGTGTGGCTACCAAAGCCTTCAGCCACATGACTGCTATTTTAGTCCTGAAAATAAATTACTTTTGTATAGAAGAGTCAATAGTTACAAAACTGAAATAACAAGATAAACATTCTTACGGGTATGTTTTGCCTTGAAGCATGGTAGTCAATTCGTGTAAGAGAGGTGTAATCTCTTGCACAGGTAACTTGACTATTGTGCTTTTGATCAGGTTCTCTTTCTTGATCATGAGTACGCTCTTTAGGATCTTATCGTCTTTGCTGTGCAAGCCTTGCATTAACAATTGCACCATGTTTTTCTCTTTCTTGCCTAATGTATTACCAGATGTGATTGTGTCTTCATTTAAACTTAGATTTTCTAATCGGGTCTTCATAGGTAATTGAGAGCCTGAGGCAGTTGAACGATTCCTTTTCATTGGTTTGGTGGTCGTTCCTTGAATAAAGATACTATTAGTATGAAAGGAGAAAAAAGAAAAATAATCATTGTCGAAGGATCAAATTAATATACCTGGAAGAAGATATTCTACGTTCCCTTCAGTCTCTGGCACTTTAACTTTTGTAATGGCCCCTTCCCTCCTTTCACGCGATTTTCGCACATCTGACCTTACCAAGCATTGTACTTTATCGGAGAAATCTGGTGTGAGTTTCTCGAACGTCAAATTCAAATAAGAACCATAGGCCAGAAGGAGTTTTGCATCTTCCGTCAACTGCCCTAATAAGACTGGAACTTGCTGTACTAAGTCCTTTTGGCTTGCGTCTGAAGCTATTAGTATACTGATTGATGGTTTTATTGGTTTGGAACAATGACCATTTGGTTGATATTTATACAGATGAGTATGGCCAGAGCGTGTTATGGCTAGTACCATTATTTGACAATTGTCAACTACACGGACTGAAACGCAAACAGCTTCATCCTGCATAGTTAATGTTGCAACTGCATGTTTCTCTTTTTTTTCCTGTAAACACATTACCATATAAAAGAATTGCTTGTGCATAAACAGAATAGATTCTCTATCAATTAATCTTATTAAATGATTATATAATTCATAGAATACGGATAGGACATACTTCATTAAGTGACCACACATTTAAATATCCCTCGCCAGTTGCTGCACTGATAGCGTATTGACTGTTGTCTATTCTTATGGAATTTAGAGACACAACTTGTGTGGCGTGTCCTGTAAAACTAGTGATCATCTGTTTAGTCGACAGATTCCACCATTTGATGATTTTGTCTGCAGAAATGAGGGACTTCCCATCAGGTAAGACAGAAAGAGCTGTGATTTTGCCTTTGCCTGATTTCCATTTGCACTTTATGCAATTCTCTTTCATGTTCCACTCCACTAATTTCTGATCATGACCCGCTGTAAACAAGCCACTAGTTTCTGACCATGTGAGAGCTGTTACAGCTCCGGAATGGTCATATTGTAACTGTTTACTAACAGAACCTGCTGCAACATCGTACAACGTAACATTGCCATTCAAAGAACCCATTGCTACAATTTCCTTATCCTCTGGATCTTCTGATATAGACCTTTTCTTGCGCTTTTTCTGGAAATATACCATTACAAAATTATATTATTATACAAAACGATAGCACTGGTATTCAAGCAGTATGAACTAAGAACAACTTGGCTCATCAAATGTCACAGAACAATAAACAATATTAATAGAAAATATTAGTAAAAATTGAGGGAACACATGGCTTACTGAGGTTGGTCGACGGCACGTTGTAATCCATCCCAAAACACTGCATGGTGAAGCAAGATGTAAATTCGGTACGTATTCTTGTTTGAGTCGACTTGTCGCTGTTTCCCAAATCTTGAGTTTCCCATCATTTCCACAATACGCAAGATATTGTCCATCGCGAGAAAATGCAGAGCATCCTATATTCGCCATTTTAACTGTTGTCTGTTTACCACGCGGTTGCCGCCACCGCTTCAAATCCCGGATTAAAAGTTATACAAAAATACAGAGAACACTCACACGTTCCATCTCTCCTCACATTTGTAGCGTGCAATTCCTGCTTGCCCGCCTTTTAAACTTTGTCTTATATATTAATTATTCAAATTCGGCAAATCACAAACTTAACCTCACACGAATGCGCCTTCAGTAACTTTAACCACGAGGTTGAATAAGCGCCGATTCTATAGAAATTTGTAGGTTATAACGGGATACTGAATAATACCTTTTATTACGGACTGTTAAACTAGATGGCACTAGTAAAAAGATTGGGATGACATCTATGAGAATTTTATTGGACTTTTCACATCTTCCTACTGACTAAAATTTCAAAAGAAAACCAACGCATAACGACCGATGAAAGGAAGAAGATGAAGATTCCATAAAAGAAAGAAATATTAAGTTCGTAGAAACAAAAGGAAGAGAATGAAGAAAAGCTAATAATAAAAACTACGAGTAGTATATGTATGTATTTTTTATGTTACAAGATTACAGTAGTTTGGCACTCAGATCGATATCGATCGTCGGATGTAAAAAAAGCCTAACCGTTCGCTCGTAGCATATTCATTAATGAAAAATAGGTGATTCGAGTAGAAAAAACGCAAAATAAATGTCAATTAATGCATATGCTATCAATTACGAAACAGTCTTCTACGTTAAACAGTTTATACGGTATTATTATATCGCTAGTTCAATCGTAACCTTCCATTTAGAATGAGTAGAGTGCACAAAGTAGAGAAAAATCTCTTCCGTGGATTTCAAACCCGAAGGGTAAAAGTCCACCCTCGATTATTATCTAATCATTCCTGTGAAATCTTGAAGGGATTTTAAAGGGTAGATGTTTTAAAAAAATACAGGTCCTTGAATATCATGAAAATTCTTAGACACCTTGAATCATCGAGGTCAGTAACGGTAAAAAAAATGAAAAACCCAACATTAAATTTCTCACAAATAACGCTCACACGTTTTCCATCAACGTTCATTAAACTGTCACAATTTTTTTTTGTCATAATATCATCTTACTTGAAACATTCAACAACAATATTTCTTCGTATCCTTTCCCATAATAATCGACGACAATCGTCGATTATGCATTTTTTACTTTTCTCGTTAAACACGTTCAGCTACTTTTTATTGACCGAACCACCGTCTTGTTTCTCATAAGACTAGATGAGAATATTTCTGGTATCGCCAACGATTCATTTATATTTCGAATATAAAATCAAACGGCAAATTTAATTGACCAAAGGGCACTTGCACGTTTCGCCCTCAACAAAGTTTTATTTTTCATTTAAACCAAATGAACACGTCACACTCGATAGTAAACGAATGAATCATCCTTTTCATCCAGTAAAATGGCTGAACTGCCATGTATTTTCATACATTTAGGTCTTCTTTTTTTAATTAACCTATCATACAATCATATCTAAATCTCAGCCCATAAATATTCACCTACATTGACCGTCTCTCGTCATTGGGATTCGCGTCTCCTTAATATATTTCCTCAGTCTTGCTCAAACAATTGTATATCTGCATTTGGCACAAATGTTATCAAATCGAAAACAAAAGATATTGATAATGTTCGGTACCACAGATAACGCACATAAAACACATGCACGCACATATAACGTATCCGAAGGAGATTAAAGTTCACATTATTCCGTTTTTATTAGGAATAATAAAAGTCACGTTAGTCCATGATCGAAAGTCTTTTGAGATTAGTGCGCCTAAGCACCGGAACCAGAACACTTCTACTGTTCACAAAGAGAGTAATGGCATTGTTAGAATCTAGGACGTGTGATCCTTGGTCCAGTGCTGGCTCTCTGCTAGACCCAATACTGATTTCTTCGAAGAAGAGGATTAGCAGGACGCTGTGTTCCTGTTGCAGAAGGAGTAGGTAGATCCGACGTGTCGAAACTGCTCCACTCGTCAGGATCAGCCACGCCATAAGGATACCTAGCAGAGACGTCAACCTCAGAGCCGGTGATACTCTCCAGAGGACTCAAAGGTATGACCTTGCACTGAGGTAAAGTCGAGGGTAATTGTACAGTAGGTAAGACTGGCAAGGGTGTACTGGCTGTTAGACTATTGTGATGTTGATGTTCACTAGGATATCTTTTAAGATGAGGAGTCGTGGGCATGAGATGATCCGGTGGTCGCGGAAGTGGCATCACGCCTAGGGCGGGTGTAGCTGCGACGTCGGGTTTGTCCTCCTCGGCGTGTTTGTAGCGGTTGTGACGATAACGGATAGTAACAATGACGACAACGCCCAGTAAGAAGACACCAAGGAGCATACCCAGGATGAGGAGATAATCGTTGCTCATGTTAGGAGCTATCGCCATCTCACCTTCGTGACCAACGGGATCCATGGGACCAGCCAAGGTATTGTTGAAATCGTCTAAATCGAGTTTTATTCTATAGGTAAACTCGCCTGCTGCTGGTTGGAATGCAGAGCCCACTAGAAGGAAGGAAAAGCTGTCTGCGATTCCCTCGACCTCTATTGTTGGAAGTTTACGGGATACAAGATATATTACTCCGGAGGCAACTTCCTGGTGGGAGAAGCGACTGACCTCACGCTCTCTGGAACCCTTTCGTTCGCCAGAGCTCCGTATGATCCGTTTGATTTTGCCAAACTTTGGTTTCCTAGTTATCTGATAAGTAGGGTTACTGCTTGATAATTGGGCAAGGGGTGTAGCGTCCAGGTACTGGAGAGTCAGTTTGTTTCGTTCACCAGTTAGGATGATCATAGGCTTCATGATCATCAGGGGTACCACCTTGATCTCTACATGGATATTTCTTAAGTGGAAGCCACTAACCTGCGCAGAGAGTTCGAGACTGTCGTTGGCTACGCTCATATTTGTCTGCATGAACACTACACTCTTTGAGAGAAGGTCGCTTTGTCTAAAGGATGCAGCTTCCACGTCTCTGACGTAGAGGACTCCATACTGTGGCATTCGGCTAACCTCGTACAAGACCAGTTCCTGTCTTGCGTTAGTGTCTAGATTAATATTCTCTTCGGAGATGAGGGCGATGTTCGTGCCCTGTTGAAGGTGTACAGGACGCACGACGGTCACGTTTAGCCGAATAGGCAGGACGTGGACATTGAAGACAGTGTAAACGGGATTGAAGCGGCCATCCGAGACTCGAAAGTAGAAAGATGCTGCTTGAAGTGGACCAAGATGCTCGTAGATCAATCGGTTCGAATCAACGTCCTGCTGTACGAACTTATTCACCTGTTTGACCTCTGTGGAATTACCACCAGAGGAGAGGAGTAACAATCGGCCATAGGTTGGACCGGATATGACGTCATAAACAAGCTCACTAGCATCCGTATCTGGATCAGTAGTCAGCAAGTTCTCCCGCGTTATGGTCTGATTTTGATTTTGTACGACTGTGATGTACGGTGCGTTCGTTATCAGCTTGAACGGTTCATCGTTTACTGGACTCACAATCACTAGGACACTTATATTGCATAGAAGAATATGTCCAGGTGTCAGGTACACGGAGAAGAGAATCTTATCCTCGAGGGTGTCCGAATGATCATGGTAATACGTGATTTTACCAGACTCCATTTGTTCTTGAGTAAAAGTGGTCACGTTCAAGTCAGGTTGAAGCATCACATGACCATATTTTGGCTGTCCATTTAATCTAACAAGTATTGCAGGCTTCTCGATGCCGGCTCTAGTTTCTAGGTACTTGCCAATCTCAGAAATGTTCATGAAGACTTGAGCTGAACCACCTTCCTCGACGCGCACCGTCTTCGAGGTAACATATCTATCTAATCCACCACTGGATACTGATATACCAATTTCAAATCTCTGGAAAAGTTATGAAATTCATAGAGGAAATTCTACTGGCATACCTGAATTTTGGAATCAAGTGTACTTACCCGTCTGACCAGGGTGTCGGCAAAGTGAGTTTCTACGTCGAAAACGAACGAGTCATTAGCTGACAAGTCCATGAACTGTTTTGTATGTTCATAAACAACTTTACTCTCGTTTAGGTCCTTCTGCGTGAACCTGGCAACCTCCAACCAGATGCCCTCGCTGTTCTCCATCATAATCTTTCCCAAACGTGGAGATTCTCTAACCACGAAATTTATCTGTCTGGATTCATCCGAACAATTTGCCAGCAAGTGATCAAGGGAGATTGGCTTCCTGGTTAACGGGAAGACGTCGAGTGGCTTATTCTTGAGAATGGAAAGGTGAACTGCTTGACTTGACACTCGGACCTTGTGTTCCTCAGTTTCGTGAGCCCCGTCTGTTAACCTGAATGAAAAATCAGCGTCCGTCCCATCTGCAAACCCGGAAATAATTATTGCATTTTTTTTCAAACAGAAATCAACAAACCAACGTTCACTTGATACTCACTCGTATGCGTGAACGTGACGTTCGAGTTGCGAATGTCTTCCTGAGTGAAGTTTGTGATCATCATGGATGAGGAGCCTAGAGAGAAGAATCCATTTCTCACAGAAGTTAATTCGAAGACGATGTCCTCGGGCTGGGTGTCATTGTCAGCGGCTGATAGGTTATCTGGAGTAAGTATCACTGAGCCACCTTGCCAAACGTTCAAGTCTGATTTGTTCAGGAGAACAGGCAGTTCGTCATTCACAGGTAGAATATTCACCCAAACGTGGTAGGGCTCACTAACTTTGTCCCCGGCGATGGCGAGCATTTTGAATGAATCCTCTGGTGCCTCGTCACTTGAATGCCTGTAGAGGATCACGCCAGCGTTGAGGTGCTTGTTGGAGAACTTTTTCACAGAAGCGTTCTTCGTTGAATCGAATATCTGTCCATGCTTGGGTTTCTCCGTTATCCGGAAGTCCGTGACCTTACCCTCGTAGAAGCTTGTCACTACTCTAAAATCATTCTCGCGCATGATTATGCTCTTGCCCTCTACCACAGTGAGGTTAGCTGCCTGAAGGTAAAGCTTGTCAGGAACGATAACGAAGGAAACTTGGAGATTGCGTAGCCAACTGATTCCGTTAGTCGCATCGAGGACAAAGTGATCCTGACTCTGGTTCAGAACGGATTGGACATAGTAAACACGTCCCTCGTTGATGAGGCTTTGATCAAACGTCTTCACCAGAGTGGCCAGTTCTTCTTCGTTGTGATCCTCAGGATTTTGGATCTCCAGATATCCAAACTCAGGAGATTCTTTGACGAAAAAGGTTATGTGTCCTGCTGGAATATCAGGGTGGAAGATCTCCAGGTGCTTTCTTGTAACCAGAACACTTGTTGCTTCCTCCACGAGGATCGTTTGGTTATGCCGAACCTCCAGAGGATCCCAGTAACTCTCAGGGTAGACGATGATCGGTAAGACACTCTGGACTTCGGCTAGATTTTTGACAGATAGGCGAAAATGTATTGAGTCTTTTGTTAATGATCCTCCTAAATGTTTGTAGGTCAGGTCGCCGTGAAGGAGGTCTGTACTATCGAAAGATCCAGTCTCCTTGCCCTTGTTCAAGAGGACTCCATGCTTTGGCTTTTCCGTAATCACAAAGCGGATATCCTTATCCAAGACGTGGACATTCGTTTCAAGAGGAAAATCTTCACGAGTAAGGATGACACTACCGTTGAACTGAACCACCGAGTCTCTTCCAGTATCATTCTTGGGTAAAAGCCGCACATACGGTGGACTAGCTCTTATTTCCAATTGAGCGGAAGTATAAAAATGACCGTCGCTCACTCCAAAGCCAAAGTGACCTCTGTCTGATCCATGGTGCTTGAAGAGGATGATCTCGTCGTCGAGATCCTGCTGTGTAAATTCATATAATTCCTGGTTTGGTTCATTGAAACGGAATAAGGCCCCATTCGTAATTTCCTTGCGAGTGAACACCAGGTCGCGTGGTCTCGTCTCCAGGTCCTTGTCGACGTACTTGAGGTACCGCGAAGTTAGCGGTTTCGAGCTGTTACTGACCACCTCGAAGACGACGTCGACTGATCTCGTAGGTGCATTATCATTCTTGGGAATGATGACAAATTCAAAACGTCCAACGTACATGAAGTCCGCTGATTCGGAGTACGACAAGAAACTCAATTTATCCTCAATCGTCTCGGAGTCATCGTGAACGTAGTAAACTTCTTCCGCGGAAAGTTCCTCGGTTGTGAAGTAAGTCGCGTTTTTCCTCAGGAGTCTAGAATTCGAGTCATCCACGACGGTAATCCAACCATGAGCAGGTTGCACGGTCACGTTGTAGATGAGCCGGTCGATACCTGGTTCCATATTGCGAATTTTTAATTTCGGCTTTCTCAGAATTACTCGTCCACCCTCCTCCACTTCTTGGAGTACAACGTTTTGGATATTGTCGACGCTCTTGGCACCGCCGACGCCCTCGGGGATGCGGTGCTGTATCCTCAGTGATGAAGATATCTCAGTGCACTGTGGTGCTGAGACTCTGAAGAGAAATTCATCCTCGATATCCGAATAGGCTCTTTTGTAAAGCTTATAGCTCACTCTGCCACTATCAACGTCATCTTGACTAAAGGATTCTCCTTGTAAAAGTTCACGTTTATCAACAGTAAGGATACCATAATTGGCGACTCTTTCTAAGCGAAACAAAATCCTTCCCGCTGAGGTAATCAGAGGGTTCGTTTCATATTTCAAATTCTCACTTGATACCATAACCTCCTTCACCCCGGAGAACTTGATCGGTGATCTCTTACTCTCTTTAAGTTCCAGGTCGATGAAGGTAATCCTAAAGTCGAAAGTTTGCTGGGTCCGGATATCCCGGACACTTGCCTGAAACTTAAACTCATCATGCTCAGGTCGACCGGAACTATGGAGATAACGAACTGCACCCATTTCCACATCTCTACTGGTAAAGTGGTTCACTGGGTTCCAGGAACCGGATGATCCACCACCTGAACCGTCTTTTAGTTTCTGAAGAGTGCCAAACTGTGGTAAGCTGACGACGTCATACCGAATTTCTATACTTGAGTCATCAGAATTTGTAGCGAATGACAGATTAGCTGGTGTTAACAGCGAATATGAACGATGCACAACCACTAACCCTGTATTATGAACTAATTTCAGTTGTAATGGATACGCAGAGATACGCAAATATGCTGGCTGACTGCTCTCAATACCGTCGCTCACTTGTAAACCCAGCATGGCATTCGCTTTTCCTAAACAATAGAATGCAACTCATTATCCTATTGTGATTTTGAAAGTTCACTCAACTTCAAGAAGTTAATTACCATTTCCACGATGCACATAAGCTATTAGGCCTTCTGATAACTCAGCCTGAGTAAAACTGTCAATGGGATTTGAAGGATGCGTCAATTTTTCTACGAGGCCAGCATCGCTATCACTCCTAAGAACCGTATAGATAAGAGATTCCGATGGTGTGTCTGCGTCCAGCGCCCATACAAGTTCTTTACTCAATCGTTTCCTGCTTCCCTAAAAACAGATTAAAGAGAGTCTGTCAATTGGAGGATTCTATTGAAAATTTATGAGAAGTACTTTGACCCTAGTATACATGAGATATTTTCGGAAAACATCATTTTAAAGCAGCCACTGGGCTTCGGGCGCCTCTGTCATGTACATTATGATTAAACGCAAGGTCCATCCTGATAGTATAAAAATGATGATCAGTAAATAATTACTTGAGCAAGTCGAAGGACTTTAGCAGTTGGTATTTCCAACAATGGTGGATCATTGACTGGTGTAACATTAACGTGAAGTGGAAACTGCAATCGTCCTTGAAGATATCCTGGCAGAGTGTAACCAGCGCCAGCAGTCAATGTTACCTCAAGGATCATGCTGTCCTCCGTGCTCTCGCTGCCGTCGTGCATATATTGAATCTGAAATGTCCCAAGGGATGAGTGTGTTGATACGTAAGAGAGAAGAAGAGAGAGAGAATAACAGAAAATGAAGGAAAAGATATTATTAGAAGAAACAATGAAAAAAGGCAGAAACCAGAGAAGCAACGGCGTCTTGGAAGTTCGTATGGTGGCGTCACAAATAGTCATGCAAAAACATTAATGAGCAGCGGTGCCAATTATAAATAGAATCCGTAAGATCGCGGTACCCCGACGCATCCAAAGTTAGTCTTTATGGCGTCGAGCTATTTATAGTCTAGCGTCTCCATGACGAACCGGGAGAGCACGTGAGTCTCGCAGCCAGGATGCTACTGCGCCAGATTGTACGCTGACTCCTTTGAGTAGTAGAAAAACTCACTTTGTCCTGATTTATGTCACGCAGACTGAAGGCGTGATCGGTGCGAGTATTTAAAAGATCCAGAGCCAGTGTACCATGAACTGGTGGTGTGATTATATTGAACACAACACCATCTTCCTCGACGCCATATTTAGCAATGTCTAGGACCATTGCAATATTTTGACTCGTCACTGGCACGTGTTCCCCTTCAAAGACTGACAGTGGACTCAGGGCGAGTATCTCCAGGTTAACTGGTAAATTGGTGTTTGAGTAAACCTGTAAGAAAACTTTATAATTATACATCCTTAACTCCATCGTCCATGTTTCTGTTTAATAGGTGGACTACCTTGTAGTCGTCAGCGAAGTCAGGCTTGATACAGAGTGCATGCTTGCAGGTGCACTTGAAGGAGTTAACGCCAAGTTGTGAGCAAACCGCATCCGGGATGCAGGGTGTCATCTCTAAGCAAGGAAATGACCATACACAACCGACAACGATACCCTGACTGACTTTGACATCAGGAAGTCCAATCGCCCTCTCGTGAAGGATCATATTTCTCAAGCAGCCTTTGTAGCTCAAGTCACCAGATCGGATACCCTTACCTAGGGCTCGTGCTCTTTTGTTCAATTCAATTCCACCTATATACAGCGTCTCCGCCAGGTCTAGGTATCGGTTCCCACCCGATGGTAGGGATATACTCTTATCCTGACCATCTACCCCAACGGTTATCATACTGGGATTAAAGTCCACGATGACTCTGTGCCATTTTCCATCAGCCACCAGCATCCCGTGCATCAGCTCACTAGGACCGTTACCCTTGTTCATTAGCACTCGGATTCTACCCTCTAACAACTCAATTCCCAGGTAGTCTGCGTAGGATGATTGACCTGTGTTGTAGAGTAGGAGTCCACTCTCGGCAGCAGTTCTTAGTTCAAACTCCCACCTGGGATAGAGAAATTTAGTTTACCAGCTGAGCAGGCTCTGTTTATTATTTTAACAATCCCAAGCTATTTTCTCCTACCTGGAGCCAGAACGTGCAATTGGTCTAGGTATGGCGACAAAAGCCCCATCTTCCACAAAACTTATTTCACTAGCTCGTGTAGCGTCGAATTCTGGAGAACAACCCCATGTAACTGCTGTTGCTTCCGATTGGCTCTTACGTGATCTTGCATACTCGATTATCCTAGCGCCGTTGTAGACAATGTCTGCCATACATCCTCTGAGGTCCTCTATATGACCTGAGTATCATCGGGGATGAAACTTATGAATTTTGTTTAAAAGTCATTTTAAAATTGTCAGAATTATGCATTTCTCAGTAACATTGCATTTATTTATGCATTCGACATCAGCACTTTTATAAATTGAATACTTTGTGAAAACTGTATCGACTTCATCTTCAAGCAATGGAAAACCAGCTATTCACTTTTGCATAATTCGCGTCTTGAAGAGGAACGAAATTGAATATGATCGGCGCAAACAGCACGGCTCTCGAAATTCAATTTACATATTCATAGCAATTCGTTTGTCTCCCGGGGGACAGCCAGTGTTGGCGACGACGAGTCTTAATTCCTGGGCAACGTTGAAACTCCCGTGGGTAGATCTGCCGGTCCGGTAGATTCGTAACAATGTAAACTTTAAGAAAAGTAGTTGGAAGGGAAGGACAAGAGATGAAAAAAAAGAAATAAAAATAAAAGAAAATAAAGAGAAACGACGGAATAACTCTCGGGCTATAATATACGCAGACTCTTCCTATCTGCAGAGTATTTCCTTACTTTTATCATCCGCTTGGATCATCTCTTGCAATTTTCAAAATATTCACTCAGTTCCCAGAATAATAATCTAAAGTTTTTTGCTGACTTTATATCTAAAACAAATTGCGTTGGATTTACTCCAGCTACGTGAATAACTCTTGGCATTTATTTTGCAGTAAATACAAATTGAAATACTTGAAGAAACGATGAAACAGTCAGATGGAAAATGGATAATGAAAAAGTGTCAACAATGTCGACCAACCTGGTGATATGTTTGGACGGGGCAGACATCGAAAGACAAGAGTGAGATCGTGAGTCAGTAGAAAAGGATGAGGGAGCTTACCTAGAAATAGCTCGCTGAAGTCACCGTGTCCACCGATGAAGACACCATAGTGAATATTCAGCTCAAAAAATCGTCCCGGTAGCATAGACCTGGTGACGTGTATAACGTCAATTTGCAAACTGATATTGGCTTCCCTTCTAGTGATATTGACCTCGTGCCAATTTAGATCATTAAAAGTCAATCCCCGGGCACTTGATATCTCACTTTCACCTGCACCTAAATTTATGTGAACCTATGGATGCAAAAGGTCATGACGATAAGGATCATTCAATTTACTAAATAGACCAGGGGATTCCTATCCCCTGTATATAACAGCATGATAAAGTCTCCTATCCGTTGAACCAGTATCAGTTCAAATAATTCGAAGATATGGAAACTAGAATCATAATATAAACGGACCTTCAATCTACCAGCTTCTAGTTTAATCAAGCAGTAATCCGTTTTTCCAGCAGCGAGAAGCAACATGGCGTCTGACAATTGTGTACGAAAACGAAAGCTTATGTCAGTAGCACCCTTGGCTTCCTGAGTGGGTAAATAGATGTAGCTCTCCCCATAAAAGGAAACTATAAAGAAGAGAATCAATAATATCCATTTGATATGGACCAGCTATTCCTTATCAGTAGAATACATAGGTATATATCTGTATATATATACATATATATATATACAATATAGAAATGTAGCTAGATAAGAATTCTTCAAGATACAGTAACCACTGAACCCATACATCCCACAGTAGGTAGATACCTTTTTCATCAGACTGGCAGCGACCCAAGAAGATGGCCACTGCCGTTAAAAACATTAGCAAGCCCATTTCGTTGGGAAGCATCGTGACAGCCTCATCCACCTCCGGCCTCCCCTATTTTCTTCTTTTCTCTTCCTTCGCCCGTCGCTACCTCCACCTCCTCCACCTTTACCTCCTCGACCTCCAGCCCTTCTACCTCTTCTTTATCCTTCGCCACTTTCACTTGCTTCTCCTTCTTCCTCGGATCGTTGTCGTGCGTCCTTTTGATTCTTCCTTCTCTTTGATTTCTTTTCCTTTTTTTTTCTTTTTACAGAAATGGCAGCGCTGTTCCGTCACGACGACCAGCCCTTAAGCGGTTATCGATCCCACGTGTCATGGACCAGTATGCCTATTTACATGGGGTTTCGTCTACGGATTTACTATTTTACATTATCAAATCTCACCCTATGCTTTTTTCAAAGGTTGCCTATTGTACCTTGTTAAAGGTAGTACGTTATGTATTTACCGGTGACAGTTTGATTGCTTGAAGGCAATGTCACTGAGATAACCAGGACCTTATCATTGTATCAGTACAATTGTTAGAGAACTTCATACCCAGATGTATTAGTGCTCTTTTATCTTTCTCTGTCTTTAATTATTGTTATAAGAAATTGTATGCTTTTTGTCTAGGCCTGAACGAGCTTCTGTTAGTGCCGTTAATGTTCGTGTTTTTATGAAGCTTTTACCGCACGTGGCCAGTAGCGTTTAACAGCGGAACCGCTTTCATAGGTATCCTGCAATATTATTAAATATATTACTGACAGGAAGTCCAAAGTCCTTAAAATGATCAAGGATATGACCAGGTATGACCCAACTTTTATTATGAAATATTTGTTTCTACAAAAATGTGCTTTTATGAAACAATTCTTGATAATTCTTTAAACCTTTTATAAACAAATCTGAGAATATATATACATATATCGGATAATTATAGGCTCTTTATAAAAATATGTCAAATATTACCTGTCCTCGTGGTTTGCATCCTCCATCCGGTACTCCATATTGCACTAATAACCAATAACAAATAGTCTCTATATATTTCACAGACCAATAACTGATTCAGAAACGTTGAAAATTTGCATAAGGAAATAAAATTCAACCCTGACCTCTGACTCGAACTTTAGTCCACGTTAAGCCTGGTTCACTAGCAATAGGTCAAAATTTGTCACTGAATTTGTAAGGTACGAAAATCAAAGTAATATCAATTTCAAAAGAATCTCAGTGAACGAATCTCACAAGGCACTGGCCCAATGACTCACAATGTCACAAGATCTTCAACGTGCTCCGATTGCTCACAATTTTCGAAAATACTCATACAACCATGGGCTGAGTAATCGAGGTCGGATTGGAGTACGTAATAATCAACAAATTTGCCAATGGAACGAGAGAGACGCCTATATGGTAAATGCAGAAGTGTAAATAAATTCAAAATACAAAAGCTTGCTTAGCCGGTAGTCAGAGGCCGGGAGACGCGCACGACACTAATTTACACGTCGATTTTCTAGCAAACTCAAGAGGAGGACTCGCTTTTCGACCGGGCGGCCCTCCACCTTCTCTCTGTCTCTCACTTCGCCCTCTGTTATCCTCCTGGCACAGCTACGCCGTCGCCACCACTGACTCCTCTTACGCCTCCGATAGGACCACTAGCACCACCAGCAACGCCCGATCTTTGGGGTAGAGATGAAGAGAGGCTGCGTGCAGACTCGTACTATGGAAACACGTAGCCCCGGGTCTATTCTACATTAGACCAGTTTGCCGAGTAATTGTTTAACTAGTATGAGCCATTTAATAGATTTAGTTGCCTGTTGCTAGATCGATACGTGAATTGAACTATTAATGAATTTAGTATTTAAAGAAAAGGGAATGTCATATGAAAATATTTTATTTTACTTTGAAGGTATTTATTTGGAAGTAATGAATTTATCTGTTATTAATGTAATTTCAAGGAAAATTGACATTCTGTTTTAATAGATTTTCTAAGTTTTTTTTTTTTTACTTAAAAAGTACACCCGCCAGACTTATTTTTGCCTTGGGTTAATTGGTGATGCGCCGCGAGAATCGTTAATTAAATTCTCCCTGACGATGACGCGACCGCTTGATCGAATTTACGCCTTAACTTTGTTTCTTATAGACCGATGCAAAAAAAGATCTACTCAGCAGAAGCTCAACGTTCTCAACGAGACAACATTGGACGTACAAAGTGAGGAGCTACAGTTTTTGTCAGATTTGGGAACGTTACGGTTTAAGAACTTCAAGACCCAGGGCTGCACATCCGACAGTCTGGTAAAGATACGACCCTGCTTTCACTCCCTCTCTCTCTCTCTCTCTCTCTCTCTCTCTCTCTCTCTCTCTCTCTCTCTTTCGAAAACGAGCTAGAGAAGGGAAACCAGAGTCTATCCAATAGGGATCCGTTGAATACACATGCGTCCTGATAATAAGAACAGCTGTTGCATCTATGCTATGCAACGATTTAGGATGCATTTCATATGCATTACACGGGCTAGCCAAGAAATGGCGAAAACATATGAATCCCCCTTAAACAGTCCCTAGAGTAGTCTGATGCTGTCGGTCCAGAAGGGAATATGAAATGTATCTGCATACTCTATCTAAATGCATAGCTCTATACCTACTCCTAATAGCAGTTTCCTTTGTTTTCAGCCAATCCGTGTCTAATTGCAAGTAGCTTCATTACATGTTCTTTGAAAATGGGTCCATTATCACAGCATCAGATAAAGAGCTGTTGCGAGTGGCATACATTAGTAACAGTAGAAACGTAAGTCGTGGAATTCTAAGAACAGAAAGATTTAATAATAAAATTAAAATTGTGCAACGACACATTAACGCAGGACGTTACCATTTGAAATTTTTTTCTTTTTCACGTGCAAAATATAATGTACATAAATACATATGTATACACGTATATAATATGCGTTCTCTGCGCTGAAGCTGAAGTCATTTCATACTGTTTTTCTCCTTTATCGCGTTCAACTCATAAAATACTTTTACGTGCTGCCTGACCGAGTTGTTTGCGTATCCGGAAAATATGCAAATTAAAATCGCTCTAGTTTCCCGGTTGGCAGAGCCCCTTTGGCTCCTAACTGAATATTCGAGGGCCCAGGGAGCCCTCCAAAGATAGGCAGAATGCCTACAACGTAGAACTCAAGGGATTTCTCCAGAGGACGAGTATCATATCGTTATATTATCTTCAGGAATTATTCCAATTAAATTACTTAGAATCCGAGGGTACAAGAGAAGCATCTTGATTAAAGTTATTAATTAAAAAAAAAGCAAATTAACTTTCATGCATTCGCACCAGCTGAGCCCTGGTTCGCTCCCGGTAATATAGTTTTCCTGTAGCGGGTACGAGAATAAACTATTTATGAATCATTCCCAGAATATAATTCTCCCCCATGCGACTCTCTCGTTCACTCTCGTAGACGTCATCAACTCCCGTAAGCTCCCTCGGCGTCGTCCCGACGTCTCGTTCTTTGTCTCTTTTGACGACGGTGCTCCGATATTCCAAGTGTTCCCAGGAGACGTCGAGCGTCCCTCTGCAAGTAAATTTCACTTGGAAATTCTCGAATAAAGACCAGAACGGACCTCTAACGACAGGCTAGACGTCGCGACGCCCCTGACAGCTCTAGTTCTTCCCTTGTATTGATCCTTTTATTCTATAATCAGAAGAAGATAACTCCAATAGAGTTTTTCCCTTTCTTGCCTTCCCTTGAACTCCAGAACCAGTCCAGTCGGTAAATTTTCTCGAGCTAACTTCTTTCTTTTCAACTGTCGGTAAGACAGATTTTTGTACGTAAGTGATAAAACCGTCCGAGCTTCACCCGGGATATCGATCGAATTCCGCTTCTCCACGAAAGCTTATTGGCTCATGCGCCTAGTCTCTCCATATAACTCATGTCAGTAGCACAGAGACACACTGCGGTATTTCGCGCATGCCGAGTCTCCTCTGCCTTCTCTGTTTCCTTCTTTCGCTCTTTCGATCTTCCCTGTCCCTCCCTTACCCTCGTCATACGTCTATCAGTCTGCCGGTCTGTCTGTATGACTGTTCGTCAGTCAGTCTGTCCCTGACGAAATGGGACTGCTGGGCGTCGAGTGAGTATTAATCAGCGGACGCAAACGGATATATTGTGAACGCCAACCCCATCGGCTCTAGGGAGCAAGTTGTCTTCGGTAGCTTTTTAAAGAAACAGTATACAAGAGAGCTTTGTTAAAATTTAATTATACACAGGAGACAGAAAGAGAGAGAGATAGTAAAGTAAAATTTGTATATAAGGTTAAAGTTGAAGTTTTATCGTTATTGGCATTGACAGTTCATCCCCTAATCAAAGGAACGATTAAAGATTGGATAATGTGTCTAATATCGAGACTTTGTCCACTTGTATCATCCAGCCCACCGGAACTCACGTGATTCACCATCGAGAATTGCAAATGTAACTGGCGGTGAAGGTGCAACGTGGAGAATGGCATCCTGGAGACCCCGAGACCCAGAGACCCAGAGACCCGGAGACCCAGAGAGCAGTCTCCGCCCTTGTTCGACAAGACTCGCACGCAAATACTATCTTCTCGGATTCGGTCTGCTACCCTCTCATCCCTCTTTCGAGTCTGCCAGTCCACGTGTGCGTTCGTGCACGCGCGTTATGGATCCGAATATTAAGCCATTCTCCTTTGGTGAAATCAGGGCATCTCGCTCGACAGGCACGATAGGGAGGTCGGCTGATCGTTAGGACTGTGCCCGCTTACAGTGAAAAAGAAAAGGGGAAAAGATAGATAAGAAGAAAGAAAAATGTATCGTGCATCGCAAGTGCATCTGCTATTAACCGTGAGTGTGGATTATCGCAATCAAGTACATTATAGATAGGAACATAGAAGAAGAGGGTTGACTTTTGTACGGTTCGCTGGCTGGATGGCTGGATTGCTAGCTAGCTGGAGGATATGCCAGGTTGACGGCTGGTGGTAGTCGAATATCGAGCGGCGCGTGGTAGTCAGGGCGCGTGCTCTGGAGCGGGTTTACTAGTGAAGGTGAGGGATAGAGGAAAAGAGACAAGGGGACAGAACGGTGGTGGGTGCAAGTGAGATAAAAGGATTGAGGATAGTCGAGTAAGGGGAGCACCGGTTGTACAAGGGGGTGCTTAGTTGCCCCAGTGTGCAGCGGGCGGGCATCGCGGCGGGGGCGCCGTTCAGCTGCTGCTGCTGCTGCTGCTGCTGCTGCTGCTGCTCCTGCTCCTGCTCCAGCACCTGTTCCTCCTGCTACTACTACTACTACTACTACTACTACTACTACTAATTCCAATACTACTATTGCTACCACTACTACTACTACTACTAGTGCTACAGCTACTGTTATTGTTACTACTGCGACGTAACAACGACGACGACGAGGACGGCGACTACTTGGACGATCAGGCCGACGACAACGACAACGACGGCCGGGACGTGTAAAAGAACTGTGCGAGCATCCAGTAGTTAAATAAAGTCGTGTGCCGTTAGAGGCTGCCTAGGAGAGAGGCAGCTCAGAGACCAGTGCCATAATCTCGTGGAGGAGATAACGACTCTAGGGTAAGATTAAGTGCGGGATAGAGAGAAGGTGACAGAGGCTGTGCGTGACAGAAGAGAAAGAAGAGTCAGAGCAAGAAGAACGTGGAGGAGGAAAAGATGAAGCAGAGAGGAAAATAAGTGGAGAGACCAGAGTCCTAGAGCGGCGGCATGCTCGCCCGGGGGCTGCTACTCGGGCTGCTGCTGGCAACCCCTCAGGGCTGGGCCCATCGTCCAGCCCCCAGCAACACCATTCTTCTCGTGTCAACGGGAACCAACAACAACAACATCACGGAGGATCCCAACAGTGGCCAGGAGGATGGTATCGACGTTGATAACAAAACTGCGTCCCCGGAGCAGCGACCGTTGTTCCCCAGGGACCTATTCGAACGAGAGCAACTAAGACGAGGTGCCGTGATACTACACGTACTCGGGGTTATTTATATGTTCGTCGCCCTGGCCATCGTTTGCGACGAGTTCTTCGTACCGTCTCTCGACGTGATCATCGAGAAGCTCGAGATCGCCGACGATGTTGCTGGCGCGACATTCATGGCCGCCGGCGGTTCCGCCCCGGAACTATTCACCTCGATTATCGGTGTCTTCGTTTCCTTCGACGACGTCGGCGTCGGTACCATCGTCGGTTCCGCTGTATTCAACATCCTCTTCGTGATCGGGATGTGCGCTATATTCTCGAGGACCGTACTGTCGCTCACGTGGTGGCCCCTCTTCAGGGACTGCACCTTCTACAGCGCCAGTCTTCTCACCCTCATATACTTCTTCAGCGACAACTACATATATTGGTACGAGGCTCTCGTCCTGTTTTGCTTCTATCTCGCCTACGTCAGCTTCATGAAGTGGAACCAGCCCATGGAGAAGCTCGTCAAGCGGATACTCTATAGGAATAAGGTCACCAGAGTCAGATCGACCGACCAGCTCATGCCCTTGGTGAGTCCTATGATACTCTTTACCCAGCCTATCCATCCTCGATCGACCACTTTGCTTCGTTAATTACATTTCTTGTATCTCACTCCAATTCATCTATACGTCCCACCACTCTATTCCTCCTACTCTCAATTTTCCAACCCTCTTCACTTCCCTCGAACTGCTTAACCCTCTGACCCCGTGACCCCCTTGCCATGGCACAACACCCCTCACCCACCCTACCCAACCTCCCTCTTCTCATACCAATTGACAATTAACTGCAGCATTGGATTTATTTTCTCTCTCTCCCCCTGTCCCCCCTCTTCCCCTTGCACCCTCGCTCTACCTTCCTATAAATCAGGATATTCGGTCAATGAATGCCTCGCCCTTAGGAAGTCGCCACTCGGCAGCAATCGGCAATGTTCGATTCTCCTCGCTACCTGGATAGAGCACGTATTGTCCACGTCCATCTCACCCCGTGCATTAACAGCTTTCAACCTTTTATTTTTCATCCTTCATCCTCACCCACCTCCCCACTTTGAACCGTCGACCTCAGCCCCCACCATTATCCTCGTTCTCTTCATTTCACTCATTCTTCACGCCAATCTACGTTAATATCACCGCCTTCGCAATTAGCATCCACCTAGTCTCCGTTCGATAACTGCCAGAAGATGAACGTGCTCGATAACCCAATCGTTCCATCCACAAATGACCAATAGATGAGGTTGCTCCGGAAGGTAGACTTATTTTAAATTATCATTAACGACTCTTTATCGATCTTCACAATTGTCTCTACCAATACTTTAAATCATACTAATATCAATCTGCTTACAGATTTATCCAACTTTCTTAGATACTCTTAAGTCTCAGGAGCTACGGCATTGCAGTGGCCCTCCGCCCATCGTCGAATCGATTCGGCGAGGGGCCCTTCCACGCTTAACCTCCTTCGACAATGCTAGGCATCACCACCACCACCACCACCACCAACATCACCTCCAGCACCACCACCACCTTCACATCTTCACAACTGCCCCGTTCTATTTTTCTTTTCTTTCATTATTAAAGCGGCCTACGTCGCAAACTCTGACTTGTCACACCGATACTCGGCGTCGTCGTCAACTTATTAACTAATATTTATACATAGACTATATCTTTTAAACTATCATGCTTTAACGAACTGACGTACAGCTGAATGTATCCAACAATATACTGTCACTCACTGCCACGAGGCTTATAACTTTTATAAATTTACCATGGCTTGACACGTTTGCGTTTGCTTCGCACGAATCTTCAGTCTCCGTTTCATCTTATTCCAAGGCTTTAGCGACTGTAAGATTATTTTGTTTAATTTTACAATTTAATTCAAACGAGAACCCGTCGAGTAAGATAGTAGCTAATGACCAAGAATAAGGTTATCCTTAGAATGTCGCAATGGATATATTCATACTGTTAAATCCATCAGTACCACTAGAAACTTGAAAATAATCGAATCAAGTATGCTTGAATTTATTTATTTACTCGATCGTTCGGATATTTCAAATTATGCTGAACTTCGTTCAGCTGGAATCACGTATACTGACAATGCGATTACGTCTTATTAAATCTTACCGCAGTTCAAGCATCTCACTGCAAACTCATTCATCCGTCACAGCTATTCGTCTTGTCTATATCTCTCCACGCTTCCTTCCTTTCCTTCTCCATCCTGTCTGCTCTATTATTTCAATAATTGTGTCAAACTGCTTGGCTCGGATGGGTGTAAGGCCGCTTTTCAATCGGGCGAATTGCTCCCGCGATTGGGTCACTGCTTTAATTGGTTTTACATGTCGTGTAGAAATACGAAATTAACAACCACGCTGTTCAAGGAATCGTTAACGAGACTTCGATTATTGGTAACACCAATTTTAACGGGTTTTTAAAACGATTTAATGGACTTTAAACAAGAGAAAGAGAATCGAGTAAAGAGTGTGTGAGAGAGAGAGAGAGAGAACTGCAAATATTAAACACACGTATAACGCACGCAGGCATGCACGCACGTGGCACTCACTCACGCCTTTAAAAATCCCTCCTCTCTGCTCTGCCGGCATTCCGCAATCCTTCGAAAATTACCTATAAATTATCACAGACACGATCCTTTGCCAGGAACAGAGCCCTTTTGCCGCCCTCTACCGAGTTTATTAAGAACACCCAGTCCTAACTAAATTAATCCACTCATAGATCAGACAGACGCGGAACTGTCGTGACTTTTTAACAAGCGACGAATCTCCTCCTCTCTGCCTTTCGAGTGTTCTCAAAATTTACCTCGAGCGTCCTTTGAACTCTGTCCCGGGTAATCCGTGTTGTGCGCAAGCGTCAGGCAAAGTCGTTTGAGGTTTACTGCCTTTAAATAGGGGTCGATTTTTAAACAGGACTTTATCAAATTCTCTCTCTCTCTCTCTCTCTCTCTCTCTCTCTCTCTCTCTCTCTCCTATCATTCCAATACAATTTTCTATTCCACACCTATGTATGTATATACCATATTCCACTTACCTACTGCAACCCAGTAATTTTACATGCCATTCTGTAACATACTATTCGGTTGATCCCATAAGTAATGTCATTGCTTAAGATTACTATACAAAAAGTGACAACACTTATGGGATGATCTGACGTACATTTCAAAATACCTATATATGTCTATGCTAATGTGAATAAGGCTCTGTCAATTATATTGCATATTATTTATAATTGTAGTCTTGTTACGAGCTCTCTCTCTCTCTCTCTCTCTCTCTCTCTCTCTCTCTCTCTCTCTCTCCCCCTCCCTTCCTCTCCCTCTCTCCCTCTCTTCCCTTCAATGTCGAATGTCATTGTAACTTGGTGTTTCTTGCTTGCAGCACCAGAGCGCTGCCCAGGCATTGGTGAGTTGCATGTCACTATCTGTCTCTCTCTCTCTCCCTCTCATTTGTATCTCATCACTCTGTCCGTATATCCTTGCCCTATTCCTTTTCTTTATTCATCCACTCGTTACAATGCTCCTTACCGTTCTGTTCCTTACATGTATATTCTACACGATATGTACTGCTGTGTATACACTGCTGATACGTACTGCCTGTGTAATTACTTAGGCCACGAGTTTCAAAACTAAAGAGCTTTCGATTACATCAACTCGCGTTAACTAGTCGAGCTTTTTTTTTGTTCCCACCTTGCCGAGATTTCGTATAACCGCTTGAAAACTCTTTTCTCGTAATCGGCACGGTTGTTCGGTTTCAATTATACGAGATTGCTAGGCGTCGCGGACGTCACGCGTTTCACGCTCTCGTGGCGCTTACGCTTTGTATTCACGTACAATAGTATTGTCACGACGTATTACGTATAATTGTTGGCAGAGTGATCGAGTGTCATTTGATAAGCATGATAACCGGGGACACTGAATATTTAAATGATATAATTGAGCGCGTACCTTTGCTATATACATTTATTACGATATATAGTATGACTTTTGTATGACTATTATATTATCCTTGTAATGTGTGGCAACTGGGTCGCATAGATAACCAGTAAACTCTCATATACTCCAAATCGTAGTTCCAGTTGTATCGTATCTGCAATCAGGTAGATTATTATTTATGAGAGACGCAAAGTATAAATCTAGTTGCCGGAAGACTTACGAGAAAGGAACTTGCACAATTTAGATACGTACTCCTGTATGCTAACCTGATTGTCGATTAGTCAGTAGCTCAGACAAAGCTGCTTATGCCTCTATTTCGGTCGCCCTTGGCTCAAAGCGCGAAACCCTGCGAGCACTTGGCTTCCCGTCGGCTCTTCCGTTTTCGCAAATTCCGTCAATCGGTCTGCATTCAGTCGGAGATCCCATGCGGAAGTCATCGTGCCATTGGTGCTATACCGACGTGTATAAACACATAGAAGAATATGCAGAGTATCAATGGGAAACAGTAAGAGATAGGGAAGCGAAAAAAAAGCGTAAGTAGGGACGACTGATGAAAAGTAGTAAGAATTACGTCGAGCAGGAAGGGATGAACATTTCGTAAAGTTTTAGCGGATCTTGTAGCATGGCCATTGGTAGTCCGAAGAAAAAAGGCTTGGGGGCTCAAAAGCTTGTAAATGCCGGCGTCTGCACACTCGTGACACTCGACCTAGAAAATAGTCGCGCTGGCATTATGAAATTTATAAGAACCGGAATAAGAACAAATATAAAGAACGTGTCAGCAGCTATCGACAGCTCCCGATATGGAACTTGGCACGGTACCCGAATCCTTGTGAACTTGGGCGATGTAGGGCTCGGTGCATGGTAAAAGATAGAAGACGCTGAGGATGCAAGTTCCTGGTGCCACTCGGCCCACGGCCATTTTCATCGTTATTGTCGTGGCACGTGAAGCCCGATAAATTTTGAAGTAAGCTCGAAGTCAGTGATCAGCCAGGTACTCCGCGTGAATGACTCTGTATATCAGTGCATGTGTAAATTGGCTTATGATTAAAAACATGTAAGAACCTCGGGATCGTTACTAAGAAAATTTAAATTATGTTTCAGCAGCATCCGAACGCGACCAACAGTAGCGAGACCAGTGTGGGCGGTGTATCAGGGGCGTGCGGCAGTAGCGGAGTACCCGCGGCCGCTGAGGCTGGCTGCAGTAGTAGCAGGGGTGGAAGTAGTAGCGGCCAGGCTGGCGAACACGGGACTCTCTCAGGTCCAGTTCATTCAACGAGGGAAAGCCACGCCAAATTCAGGCATGGCCTTCTACAGCTGATGATCCACACGATCGATCCTCTCCACGACGGTCAGTCCCGCGCCGGTATACCCTCAACAACACTCTATCACTCTTGCTTGGTCGCATGCGTGCTAGTTCAGTAGGGCTGCTTATAGCTGCTTACTGGCCTTAGGTTGCTGATCGACGTCTCACCGTAGCTCACCTATCTAACTGAGCTTGTATACATGCTTCTGGGGATTGTACGCTCACTTAGGATTCAGACTCGACGAAACTTTGGAGATCATCCGGTTCGAGTAGCTTCGCTGTACCTACTATGTTGCCGAACTTCATTTTGATAGCTGCAACGTACGTGATCAGGCTGACGTTTTAATTGACTCGAACGAGCTTAAAGGTCGAAGGTCTTTGTAAGAGAGCACGCGAGAACTCACGCTCGGCCGCACTTTTATATATGGGGTATGGAGACCTGACCGGCGTGTAAGCTCATGTACTCGACACCGACCTCTGGCCCGGATCAAATGAATTTACGGGCAGTTTTCAGTATATCCTGAGTATCAGCGAGTGGCGAGCGTATCGAGGAGACCCTGACCTAGAAAGCTCACATATTGATCGTTACTTGCGAATCCACGCTTGGAATATTTGCCCCTTTTATCCTTCCTTTTAAGAGTTCCACCTTTCTCCGTGTGTCCTTACGTCTCTTTGCACCTCCTTCCTTTTCATCTTCTTCACTTGGATACCATCCGTGGGCCTATGTATGCATACAATGACTCGACCTCATCCTGAAGGGCCCAGAGTCAATTCTCACAATGATATTTGTCTGATACGTGCAGCGCGTATAAGTAGTCACGTTATCTGGATTCTGATAAGAATATCAATTCTTTATATTACTCTGGAAATATGGGGACGTTCGTTCCACTTGGACTGGTACTCGTGTTAGAGAGAAAATTTAAGCCGAGCCTTTACCCCGACCTACTTCTCTTTTCTTTCCTTTTATATTCTCATTGTTTCCACCCTGTTCTGTAGTTCCAATTCATTCCCGATGGAAAGCCTGATCTTTCGCTGATAGGCTGATCCTCTATCTACTGGAAGTAGTGCACGCCTCTGCGTAGCCAGAAGACATTCATCATCCGTGCCGCCGGGTCCTATCTTGAAAGTAGTCTATGACTGTAAAGAAAGGCGTAGGCACATTAGTATTTTATTTATTTGGCTTTACGTACTCAAAGGCTTTCCAATAATATTATTAAATTTTCACATTACTTATAACTCAACAATTGTATAATCATCACTGTTCAAAGTTTGTCTGGTTCTTGTATACATATGTAACTGGTTATAAATTCTACCGTACCAATAAGCATAACATCCAACCTTCTCGTGCATGCCTTTAGATATAATATTATATACATACGTATGTACTACAGGGTAGTCCAGTAGTATTGAATCGAATGAAGTTAACTGACGTCCGTTTGATTTCTATGCCAGAACCACTTTCAGGTGGTGTAATACTTTCGAGTGACTCTGTATACGTAGACAAACTTTATGATAAAATGTAAACGATGAGCATGCTACTGGTATATACGAGTGCCAGGTCACGTGATGTAGTACTGATTAGAGGTAAAAGGTCGTGCGAAGGACCAACAGTAACTTCGACTACTGATAATTCCTTCGGGGCTGCTTTACATTTGGCAGGCAAGGTGGACGAGAAAGCGACGCAGCTACACGCGATAGCCTCATTGAAGGTTCTACTAGACGCCACGAACCCCCATAATGGCGCTGCAAGTTCAACAGCGGCACAATACTCAGGCTCCAAGGAGACTGCTCTACAGCTTCAGCAGGGCTCACAGTTTACCACCATGAGCTCCAGCACCACCGCCACTGTCACTGGTACAGGAATCGTCACCACCACCGCGACTAGTGCGATCAACAGCAATACCATCAACGTCACTGGCAACCCCAATGCTGGTAATGCCGCTGCTATTCAGGAACTTCCAAATGGTGGTATCAATTCCGGAATGGACGCCGGCCTTGAATCGGTAAATGGATGTATTGTATATAACTGTTATGCATAATATCTTTGTTCATAAAGTAGGTAAATATATATGGATAAATAGGAGAGGTTCTAAAATATTAAATGGATCGTCCACGGTACTGTGGACTAATTTGCAAAATGTCCACTATATGGATAGTACATACTTAATGCAAAGTGAGAGAAGAATTGTTCGCAAGTGGAAATTGGGAGCGCGCAACGGTGTCCGCCTTTTCCAGATATTACCTGGTTCCTGTAGCTCCGATAGGACAGGAGATCCAGCTCGCTTTGTTCCAAATGAGCGAAGAAGGCCTTTTCATTTTGAATGTGCCTTGAATCTGGGTCAATGCTGCCGAGGACGACGTCGGCACCACCATCTACCGTCGACGTGGCTACTCTGCCTTGCACTACCTTGCACTACCTTGCATTACGTTGTATCGGCTGATATTACCTCGGGTTACGTTGCATCTCTTTTTCTTTTTGTTCTCTGACGTGTAACGTCTACCCCTAGCGTTCCTTACTTTAACCCGTTACATTGTTGCAGAGCAGCGCGGTGAGGAAGAGGGAAACAAAAAATAATTTCATCCAGCCAAGTAATTAGTCAAGCTCCAGTATCAAACATATACCTGACAGTAGCGCCTGCTTAAATCTCCTCGGTTTTTGTTCATCGATGTCCATTGATCATCTCTCATTAGTATACGTGCCTACGTTTCACAATGATCCTGACACGTTTTATACCTTGGCTCTTCTTCGCGAAGACAAATTTCCTGAAGAACATATTTTGCTTTTCAGGGCGAGGAGGACGAGCTACCAGAGGCTCTGGACATGGGCTGGCCAAACAACAACAGAAAAAGGCTCACCTATGTACTTGTGGCGCCGATACTCTTTCCTCTCTGGTTGACACTACCAGATACGCGCACACCCAGAGGTAGACATTACTATAGCGATGAAGTTTCGAGTCTGATTGGGGCTTCTGAAAATTATACTTTTTTAATATTTTTGTTCTTATCACTGAAATGATAACTGTACTACCTTGGTGTGACGTTATTCTGTTTTCTTTGTCATTTTCAGGCAAGAAGTTCTTCGTCGTGACATTCTTAGGATCCATTTTCTGGATCGCTGGGTACTCGTACCTGATGGTCTGGTGGGCGAACGTCACGGCCCAGACGATTGATATCCCAGCGGAAGTGATGGGTCTGACATTCTTAGCAGCCGGAACAAGCATCCCCGATCTCATAACGAGCGTAATCGTCGCGCGAAAGGGATTCGGCGACATGGCAGTATCCAGTTCAGTGGGCAGTAACATATTCGACGTGACTGTTGGGTGAGTTGATAAGAATATATTCGAGTGAGAATTGACATTTCATTATAAAGAAAGAAAAAATAATTGATTTGTTCAATTTATAAAATAAAATTGAACAGACTTCCGGTACCGTGGCTTCTCTACGGCCTGATCTACGGTCGACCCGTCAAGGTGAGTTCCATGGGGATGGTCTGCAGCATAGCAATCCTCTTCTGCATGCTGCTCTTCGTCATCATCAGTATCGCCTGCTTCAAGTGGCGAATGAATAAGGGCCTCGGATTCACCATGTTCCTCCTGTACTTTGTCTTCGTTGCCGTATCGCTCATGTTCGAATACCAGTTGCTGGTGTGTCCCGTCTAGTCGAAAATCTCCAACCATATTAGAAAAGTCGAGAACGTTCAACTGCGTGACGATTACCTCGTCTTCGTTCCATCATGCACAACGACGCGCAATACCGTTTAACGTCTGTACATATTGTGTATACATCTCTTCGAACCTAGCCGACCGAAGTTAATTACTCGTTATTGTTAGATCCATCTTCAAGAAAAGAAAAAGAAAAGTATTGTCGCGTCTTGTCGGAGGATAATCGAACCTTCGTCGGACGCGACCACGTACCGCTCAGCCAGTCCCATTGGCAGACGAGAATGCTTGTGCGCATGCGCGAGGGTTTACGAACGCGCGCGCGCATGCGCACTGCCGTCTTCTCCCACGAGTTGCTGCGCCGTAAACGACACCGCCATTAGTCAAACGGTACTAGTGTACTCGAGAACCGCCCAGTAGCTGGACTTAAACGTTAGCGCGTCGCTTGTCGTTCGCATGAAGTTATTATTCTACGGATTATTATAGCTTTAAGCAGAATTCCGACCCCGTCGGGCGTCATACCTTGGACATATCACGAGGTCGACGCTGCGATCAGTCCGCGCATGTTACTGCTAGGTGATGTTGCGTTATCGTTATCGTTAACCGTTGTTACTTGAACACAGCGAGAGAGAGACTTTGATTGAAAGTGCGACTCGCCCTGTATCATATCATATATATACATATTACTTCAAGTTATTATTTACTATAAATAGTAGATACTATATATATATATAGGACACTAGTACCTAATGATACACGTGACACAAGAGACATACACACACACTCACACACGCATACTATTATTAAATACTATATACAAATATTATACATTACATACGGGATGTGTGTGCGTGCGTGTGTGATTGCGAGTGCGTTAGAAAGATTTAGCGGTCTCGATAAATATCGATTAATCCACATATCTCGATTGTCGTCGATCGGAGAGAAAGGAATGTCGAGGAAGAACGAGAGTGACATAGGCACCTTAATTACAGACACGATTAAACGAACGTTCCACGTTTAAACGAACATGCATCCACTTATACGAGAGTTGCGTGATCGATAGTCTGGAAGCGTTTAAATGCGGCCTAGCTTTTTATCGGGTAAACCAACAAGATGCGTTCCCATCGACTTGTACGATGAGCGATACTTAATGCAATGTAAAGGCTCCACGTGAGAAAGAATACCCGGCTTTTTTGGATGTCCCGAGTGGGACGTATTAGGGATGTCGTGAGCTATTCTTTATTTTTGTTTTCTATCCTGTCACTTCACCATCACCTAAAAACTTTACCTAACGACTCTTTCTCTGCCTCGACACTTCGTATCTCTTCCAGGGATACCTGTACCAGCATCTTGCTACCTCTGTCGTCGTCTGATAACATTTATACAGCGCCATCTCGCGTCGTGTCTTACGAAACACGACACGACCCTTTCGCTCTATTTCTAATGTATTTACTCCAGTTACTCCAATCGTTCTACTTCTCCAATTTTGATGTTCGTCATCAAGTGCACTGATTCTCCGATGGGACGATGGCACACGTAAGGGCGCACTCACAAGTAAAGCGCATATCTTTATGTCCTTCCAGTAACTTTTTATTCGCGGAGGAATTTCTCATTTGACTTTTCGTCGCCGGGTCCTACGGTGAAGACTCGGCCGATAATTTTTAATCACCATATCTAAGCGCCTATACTAGATTACTATATAGAATATAGAAGTACTTGCATATAGCGTTTGACAGACGCGTATACGTACCTTGATGTATATACGCGCTTCGATGAATACATGACATATTTACAGACACGCGCACACATACACATACGTGGACACATATGGGAACCATTGGTATATGAGAGAGAGAGAGAGAGAGAGAGAGAGAGAGAGAGAGAGAGAGAGGCGGGGATGGGGGAGAGAAAAGAGAGAGAGAGAGAGAGTGACAGTGAATTAAATTAGCAAATTATGCGCAATACGATCTTCCCGATGTTTAATCACGAAGATGAAGTTTATGAAGCGTCTGGAGTGATTAGGATGATGTATGAGTGAAGGAGAGAGAGAGGTATATGGGTAATGATGATTAAAAGAAACGAAAAATGATGGTAGAGGACAATGATGACATTTATGAATTAGACTTTAGTCAGGAATGATCTACTCGCGATCGAGCCATCGCTTTTAAGTGATCTCCAAGTAACGTTTACATATCTAGGATCTAGATGGACCGAGTCCGGGATCACGAATCTCGGATTCCCGTCGCGCTAACGAATCTTATGGGTTAGGGTGTTTTGGCAATTGGCTTAGTGAAATTTTAACGTGAAAGGTCAGAAAAATCGTGAAACCGGGTGAAATTATTAATTTTTATCAATTATTTCTATACATATCAATACATTTTTGGGAATCCGAGGAGACGTGCCCTACTCCCGTTCGTACTTTGTACTTTGTATTTTAGATAAACAAGTGTGTATATGCGCGTGTGTGCGTGAGAGCGAGAGAGAGGGAGAGAGAAGATGGATACAGAGAGACACAATGAAAAGTAGTGAGAGGTAAGATACGGAAGGGATGATAAAATGTCGTAGGAGACTGGAGTATGAATTAATTTGAAAAAAAAAAAATTAATAACCACGAAAAAAAAGAAATGTGCGATTCGCCCTTAAAGAGGTGCGAACAGATAAATTATTGTAGATACGCGAGAGCGACTATTATTATGTTGTTAGATCGTTGATAAATATCGGCGGCTCGCAGAGTCTGCCGATCCCCTTTTTGTATTCGTACGGTACGTGACTCTGCGCGTGAACCCCCCCTACGAGTCCCCTTTTGAGAAGGGCAAAAGAAATGAAGAGCGAAAGAAAAAATGATAATGAATCATAGAAAAAATAAGAAATTCATATCACTAGCGTGATAACCGTGTTTTTAAATTACTAGCCAATTTTTTACGTTCAGTCATACGTCTGGCGATCGAAGTTCGTAGAGACGATAATTATGACGTGGATGTTGACGATTTCTAAATAAGTATTTAAATATATTCATGTAACTCGAATATTTACATAGCGTCGATTCGTGTAACAATGCAGATTTGTTATCGACCACGTAATTCTCGTTTCATAATCAAATTGTTACACGCTGCTCGCAAGGCTAAGTCGATTATAGATATTTTAGAGGTTATGACGATACATTATCGTTAAAGGTGGCTTCACAATAAAACGCGTACTACGCTCATCACGTTATGTTTTCGTTGGTAAACCCATTTATTATTGACACGGTCTCTTATTCATTGTCTCGTTCGCTGTATGGATTACATTGGAGGGCTCAGGTTGACAACGACAAGACACGACGAACGCACATATCAGACAGAGAGAAAGAGTGAGAGAAAGAATGAAAGTGAGAGTGAGAGTGAAAAGAGAGAGGCGATGAAAACTTATATGATTAATGGGAAGAGAAGGAAAAAACAAATGAGTTAACGGTATTACTAGCGAAATAATAATTAAGGTCCTAGATAAACGTGTTTCTAGGTGCATTTATGCTCGCCGGTTAACCTACCACGTTATTATGCTCGTTGTTGTACATGGTACTTACATAACGTCAACCACGGCTGATGACCCTTCACATATTTGAGCTTTGGATAATCGTACAGATTTTTTTTGGTGAAAAAATAAAAGAACAAGGAAATTTTGCAATTATTCAAAGCTTGGATATATGATATATATATATATATATATATATATATATATATATATATATATATATATATATATATATATATATATATATATATATATATATATATATATATATATATATATATATATATATATATATATGTATACAGAAGGACAAGGATATATTTATGTTGAACCCATGTTGCACAATTCTTACTCCAGTACTTTTTTTTCTTTTTGAGTTTATCTCATGTCTTTCCTACCCATCCATCTTTTTCCTCTCTTTCCCCAGACCTTCTCTCTCTTTCTCTCTCTCTCTCTCTCTCTCTCTCTCTCTCTCTCTTATTCTACACTTTGATTAGTCTTGAAACCATGTTCCTGTCTCTTTGGCTCTTATCTTTTCTTCACTCTATCTCACTCTATCTTCTTGTATATGCTTGTTCTTGCCGATTGTCGACGGTCGCACGAGTTTAATTAGATGAAAAATTTGACTGTTTCACTCGCTCGTTTTATCTCATTAATTGTTAATATCGACGATGGTACGCTTGGACGACTGATAATGCAACAATTGTATACTGACATTGTATTAACGCAGAGATTCTCGGTTAGTCGTGCAATTAAGAAAATCGAGGAAAAAAAAGAGCAAACGAGGATTTTTATCAGACATGATGGCCTAATCGAATCCGCACATTGTCCACACAATAGTTATTGTATTCACTGTTTTATCGCTTGCGTATACCAAGCAAGAAACTAGATACTCAATCTGCATTCATTCCAGCAGCAAACAATAGGGTCTGTTGCGGCGCGTTAGAACGAAGAAATAACAACAAAAATACGATCAATCATACCTTCACGCTGATGCGATTGACTTTATACAATTGTATTCTATTGTATCGGTAAGAAACACGCGCACAATTTTTCCACGCATCTCCATGGACTCATGTAGTGACCGATCGTTGTTACACGTGTGTTGTTACGCGTACGCATGAACACGGAGAGGCACACCAATGAACCACGTATGCACGCATACATACAAAAGAGAGAAGCACAATTCGCTATGCTTTGAAAAAAACTAACTTCATACTCATACTGTCTTTAATCGATGAATTTTCGAGAAAAAAAAATTAGCTCTACGTAATATTTCTAGAAATTAGATTTTTAGAATTTTCGCTCAGGCAACGGAGCGAGAGACCGCGAGACGCGGGATTTGTTCTAAGAGAGGGCGGGGCCATGTAATGTTCAGAGATGCTGAAGTGCAGGGAGAGAGAGAGAGAGAGAGAGAGAAAAATATGTAACGAGAGAAGTATATATAAGATAATATGTAGGAGAGTACGGATGCGCGTGGAGTAGAGATAATGTTCAGAGATGCTGAAGTGCAGGGAGATGAATTTTCGAGAAAAAAAAATTAGCTCTACGTAATATTTCTAGAAATTAGATTTTTAGAATTTTCGCTCAGGCAACGGAGCGAGAGACCGCGAGACGCGGGATTTGTTCTAAGAGAGGGCGGGGCCATGTAATGTTCAGAGATGCTGAAGTGCAGGGAGAGAGAGAGAGAGAGAGAGAGAAAAATATGTAACGAGAGAAGTATATATAAGATAATATGTAGGAGAGTACGGATGCGCGTGGAGTAGAGAGTAGATAATATTGAGAAGAAGAAAGAAAGACAACGATATGGGTTATGTTTTCAACTTTTTTTTTTAAATTGTCCATGCTCGAGTGACTGACGTAGCTAGATATTGTCCTAATTACACTCTTTATCTTTTTCTTTTAGGGATGCTCTTCTCTTGTCTTTCTATATCCTTTAGCTTGAACTTGTTTCTCTCTTTTCCTCCCTGTCTTATCTGTCTCGACTCTATTTCCTCGTTGTCCACGTCAAAATCGACGTTCTCTCGCTCCTTGTCACCCACTCTCGATACGCGGTGGCCGCGGTAGCGGCTAAGTTGTCCGTTAATCGAGGCTGACAATGAGAATGCAAGAGAGACAACTCGGAGGTTTCGAACGCAGCCGCAGAAGAGAGTTGAACGATGATGAAAATTGAGAGAAAAGGTTAAAAATATAAAGAGAGAGAATCGGGCGGTATATCTCACGATCAAGAGAGAATAAATGCATTGTTCCGTACCAAGTACGGCTATAGAGCTACCAATTAAATAAATAATAGAGATTAAATTAATCACATATCTAATAACAAAAGCACGAACGATGAAGGCCTACATCGACCACCGTCTCTGAACTTCTGTAATCATATTCCTGGTTCCTTGTTCCGGATCCTGAACGTTTCCCTGTTTGACATTCTTGTTTCCCGGTTATCATGTTCACCTGGTTTTTCCCTGTCCCTTTACGCAGCACTGTTTAAACAATCTCCCTGACCAGTCCTACGAGGAAAAAACATATTGTAATCTATTGTAGATTGTTGTAGATAAATTATACGGTTAAACCATTGTTACTTTTTGTCGACAATATAAAATACACAGATATATATAAGTAATTATATTCAGTCACCCAAGATTACTCATTTCCTTTCCATTCTTTGTGATCTGATCCTTAGGGAGAATAATGCATCCAGAGATGTGTAGGGAGATTGTCAATGAGCTGATTTTCATGGTACAAGTTTTATTCCGGTGTCGACGCGCCACTCGGAGAAGCCTCGAACCAGTTTATGATTGGTTGACGTATACTTAGTTAGTTTCGAAATTTATTAAAAATATAAAATTGAGGCTAAATCAAAATCTCGCGAAATATACGGAATATATTCAAATCGAATAATTAATAAATAAAGTGTTTGGAATATTAACATAAATCAAGTTAGATATTAACACTTGGAAATCAGAAATCCTGGCTAAGAATATTCAGAAGTACTGGAAGTTGTCCAATATTAGGTGCGCGCGAATCGTCGCGCAGGACTGAGGGGAGCAACCGGGAAGTAGGGTGAGTGCTCAAGATTGTGCCCAGGATTCGGAGCGCTCATTCTTCCTCGAACCGATCACCTATATTAGTCTCTTCGAATCACCCCTCTTAACCATGTCCGACCTTCTTCTTTTTCTATATTTATTCCTTCTTTACTTCCTTATTTCTTTATCTTTCATTCTTTAGTTTCTTATTTATCTCTCTTCTTATTTCTTCTCTACTTTTGTACGTCTATTCATTACTTTTTTAATTCTGAACTTCTTTATCTCTATTTTTCTTTCTGTCTTCTCGTTTCACTCTATTCCCTCTCACTTTCCATTGTGCTTATCTTATTTGTTCTATTCCTTTGGTCTGGTCGAGTATATTCATTCGAGTAGTCATATAAGGGTAGTCACCCTGTTAGAGTAGATCAACATTATAGATCATGGTGTCGGGGGTCACCCTTCCGCCTCATCCGCTGAGCTTGCTCAGTGGGTCGGGCTCAAGTTGTGGCCGCAACAGGACCTTATGGCTCTTCCAACGGGGGCCTTGTACCTACTATGGTGGTTCGTGTAGTGAATTTAATCAGCGTCTACCTTCCGCGTCTTTAATATAATTTATTTTTACTAAAAACGTTTTTTAAAAAAAATTAAAAAAAAAAAATTCGTTTTACTAAAAACGCTCCAATATGTCATATATGGAAAGGAAAGAACGAATAGATTACTTTGGATGTGTGGTACTTCTGACAAGCATGAATTTTTCAAAAATTTTATTTATGGAATAATCAGGGTTTTTGAATAGTGTGTTGGTAGATGAGTTTTAAATAGGCGAATTGAAGTTATTATATTAATCCTGAGAGCAGATAAGCAAATACGTGAGTGTCCAGGGGAGGCTGCGTAAGGTTGCAGGTTTGCCAGGAAGTAGGTGAACGCAGTTCATGTAAAGACATGTGGATCAGGATAGAGCACTTATTCTTCTGATAACCGTTTTTGCAATCTATGATTTATTTAATTATATAAAATTATATACTGGAAGTTAGTAACATTTTATATGAACTTTATTAATAGTTTACTTCATCGATTCAACTTAATTTGAATTATTTTATTGCCACCAACGTCTCTGAAAAATTTAAACCTCTATCGACAGACCCTCCAAAAGTGAAGCAACATTTATAACATTCTCTGTACGCAATTTTCTTACAGTTGCTTGAGTATTCAAACTCTTGGCCGCTAGTTTTATTCGATTTTTCCACTCTTTCCCACCGCTTTGATTCATAGAGCACATAATGATCTCATTGATATCATTCTGAAGCGTATGAACTGTGATTGATTTGAAGATAGATTTTAAATTATTCATCACTTCGAGTCTTAGTGTTTTGTTTCGACTGACTAGATTCAGAATGAAAAGACCCTTGTCGGAGAGAGACTTAATTACTGTATTCAAAACAGAGAATTCTAGAAATTCTTTTGGTGGACAACTCATACCAAGGGTTGTATCTTTGCTATCTACGTCAAAGAGTATAGCGTCGAACTGCTTATCTTGATCTGCAGAATTATGCAGGAACTGTATACCGTCCATGATCTTTACTTTCATTCTATCATCTTGAATCAAACCAAAATATTCCACAGCAACTGATAACATTGCCTCATCGATATCTACAGCAGTGATGAATAGCTAAGAAAATAATAGTATGTTAGAATGATTTTATATTGAATATTTTCGTTAACTTTTAAATTCAATTTATGGTACCTTTGGAAAGCATTGATGTAGAAATGTACATAAACCACCACCACCTAATCCAATGATGGCGATGTGATTAGACTCCTCTAAATCAATGACTGCATTGACACCAACACTCATATAAACATGATGTTCACAAGCAAGAAAACCTGGATCGATTACTTTTTTCACTTTTCCTCTTCTAGATTTAGCTAAAATTAATTTTCAATTTATTATAATTTGTTTTAAAAATATTTTATCAAGAGTTAGTCCACTGTGAAAATTACATAGTTTTAATCTGGCTTCGCTTTGAGTGATAAACTGGTTGTTAAGAAAAACCAGGCGCCTATAGAGATGGCCACCATCTCCTTCAAATTCTTCAACTACAAATGGTCCGCTAATGTTGCTGCTCCCTTTATAGCAGACTGTTCGTTTTGAATCGTTCATGTCTAAAGACAAGTATGGAATTTTATTTTTGGCACAGAGACCTGCTGGTGCTAAATTGCGGATACTCTCTTCGATTTCCTCCTTGATCTCATCCCAAGTTCCAAAGGTATGCTCTTTTCTTAGAACAACTGTTGCCAGTCTATCCAACTGGGCAGTTTTCAACAGCTGTTGTCTACCTTGTTTGGTACTGAACACCCAATCTGATTCTCTATAGGCAAAGATACAGAGTGAAAAATATTTTGGAGTACCTGCGATAGTGGAATTTTGACTGTCATTAATCAAGATCTGAAATAAAATTTATCTCACCTTTCTTGCGGAACTATGAAAGCAGCATACGACTTGTTACTTCTGTTTAAGAGCTGATCTAATACATGAATTGTATATCGCGGATTCTTATCACCAAGTCGATACAAATCTAAAGACACCTCTCCTGCATCGGCCACAGATCCTTTATGAAGAGCAGAGCAAATAAAAGCAGAGTGCTGGGCTGCAGTTACGGCAGATATAATATGTTCTATCGAGCTAACTCGTTCAGGAGGACCATCCACCAGAGTGAGTTCCAGTACCTGTTGAAATTCCAAATGCTCTACAAAAATAAATTTTAACAAATACTCTTTGCAAATTATATAAATAGTAATGCTCTAACTAGAATTCTTGGAATTACATACCGGTTGAGGTAACTTTGTAAACTTTGTTGCAATGACAATGAACACTGGCAATGAACTAGTGTCATTTTCTCGAGCTTGGATTTCGGCTTCATGACAACGTGATACTCGGAACATAAATCCAGCTGATGGAAAATAGGAAACCAACTTTTTGAGAATATGTTCTTGCAATAATGAGATACAGATATACCGTCCACCATTGCGTAAGACCCTAGTAATTTCCTACGGAAACATTGAATCATATTGCTTAATGATATAAAACAGTTGAGATTTACTAATACACAATTATAATCATCTTACAGAGAAGTACTTGTCAATTGTGGAAATGGTGTCTTCACTACTATCCGACATCAAAGCATCAAGGGTACCTTTGTCAAGGACAACACTAAACTTATCATCAGCATAGGTCATCTCTGTAGCATCCATGCGTTCGTATATTAAATCTGGACGACGAGTTCTGTTCATATCCAACATTTGTTTAATCACAACTTGAGAAATGTCAATATTTGTAATGTTTCTGAAACCAAACAATATAATATAACACTATTAAAGAATGATATTAAGAACGGTATTCAGTATTAATTAAACATACCTGTAACCAACATCGTACAGAACCATACTCAACGTAGAATTACCACATCCTACTACCAATATATCATCCTTTAATTTAACATATTTATGCATGTGACCGCTAAGCTCCGGATATTCACCATACCTAAAAGAATCATAAATATCATTAAATTGGTTATTCTTAATCGTTGCAAAGATTCAACTAAATAAAATTATGCTACCAATCGAAACTCTTCTTCCCACGCTTCTTGAAAAATGAATCCCAATAATCTGCATGACTGAACTCTTCGTGGGATTGCGGTAAAAGATTCATTGTTTTTAAATTATTATGAATTATACCATGCCTTCCTCAAAATTATCACCGTGAATGCTTTAAAACGACTACCGACATTCATGCTTGATATACATCGTGCGTATACTTCTTCGATACAAAGATGAGTAGGGAGATGCACAACGCTACGGTTTTAGGCAATACCAAAAACATGGCGTTAAATCGGAACGGCAAGTCCGGGAGTAAGATTTTGTGATCATTGTCTCCGTCGATAATACATCCCGTCGTAGCTGAGCGCTAAACGTGAACACGAACGTATAGATTGGCGGGCAGAGGTTCTCCGCTACTCACCGTCGGTCCTAAAGAAACCCTCAGAACGAGACCGGCAGTGATAGAACTTCTCAGTCGACTCTAAAAAAAGTTTCTGAACGTACCCCAAGGAGTCTGGTTTTCCGAGTTCTTCCGTCAAGTATGACTGACGTGATTATAATTCATCGTAAGTACTGCAAAGAATATTGGATCCTTCTTAGATACATTCAAGAAACAAGAGACACGACGATTGTTAGCAGCAGTTGCAGAAAGTTGTGAAACAAATCCTAAAACGGTAGCAGTGAGCCAGAGATAAGTAGGGAGATTTCAACTGGCATCACCTAACATTACATTCTCAAGCATCTTCAAATAACTAATCAAATTTGATCTTCTCTAGGCCGGATTGCAAACTTCTACAACATGGTTCACTTACAAACACACCTATGACAGGTGCGTTTAACGATGAGCCGAGGGCGCTGAGAACATAGTTTCTTTATTTATTGAATGCTAGAAACTTCTTCGGATACATGATAATAAATATATTCGTACGGAAGCCCGATAGTGACAATAGATTTCCTGGCACTTAGGCCTCTATGAGGACATAAAGCCAAAAAAGAATAAGAAGAAGGAAGAGACAAGAATAAAAATTAGTTGCACAGAAATATTGAAAATTTGAAAAATTAAATAAAGCTTTCCAAATACTATTATTGGATTTTGATTTACTTCCAAATTTATTCAAAATATAAAATTGAGGCTAAATCAAAATCTCGCAGATTATACGGAGTAGATAAAGATTGAATTGAAACTGTAGAATATTGAAAATAAATTACGTTTCAATTGAAATATTAACAAATTAGGTGTTTGGAAAATTAAAATAATTAATTAAATTAATAAAGTAAAATATTAACACTTAGGATCGGAAATTCTGGCCAAGCATATTTAGAAGTACTGGAAGTTGCCCAAA